ATTTCATGTTTAGATAGGGTTTTTAAAATGTGATTCCACAACACATTTCAAAATGTAATTCTCCTTTACGTTTGGCTACTCTCTCTCTTTCGTGTTCTCCATTCTAAAAAGTACAAGATTTTTGAATTTTGGGTCTACCTAGATGTCCAGCCGAGTGACCGTGGCAGTGTCATTTTTTTTTTATTTTTTTGCAATTGTCAATCGCCAATTGCTACCTGTTATTTGGGAAAAAAAATTATATTTGTTTTTGATATTTCTTAAATATAAAAATTATTTTTTTAAACCAAAATGACATTTTTTTTATTTGAATGTTAAAAAGAGTTTGGTCATGAGTTTTGAATATAATTTTCAATAGAGTCTTTGGGTATGAGTCATAACTTTTTGAATTATTTTCAATTAAAATAATTTTTATGTTATTTTTTATTAATAATTAATTTTTTAAATTGAATTTTAAAATTTTTTTGGGTATGAGTGTTATTGTTTTGTTAATAATTAATTTTTTAAATTGAATTTAAAAAAACATTTGGTTATGAGTGTTATTTTTTTTTTGTTAATAATTAATTTTTTGAATTAACTTTTAAAAAGAATTTAGTTATGAGTGTTGATAAGAAATTTCAATAAAATTTTGAGTTATATATTTAGGGTTGGTTTGGGAAGTGAGTTGACTTTTTGGCTTTTTTATTTTTTTGGCTATTTTAGCCTGGGCTAAAAAGCTTGATTTGGGAAGGACTTTTTGACTTTTTTTGTGAGAGAAGAGTGTAATGATTATGGATTGGATGTGATGTTTTGTTTTTTGTGACTAAAATAGTCTATTTTGTTTTTTGTAACTAAAATAACCAAAAAAGCCTCAACCAAAACTTCCTAAACGAAGCTTTAATTATAACTTATAACTTTTCGAATTAAGTTAAATTTTCTTATTTCATATATTATATTAAACATTTAAAATTCTTTTTAGAATTCATATCCAAATAAATTTTGTTAGCAGCTCGAATAAGCCTCTCCCGAATGAGTCCGGATCCTCTCCAGCCAAAGTTTCCAACCGGTCCTCCGGTCAATGGCTTGGATCTTGCCACGTCACCCCACTCAGAAAGAACGGCCCAGATCAACGAAAAAAAAAAAGACACAAATTTCAAATTTCCCACAAAACAGAGCTCCTCATTTTCAATCTGTAAACAAAAAAAAGAGATATATAATGAGAGGGAGAGGGAGAGGAGACACCGTCCATCTGCCATCGTTGTTGGACCGCCAGCCACCATTCCTCACCGGTGACCACCGACCATCTGCCATTCCTCACCGGCGACCACCAGGTTGAGAAACTAAAGTAGATTTGCAAGAAAAAAAATTAGGGCTTTTATTTGGGGCTTGGCTTTGATTTGGGGCTTGCAATGCATATGCATATATAATGTATGCATATACATATATAATGTATATATATACATAAAATGAGGAGCTGATAATGTATATAAACAAAAAAGCCGTCCATTTTGGATCTGTAAACACAACTATGGATTTTCAAATTTCAGATGCTCATAATGTATATAATATATATATATATACCACTGTCCATCTGCCATTGTTTTTTTTTTTTTCTTTACATGCTCATAATGGTTCATTAAAATATATATATATATATATATATTTGATTATGTGCTGTGTGCATCTTTCAGGAAATTTTATAGAGAACACTTTTCAAAAATAGAGGGAATGAATGAATATATACATTATCTTCAACACTTTTCAAGCACTGGCCCACTATAGGAAAATAATTTGAATCAGTGCTTGAATCAATAAATTTGAAAAGTGCTTGAATTATGGTTCTTGAATCAGAGTTAACAATGTCTTAGACAAATTTAGTTTGGCATCATTTTTTGGTTATTTTGAATTGATTTGATGTTTCCATTTATATTAATTATATGAACATATTAATCATTTTAGAGTGATTTAGAATCTGTTGAAAATCAGTGTGTTCAAAATCAGTGTGTTCAGATTATTGTAAACATTCAGATCATTGTGTTCAGATTATTGGGACTCATTTCCACTTTACAAGTACACAGGGTTTGGTGTTTAGATTGAACTTTTTTTATTGTGTATGATAAACATATGCATGTGAACCTCTTTTTTGTAGGTCAATGTCAATGTCAAGCACAAATGCAAGTATGGACAACATGCATAAAGTTAGATTCGAAAACCGCAATTGTTGATGTGACAGAAAAGCTATGGTGAAGATTTCTCAGTCAACGGATAATCCAAATTGCATTTATTTTGTATGCCACAATTATCCGAATGGTTGTAACTTCTTTCAGTGGTGGAAATGGTGGTTGAAAGAGTTGGTGCAAAATTGAATTACGCTTTTATTTTTTTTGTTTTGTTGTTGGTGGTAGTTGTGATTTTAGTGTATTTGAAATAGTGTAATGTAATTGGGATGATGTTTTGTTTAATGGTTGAATGTAATGGATTGCAATCTCATGTTAAACATAACAGTATTCATGTTGTAATCTCTTGACACTAGAATGCAAAACCTTGAGATGTTGACAATAGAATGTAGACTTCTCTTCACAGGATATTATTGTAGCTGTTGAGATGTTGAACAATCAGAAACCTGAGAATCAGGTTAGTGATACCAGTTTTGAGAATGCAAATTGTTTATTGACAAAGACTGGTAAGGCAGCAGGGGAACACCATATTCTCAATAAGGAGGTTGATATGGATGCCGAAGATAGAGAGCGACAGAGGAGCTGCGGACAGACGAGAGAGACACAGACAGGCAGCCGAAGATTGATGAGAGCGACGGACAGAGATACAGCCGAAGATACAAAGCAACAGACAGAGGATAGCCAGAGACAGACAAAGGATAGCTAGAGTTCCCAGCGAGCTATGGCCGTCATTGATGGCGGAGCGCTACGGTGGAGGAGGAGGATGGAGTTCGGATCCTCTCCAACCAAAGTTTCCAACCGGTCCTCCGGTCAATGGCTTGGATCTTGCCACGTCACCCCACTCAGAAAGAACGGCACGGATCAACGAAAAAAAAAAAGAAGCTAATTTCAAATTTCCCACAAAACAGAGCTCCGTAATTTCCCTCCCATTTAGCGTCTTTTCCTCTTTTCCCTCCCATTGAGTTCTTTCACCAGCAACATCTTTCTTGTGAAATAGACAGCGGTGAAGGCAACAAACATCGACCGCGGCGGACCTCGACGGCGGTGAACATCAACGCTCCGGCTCCGGCGACCGCGAACCAGAGCCTCGGCGAGAAAGCAATTCAGCTGCAAGTTTTGCTGGTGATGTTCCAGTCCCTTTGCAAATCTTGTGTTATTGTTCCCATTTTTGTTGTTACATTCAAAAAATTCATTCATTTATACATGAAATATGATATGAAAGAACACTTTTCATTCATATATATATATATATATATTTGATTATGTGCTGTGTGCATCTTTCAGGAAATTTTATAGAGAACACTTTTCAAAAATAGAGGGAATGAATGAATATATACATTATCTTCAACACTTTTCAAGCACTGGCCCACTATAGGAAAATAATTTGAATCAGTGCTTGAATGAATAAATTTGAAAAGTGCTTGAATTATGGTTCTTGAATCAGAGCTAACAATGTCTTAGACAAATTTAGTTTGGTATCATTTTCTGGTTATTTTGAATTGATTTGATGTTTCCATTTATATTAATTATAAATGATAGTTATATGAACATATTAATCATTTTAGAGTGATTTAGAATCTGTTGAAAATCAGTGTGTTCAAAATCAGTGTGTTCAGATTATTGTAAACATTCAGATTATTGTGTTCAGATTATTGTTCAGATTAATGGGACTCATTTCCACTTTACAAGTACACAGGGTTTGGTGTTTAGATTGAACTTTTTTATTGTGTATGATAAACATATGCATGTGAACCTCTTTTTTGTAGGTCAATGTCAATGTCAAGCACAAATGCAAGTATGGACAACATGCATGAAGTTAGATTCGAAAACCGCAATTGTCGATGTGGCAAAAAAGCTATGGTGAAGATTTCTCAGTCAACGGATAATCCAAATTGCATTTATTTTGTATGCCACAATTATCCGAATGGTTGTAACTTCTTTCAGTGGTGGATCCCTCCACATATGCAGCATAATTTGAAGGTGGTCGAGAATGATATCGATGAAGAACGCATGGAAGTCTTGTCTACTCTTAAAGAAATAATTATCGTGAATGGGAAGCTCAAAGACATGACTATAAAGAGTAGGAAACAATATAGAGACTTGGCAATGGTGGTTGAAAGAGTTGGTGCAAAATTGAATTACGCTTTTGTTTTTTTTGTTTTGTTGTTGGTGGTAGTTGTGATCTTAGTGTATTTGAAATAGTGTAATGTAATTGGGATGATGTTTTGTTTAATGGTTGAATGTAATGGATTGCAATCTCATGTTAAACATAACAGTGCTCATGTTGTAATCTCTTGACACTAGAATGCAAAACCTTGAGATGTTGACAATAGAATGTAGACTCCTCTTCACAGGATATTGTTGTAGCTGTTGAGATGTTGAACAATCAGAAACCTGAGAATTAGGTTAGTGATACCAGTTTTGAGAATGCAAATTGCTTATTGACAAAGACTGGTAAGGCAGCAGGGGAACACCATATTTTCAATAAGGAGGTTGATATGGATGCTAAAATTATAGAGGGAATGAATGAACAATATCTTCAACTAATATTTTTGGATGCTCATATATCAAATGATAGAATAGAAAATTCATCCACACATAATCAGAATTCATAAAAATTAAAATTTGCAAATGCTTCAAAAGAACCCAAATTCAGATATAACATTACAAGTACAAATCTGATTCAGATAGAACCCAAATTCAAATTTAACATTACAATTACAAATCTGATTCAGATAGAACCCAAATTCAGATAGAGCTAAGGTAAAATTAGATAACAACTCATGTTAAACAAATAGATTACAACACGAACTAGAAATATTCAGCACCAAGTGGATTGCAACAGGCTTAAAATTTGAAGTGCCTTCCACCTTCCATCTCTTTGTGCCCATCTATACCCTGAAAAAAATTTAAAAAAAAAAAAAAACAACAAAACAAAACAGTAGGAAAAAAATAGCATGAACTCAGTCCAAAAAAAGGGCAAAATAGCAGCACTTGGAGCACCCAAATAGCAAAATAGCAAGAAAAGAAAATCAAAACAGCAACTATTTCTGCCTTGATCAGTACCTGACTACACATTAAAGTGTTTGTTGCTCGAGAATCTGTATTTGAGCCTTGAGAATCTTGAAAAGCAATGTCATACCCACCTTGAAGCAGTGTCATAAATGAAGGTTCACTACAATATGGCAAATTGTTTGCCTACAATGAATTAAAAACAAAGCATATTGATTACGTAATCATATAATACCCACACAAAAAATACGTAATCATATTGTACCTACAAAAAAAAAATGAAAACAAATCTCACTCACATTATATGTGGGATATATCAATGGAGGTGGAACTGAAGGAGGAACATTTTCATCATTGTACACATCTCCTCCAACAGATAATGGAGAAGGTGTACCTGTCAGAACTGCAACAGATTGTGAAGAACTCAAAGATTTAGCACGTGATTTTCTTTTAAAGCTTGCTTCCAACGCCACCTCACATGGACCTTTTATCCTCCTTTTGCCCTTATTACTTGGGGCTTTTTTCTTCAATCCTGTTGGAATTTGTATAACATGATTGTTGTCTTGAGAAGCCACTTCCAAGCTTTGCGGTTGATCATTACAACTTAATTCATTTTCAGTAACAAAAAGGGCACTTATCTTGCTTTCAACATTTGCATCTAATGCAGCGACTTGTGAAAATGCTAAATCATAAGTTTTCTCAGTTTCAGCAGCTTTACATGCTACTGCTCTAAATGCAGTCATCAATGTCTTACACCGCGAGGCTTGTTGGAGTTTGACGTCTACTTCAATCCGATTCCCCAAGTTGTCCTTAATAGCTTCTGCTCTTGCTTGTTTGGTCCACCTCTTCATAACGTATTGTACAGGAACCTCTTTAAGCTTCAATATGTCTCTCACAACCTTCAAACAGTGACTGCACAAAATCCCTTTCCTTTCAAACTTTGTACAACTACAAGCCAAAGAGCCATCCATCTCCATTTTCACTTTCCTTGCATTTTTTCCAGTAGCATCAACAATTGTGTAAACAGTACAACCCTCCCCGTATTCAATTGCTTGTATGTCTGATTCAACAGAAAGAAAATACTCATCTTGAAACTCCTCAAAAATATTTTTAGTGTACACATTACCCATTTGACTTAACATTCTGAATAGCGCTCTCACCCTTGGCAACCTTTGGCACAAAGCATAGCCTGCTTCTAACTCCTTGTACCGCTTCTCAAAAAGTACCCTTTCAAAATGCATGAAGAATTCCTTTAAATTAAAATCAGAACGAATGTAATCCTTCAAAAACGCATTAAAAGATTCACTGAGTTGTGTCGTACTCATTCCCGTAGCCCATGTTGATTTAACATATGCCCAACCCCATTTTTTCCTTCACCCCAAAAGTCAACTTTAACCAATGATTATCGTGAGCATCATATGCATCAAGCATTTCCCCCCACTTCAATTTCCATTCATTTTCATCCTTAATGTCAAACAAGAATTTATTTAATACACCTTTCACCCCCTTATCTTGAAAGAGACAGTTAACATGCCTTAATGCATTTTGCATCAAATGCCAAGTGCACAAACGGTGACTCGTGTCAGGCATCACAATATGTATGGCCTTAGCCATTGCAGCATCTTGATCGCTAAACAAAGGTTTTGGTGCCTTTTTTGACATAGCCTCTAAAAAAGTTTGAAATAACCATACAAATGTTTCGGCAGTCTCATCATACAACAAAGCTGCACCAAAAACGACTGTTTCTCTATGATGGTTAAATCCCACAAAAGATGCAAATGGCCTATGCTCTTTATTTAACTTGTAGGTAGTATCAAATGTAACTACATCGCAAAATTAGGCATAATCCATGATCATTTGTGCATCGGCCCAAAACATATTCGTTATTTGCTCCTCATTATCTAACTGGAAAGCATAAAAAAAAGATGGATTCTCCACAGATTTTTGTTGAAAGTATTGCAAGACATTACCTACTTCCCCATATGCTAAACTTTTTTGTCTTTTGGTTCTCAAGTAATTTTTTTGATCTACTTTGAGAAACCCAAGAGACTGCCTCCCATCAACTTCCCTACCCATGAGTTCAAAAGATTGCCCTAAACGAAGACCAGACTGTGACGCTAAGTCTAACTCAATTGCTTGGGTAGGTGATATCTTTCTCTGCGATGGCAACATATGGGCACAATCTAGAGATACAAGTTGATGGTTGTGTTTTTCTTTGAAATCAATCACAACAAATTTTTCAGTACTGACATCCAATTTAACAAAAAGACGGGCCTCACAACCAATTCTAGTTTTAGCTCTAGGGTTTTTTGTCAATGGGTCTCGCTTGTCAACCTTCCGAAATCCCTCTTTGTTGCAAACCAAATTTCTAGAAATAATTCGATTAGTAACCTTGTTCTTCTTACAATATTCCCTTCTTATGCTAAACCCCATTCTTGCTCCATATGCATTATAAAAATCATACGCACTTTCTTCTGAATCAAAAGTCATTCCTTCTTTTGGCTTCCAAGCACAATCGTTGTCCATATCCATATCAAAACACAACTGCAAAGTAAAGACAATGAAATGGGAGAAGCTTTAGAAAAGCTTTCTTCATACACAACTTTAGAAACAAAAATAATAAAATTTGAACATTAACATTTGAACATTAATAAAATTTGAACATTAACATTTAAAAAATCAAACAAGAACCTTTAAAAAGCACATAACCTCAGGTTTTTAATGGGGTGAGATTTAAATTTAAAAACAAATATGATTTTGAATATTACATGAGGTTTCAAATTAAAAATATGTCCTTGTCATGTTGTCTAACCCATGGCTACCAGCAAGCTCTTTTTGAGTGGAGAAACTAGCTTAGAAAACAAAGGCAAAACAATTTAAAATTTTTTGTGTTAATTGAAGCAGTTATTTTTGTTATGCAAAACAAAGGCAAAACAATTTAGAAAACCCATGGCTACCAGCAATCATTTTTGTTATGTTTTTCATACTCTCAAAAGCTTATTATTCAACAATAATATGTCACTATTCTTACAAGTTTCTCTAAAACTTGTTTGACACTAATATTTTAATTGATCACAAAATATCCATATGCAAGCAATGAACCATTATCTTTTTTTTTTTTTTTTTCTATAATGGGTCATTAAGGAAGGTGTTATTTCCATGATTTACGCACTGAAATAATTCAAGCAAACCTGGAACTTTTCAAACATCACTACATGGAGCAGAAGCTATTATAATTTTTAGGAATTAATGAGTATTGGTTTTTGGAAACTGTTTATTCTATCCAAAAACATACAAGATGAAACAATATTTCAAACACATTTGGTGAAATTATTTTTGAAAAGTGTTCTCGATAAAATTTTCTGAAAAATGCACACAGCACATAATCAAATATATATATATATATGTATGAATGAAAAGTGTTCTTTCATATCATATTTCATGTATAAATGAATGAATTTTTTGAATGTAACAACAAAAATGGGAACAATAACACAAGATTTGCAAAGGGACTGGAACATCACCAGCAAAACTTGAAGCTGAATTGCTTTCTTGCCGGGGCTCTGGTTCGCGGTCGCCGGAGCCGGAGCGTTGATGTTCACCGCCATTGAGGTCCGCCGCCGTCGATGTTTGTTGCCTTCGCCGCTGTCTATTTCACAAGAAAGATGTTGCTGGTGAAAGAACTCAATGGGAGAGAAAAGAGGAAAAGACGCTAAATGGTAGGGAAATTACGGAGCTCTGTTTTGTGGAAAATTTGAAATTAATTTTTTTTTTCGTTGATCTGGGCTATTCTTTCTGAGTGGGGTGACGTGGCAAGATTCAAGCGATTGACTGGAGGACCGGTTGAAAACTGTGGCGGGAGAGGATCCGGACTCCTCCCGAATGGCTCGAATGAGTTGGAATCTGTGATTGAAGGGTTTGGCCCATTTGCCCAAGTCAGCGTGAAACCACGCGTTTACAAAACAAAGAAACGTAAGAGAGAGGAGAGAGGAGAGAGGAGAGAGAGGACCATGAAGTTGAATGTGAGAACAGAGCTGCCTTGCCTCTGAAGTCGAGCGACCGACCATAGTGTTCACCGTCGACCAGTGACCGTCGACCACCGTCCACCACTCTCCCTCTCTCTCTCTCTCGATTAGCGACCTTGTTGTTGTTGTTGGGACCTTGCTATTTTCATTCCTCTCTGTTTCTTCTTTATTCTCCTTCTTCTCCAATCAGGTAAACTCAAAGATGAGTACAGCTTTAATTGATTGCTACTATTTCATATTGATGCCATAATCATATTATTTTTTCTTTCTTCTATTCTTAAACTTGAATTTTTTTTTTCTTGATTTTTTCTGAGATTGAAAGGAATGCATCTTGGAGAAAGAGGTTCACATGCGCGAACATGGCTACATATAATTGAGCATCTTGCATCTTGCAAATAATTCTGCAAATAATTGAGCATCTTGCAGAACTATTTTGAAAGGGATGAGAAAGAGGGATAAAAGAGTGCATTTTGAAGAGAGGAGAGAGAGAACAATTATCACAGCTTTCTGGGTTCTGGTCTGAGAGGGATAGAGAGGAGAGAGAAAAACATGCGCGTGTTTGATTTTGGAGAGAGAATGGTTGCCTACGCCTTCTATCAAATTCGGGCGATTCGATCCCAAATTTCGATCTCAAATTTCGAGCTATCAATTTTTTCTCAAATTTTTTTAAATCATAATTTCAAAATGAGAAAAATGTTTGATAACTCAAAATTTTGTAGTTTAAATGGTTTAAATTTGTCAAAACAAGGACGTCATTTTATATTCAAAATAACATTGTTGTTTCAAAACACACAAATTCAAAATACAATTTTTTTATCAAATCATATTTACAAACCTGTACCAAACCGTACTTAACATTTTCCTTTTTTATTTTTTAGTATTTTCGAAATAGGTCTCTGATTTCACTTTGTACTCGTGTCTCGCAGACTCCCCATCAGCGATCTCCCTCATCGCGACAACCAAAACTTAATCGGCATCCCTCTGGCGAACTCCGGCACTGGCAGCCCCACGGCAACAACCTCCACCGGCCAGTCCAGCTCCGGGTACTACTAATGGCGTGTGTGGTATTATGGTTATGTTTTATTAATGAGTTTTGTCTAATTTCTCAGCCTAATCAAATTTTATTTGTCAAATTTATAGCTTTATTATCGGGTTGTTCTTCATTTTCAAGTAAATTTGAGTGTTTGTCAAGCTCAAGTAAATTTATTCATCAGTGCCTTACATCTGCCTTTGTTTGCAATATAGTTCAGAATAGTTGGTTGTGGCATACCAAACTGATGGTAAGTTGATAGTGCAGAGGATAATATTGCAAAGTTAATTGAAGTTTATTTTTTTAAATAATGGATCGGGCTAAGTTGATGCCTTTCATCTGCATCTGTTATTTTATTTATTGATTTGGAAGTTATATTACCGATATTCCATTGATTTGGAAGTTAAAATCTACATTTTTTGTTTATTTCAAAATTTTAATATATTTATAACATAATTATGACGTCACAGTCGATTATGGTTGAGTTGATGGATAAGAGTTTCAAAATTGACATGAGATGTGGTAATAGTACAATAGATGTAATTTATTTAATTTAATGGAGCATATAGCCATGGATAGAGTGGAATGGCGAAAAATGATTCAACTAACTGATCCCACTTAATTGGAACACAGGGCTTACCTTAGTTTGGTTTATGTCGTTTTTGGATTGGTTGTGACCAATTGTTATAATTTGTAAACCTTGCTACACTCTATCATCTTGTATAAATCCAAATTTTGGTTATTTTGTTCATGTTGTTCCATCTATTCTCCTCTCCTCTCTCTCTAGTCTCTGCCACTGCCACATCAATGGACTCCCACTCCGAGTCTATATCATTGCCAAACAACAAGTTTACCCCTGTCAGATCATAATAAGATGTTTTGCCTCTCCCCTCTCTATTTATGCTGGTTGATGTTTCTCCTCTCTCCCCTCCCTTGCTAAGGCAATGAAATGGCGTGTCTTGTGCAATCCAGGAGTGTTGAAGGCAGCCTTGGTGTTGATGACTTTGTACTTGGACTGCTACATACTGGGTCAACGTGTGCCTACCTCTGTGACCGCCATTCTCAACCTCTCCTCACCATTCCCTGAGGTATGTGATCCAATCCCAACTATTAGCGTGCTTCAGTTATTTTTTTTGTCTTTTCTTTATTTTTTTTCGTGTCATTTGTCTATAATCAATGATAGATTGGTTTGGTTTTTTTGCTTGTATATATGTTTGTGGTGGTGGTTGTAATGTTCAATCTGTTTTAGTAAGGTAGGAATTGGGCAAACATAGTAACAAATCATTGGGTAAACACTGTTGTTTTACAGAATGACATTGTTTCAGATCTTTATTTGTAGTTATATACGTATAAATATGGTTTTATGTATATGCTTGTGGTGATAGACTGATAGTTTCAATAGCGTTTTTAGTTTCAGAAAAGTGCATCTCAAATGAGGTAAATACCTAAAGAAAATGTCAATCCTTTTTAATAAGGAAGTAGATTGGGGTTTAATACATTCAAGTGGAACCACATTTCGGTTCTAATGAAAGATTGGTTTAGTTATGGGTGCAAAAATTTGGAACTGATCAACGTTGGTTTGGTTAAGAGTTAGACATCAACCTGAACCAAACTGACCCTTACACATCCCTCAGTACTCCATTGCATAGGAAATCAAAATCATTCTCAATAGGTGTAGTGTGGAGTGAGAGTGTAACGGGGTAAGGTAAGGAAAGTGGCCCGCAGAGATAATGTTTCCAGTGTTCAGCAATTACTATCCCTCCCCTCGGTTCTCTTTAAATCATAATTTCAAAACACAAATTGTCCTTGTGGTGGCGAGCGCCTGATGTGGTCTAGGTGGTTTGGATTTACCCCTTCCCTATACATGCATATTTATATATATATATATACACGTGTTTGATGATAGCTATCCCTTTCCTAGTTTACTCTTTCTCTATACATGCATATATATATACACATGTGTGTTGTACGCAATATCTTTTTATATATATTTTGATATATTGTAGTATTTATAATCTTAATGTTGCCTCAGTTTCTCTATTCCATGGTTTTGTCATAAATCTTTGCAGGTGTGTGTGCGTTCGTGCAGTGAAAGAGATAATAATTTTAAGGTATTAAACAAACTATTAATTAGCCATAAGGATAATTTGTTACTTTTATAGCTGTGAAAATAATGGGAAAATAGCAACAATGGCTTAATTTGTTTACCATAAATCGTTGAGTCATTCTATCTAGGATTTTTGCTGTTGTTGTGTTTTGTTGCTAATAATCAATTTTAGAACATTTTCTATCTTTGGTATAACTCAACAAAGTTTTTGAACAATTTAAAAACATTGGTCACGAAGAAATTTTTATTTTCTTCATACATTGAATTTGAATAAAATCAAAAAACACTCTTGGTTATGTTTAATTTCATTCCATTTTTTGTTATTCTATTTCATGCATTTATGATATGAGCATGACATCATGGCTGGGGTTTGGTTAGTTCTGTATTTTCTCCTCTTTCATGGACTGTCTGATATTTTTAAAAATATAAGTTCATTCGTATGAAATTATTTTATTAAGGGAAGCCTGGTAATGCTGGACCAAATTAAAATGATCACTGAGGTAAATTATGAAATTGAATTAAATTATAGCCTTCATGGTAATGTGGCATCATGAAAAAATGTTACTAGGAACATTTAGTCTTCATTTGTGGCAATATGTTGCAGTTTTGGAGGGGACTATTTTCATTATTCACTTCAGTAGTGATAATTTTGCCCTAAAAATGTTTTACACAAAGATACATTTTTAGTGGTGTGAAAGAGATACATATATATTTTATTTTCTATTTTGGTATTAGAATCTTAGGAGGCTTGTGTTTGGTTTTTATGGTTTCAGAAAGAGGGCAATGTTTGAAGGGCTTGTTCGCCAACTGCTTGTGGGTTATCTTGGCCAATACATTAAAGATATACAAAAGGAACAACTTAGGATCAGCCTATGGAATGGTAACCAATTTGATTTTTTCCTCTTTTCTTATCATTATGCTCTCTTCTTTTGTAATTACTATTATTTGGATGGATATTAGTGTTAATTTTTCAACCTCTCTAAAATATATTTATATTATAGTTTGTCTGCTGTTATCATCCCTATGTTGATATGTACAAAGATGTTTCTTTTTACATTTAGATGGCATGTGCATTGAATTTTTTTTGATGATTTTCTCATGCAGAAGAAGTATTATTGGAGAATGTAGAACTGATTCTTGAAGCTTTTGATTATCTCCAGCTGCCGTTTGCCCTAAAGCAAGGTGTTGTAAACTAACCACTACATGTACATAGTTATTGTTCTTTGTTTTTTGAACCACTAGTGTTTTTATTCCAGTAACATCTTTGCATATTTTCTTCACGTGTGCCTTTTATTTTTTCACTTTGCTTCATCTAAATTCCTTATGGGTATGATTCAACTGGGATTTCATCATAATTACTCATTGTATTTTGCTTTAAGTACATGAAGCTAAGTTAGGAGTTATTAGGATGTCTTATTAAAAATAGAAAAAGAAGATAACTGGGGAGATGGTGCACAGCTGGACACAGTTTCTGATTTTGTTCATTATAATCTGCTTTTGTGGGTACTATAACTTATCTTTGCTATATTAGGACATCCAACACAACTGGACTCAATTTTTATTCATTTATTTATGTGTGGTTTGTTCCATAACTTTTCCTTCTTATGATGGTTTTGGGCTTAGTAAACAATGAGTTCTTTGTGGAAAATGACCACAAATATTCCATCAACCATCTACAAATTGGTGTGGTTTCTAACTTCAAATATCATTTCTACTGCCTAGCAAGAAATTAAAATTATTAGTACCCAATTCTAAGTTTTTACTATTTTCACATTTACTATTGCCCCCCCAATAAAATAAAAATAAAAATAAGTGAAAAAAAGGCATAAGGAAAACTGGAGAAGTAAAAGTTGCTATGTGAAGATATATAATGATATAGCTAGATCATCTATTTTTGTATTCCCTTGTAGCATTGCCCTTGTGGTGGCGAGCGCCTGATGTGGCCTAGGTGGTTTGGATTTACCCCTCTCTGTCAAGATGCTTTTTATTGATTTCAAGGGTTTTGGTTATAATTCAAAGCCCCATGTTATTTGGAAATAAGTAGTTTGTGCTGTTCTTTGGTTGCTAAGGAATTGAAGAATTTTTGAGGAATAATCTGAAAATGTTGAAGGCTTATGCAATAAAATTTGTTGTTTGGCTTTTCTTTTTGGGCTTCAACATTGTCTCCATTCGTGGGAATTATATTATTTTTGATCAGTAGCGACTGCAAGACCTCGTGTGATTTGTAAAACTTTTTTTAAGCTTGGTTGCTCTCATAAAAGATGGGAATCATTTATCTACTTAACCTTATCCTTTGATGTTTTTGTACTCGGAACTGCTTTTACTCATATATGCTCTTTCTGAATGCCCTTGAACATGATTGTTTTGGAAGGTCGAGTTGGGAGGTTAAGCATCAAAATTCCATGGAGAAAGCTTGGCTGGGATCCCATTATAATTTCTATAGAAGATGTGTTTGTTTGGGCATGCCGGCGGGATGACCAAGAGGTAGTTTTGATCTCATGTGTCTATACGAGGAAAGATGATTTCTCTTTCTGAATGTTTTTTTTTGGTTCCAAAGGGAGCTGAACCCCAATCAGAAAAAAACTAATGGGAGGACATACGAAGGGAGCCAAGACCCTATGTTCTCTCATTCTCTCCCTCTTTCTCTCTCTCTCATTTTATTTATTTATTATTTTTTTTTTACTAATGTTACATCAACCCATTATCACAATCAAACTTCAAAAAGAGAAAAACTCAAGAAAGAGATTATTCTTCAGAACTTTTGATGGCAAATTATTTTGCCTGTTTTTGCGGTAGTGGAGTATGGATGCAGTAGAAAGGAGAGAATTTGCTGGAAAAAAAGCCAAACTTGCTGCAGCTGAGCTGGCAAAATTGTCAAGACGTGTTTGTGGTGAGCAATTAGACTTCCGCTATTTAGTGCCAGTAGTGGTGTTTTTTAGTTAATATGTACTTTATTTTGATGTTCTTTTCTTTCTTCTGTCTATTTATCTATCGTTCTTTCTTTTTCCTTTATTTTTAGGATATTTTTCTTAGCCATTTGGCAGGCTATCAGATTCACTTAATTCTTGTCTCGAAGGACACAAGGATGCAACTATATTTCATATTTCTTTTATTTTTAATGGTTTAAATTACTCTGTTTGGTTTTGAGTTTTCAATCCTTATTTTTTAAAAATATTTTGGTCAATTTTTTTTTAATTTTTTATATGCATCAAATATAGATTTACTTAAAAAGTAAAATATTTGTGAAGAAATCTTTAAAAAATCAATAAGTACAGAAAAATATGAAAATGTACTTATTGTTTTTATTTTTTTGGTATGTAGTGATTTTTTTAAAAGATTTGTTCATAAAATTTATGCTTTTTAGATGTATTTATATTAAGGCCTCATTTGGCAAGTGTTTGTTTTAGCGTGAAAGTCAAAAAATTACTAAAAAAATCAAAAAGCCTATAACCTATACAAAAAAGTCAAAGATTGTTTTTTCTCTCTACTTTTTGCACATCTTTTCATAAAAAACCAAAAAGTCATTTCAAACATACTATTTTTTTTACCTCATATTTTAGCCAGAAAACCAAAAAGTTATTAAAATAGCATGTTCCCAAACGATGCCTAAGTGGATGTAAAAAGTAAAAAACATTGATTTACATATTAACAAAAGTCACTAAAAGCAAAAAAATATGGATTGAAAACTCAAAAACTGTTTTTGAAAATTCTAAAACCAAACTGATATTTTCAAACTAAAATAGTGCATTGCTTTCATTTTTCTTGAATGTTTTTTTATTTATTTATGTCATGTATTTTTCTTATTTATTTACTTTGTTTTTATAGGGTTGGCACCCCCTGCATCTTTTTGCATATATAATCATGATTACTTGTCAAAAAATGGTACTTTTATTGGTAGTTATGTTGCAAACTTGGCTCCATACGTACTTGTTGGGTGCCTGTCCAACTAGTCATATTGGACATATATACTCTTAAGTCTTACCTCTGTCTCTAGTGTCCGACATGAGTACTTCACAAATTTAGAAGTCTATGTAACATACGGTAAGATGAAATATGTGTATTTTCTTTCTTTCTTTTTATCTTTGTTTTTTAATAAATAATAGAAAATACTAAAATGTTGGAAAATGTGTATAAAAATATGTGAAAATGTATTGAGATATGTGAAAAGTGTATTGAGATTATAAATATTTTGGCATTAAATGATATACACTACTACAATTTCTAATTGCTTGTGCATAAATTATAGGAACATGACTATTATTTCTAAAATTATAGGATCATGTTTGTTTCATTTGGCTGACTAAATATATTCTTCTAATAAATATAAATATTAACAAAGCATCAAGGAGATGCCTCCCATGTACAATCTGCAAAACACTAACTTAGCTTATCACATGACCCCACAAAAGTGTGACAAAATGAAGGAGAAGATCTAATGACCCCCTTACTATCTTCTTTATAATCTCTCGACCTCCTTTTTGCCTGTGGTTCATCCCTCTGTCATGGCCCCATTTCTTGGATTTTTTTTATTGGGGGTGTACCCTACTTGAAATACTTGTAATTGTAATGAAATCTGTTTCCACGATCTTTTTAATTTTCTCCCGTTGAGGGTTTGCTTAGCTGTCTCCACACAAGTTGATAAAATTAATTTGCCTCATCCAAACCATTCCTATAAGCATCTCTCCCTCCCTCCTCTCATTCAATCTTGGAAAGCATTGATTTGATCAGTTTTTCCAATATGCTTGCTGAGTCCGACAATGGCTTTTATTTATTACTGATGATGCTTGGCATTGATTGTGATTCCTTAATCAGTCAATCAATCAATATAAGAGGTGATTGCTTAATCAATGCCTTAGGGCTTCATTTTGTAACAGTTGATTGATTAATATAAAATACGATGATATCATAATCATTATCCAAGCTTTGTATTGTCATAAATTACATGGTATTAGACCCAAAACCCTAAAAACTGTCATCCACACAGCCGCTGCCACCAACTAGCCATCACCTATCACCATCTATCCTCCATTATTGGTCTCTAAGTCTCCATCGGAACCAACCAAGGTCCTACAGAGCTGTTTCGGCTTCAGCTAAAGGCCCTTTTGGCCTAGTCGACCCTTGTGAGGGCTGTTCTAGCCTCTCTTTGTGTATTTCAGCTCTTGTGGATGAGTGTTTGAGGCTGTCCATCTTCTATTGCCCCAAGTTTCTTTCCCTTTACTTTCTTGAACACAATTCAACACTTGTTTTGATTGGAGGTTCGTTTTCCCGTATTTGATTTGTTTTTTGGGTCCATAGGTGACCCATTAATCTGATTGTTATGCTCCCATAGTAGTCTGTATGTAATTTTGCTTGTTCCAGCCCATTCCATTTCTTTTTCCATTCTTGTGATCGTGAAAGATTTTTTGGTTGAAATTGTAGAGTTCTTATGGGTGACCTAACTAGTGAATCCACCACTACTTCTCACCCATCTAAAGGGGAGAGCTCCAGTCCAGTTGTGACTACTACATCTGAGAACCTGAACCCTAGCCTCAAAATCACCAGCGCTTTGTTTAATAGTCAGAATTACCTTTCATGGTCTCAATGTCTGACAGTTTTTCTGAAGAGAAGAGGGAAAATGGGAAATGTTAATGGGGGAGTTTAAGCACCAAGTATTACGGATCTTGGCTATGACCAATGGGAGATTACTAACTCTTTAATCATGGGATGGCTTATTCATTCCATGGTTCCTGAGATTGGTGAAGGCTACTTATTCATGGATACTGCCCAGGATATTTGGGAAGCAGTCGCTGTTATATATTCTCGAAAAGAGAATTTTTCTTAGTCTTTTGAGTTGCGCCGGTCTATTGAGCGCTCAGCACAAGGGGAGCAGACTGTTCTCTAGTATTACACCTTTCTAACTAATGGTTGGAAACGCCTAGATCATCTTTTGGATTACAAGCCTGTTTGTACAGTTGACTCAGTTGGTTACCAGTAGGTCTCTGCACATGAGAGGGTCTTCAAGTTTCTGGAAGGCCTTAATGTGGAGTTTGATCTGGTCTGGAGTCGTGTCTTTAGCATGGATGTTCTTTCATCTCTTCAAGAGGCCTTTGCATATGTATAGAATGAGGAGAGTCGTCGTTCTGCTATGTTACTACCGGCTACTGGAGACCATTTAGCATTACTTTCTGCTTTTCTCGAGATAGAGCTGGTTTGTCACTACTTCTTTCCCATCCTTCAAGAAAGGATATTGTGTTTTGTGATTACTGCAGCAAGTCGCGGCATACTCGCGAGACTTGTTGGAAACTTCAAAGGGTTCCATTAGGGAGTCGGGGTGATCAATCTGGTACTAGAGGTGGTTGATCAGGCCAGTCTAGAGACCCTTGATTCTACTTTTGCTTTAGTTGGTCCGACTTCTGATAGTTTATCTAGCATGACTTCTCTTGAGCTTGAGGATGTTCTGCATCATTTGCTGGCCCGCCAGTTTTCTACTGCTCCCAGTGCATCTTCCTTGTTGTTTGCCTGCTCAGGTAACTTAGCCTTTTCTTCTAGTGCTTTTCTTTCCCATAAATCTTTGTCATGGATTATTGATTCTAGTGCCTCAGATCATATGTTTGGGTCTTCTGACATTCATTTTCTCAACATATAAGCCTTCTTAGGTCAAGACAAAGTTAGGATTGCAAATGGTGCCGTTTCTTCTATCTCCGGGAAAGGTTTAATTCATGTCACCCCTACTGTCCTCTATCTTCAGTGTTCCACGTTCTCAATTTTTTTGTTAATCTTCTATCCTTGAGTCTTATTATTAAGGATTTGAACTGTAGTGTGCAATTTTTTTTCCTGATCATTGTCTTTTTCAGGACCTTGCCACGAGAAGGACGATTGGCAGTGGTAGTGCAGAAAATGGTCTCTATTTATTAGTTCAGCCGAACAAGCTTGCTCATCATTCCATCTAGTTCCCAACCACCAAGGAGGATTTATGGCCATGGCATCAACATCTTGGGCATCCTTCTTTTCATTTACTTAGGAATTTATTTTTGTCTGTTTTTACAAACAATAGTATGTCTGAGTTTCTTTGTGAGTCTTGTCAGCTTGACAAACAACACTGAGCTTCTTTTGCTCCAAGTCTTGATAAAAGTTTAGCTCATTTTTCTTTAATATATTCTGATGTGTGGGATCTATCTCGTGTTATGTCTTTAAAAGGCTATAGATGGTTTGTTATCTTTATCGATGATTTTCTTGTACTACTTGGGTGTATCTCATGAAAGAAAAAAGTGAGATTTTTTCTGTGTTTCAAAATTTTCATAAAATGATTTGTACTCAGTTTGGGGCAATTGTCAAAATCTTGCATTCTGATAATGGGGGTGAATACATCTATTCGGGGTTCAAGAGCTACTTTTCCACTCATGGCATTATACATCAGACATCTTGCACCAATACCCTCAACAAAATGGGGTCGTAGAATGCAAGAATCGCGTCATCTTCTTGATATGGCTCACTACATGTGTTTTTCTATGAGTGTGCCTCGGTCCTATTGGGGTGAGGCCATTCTCACCGCAGCCTATCTCATTAATCGTCTTCCTATCCAGGTTTTGCAAAAACAAGCTTCACTTTAAGTCCTTCTCGGTTCGGAGTCTTTGTTTTCCATTCCCACTAAAATATTTGGCTGTGTCTGTTTTGTCCACAATCATTCTTTTCCTCTTCTTTGTGAGTTTTGTCAGCTTGACAAACAACACTGAGCTTCTTTTGCTCCAAGTTTTGATAAAAGTTTAGCTCATTTTTCTTTAATATATTCTGATGTGTGGGATTTATCTTGTGTTATGTCTTTAAAACGCTATAGATGGTTTGTTACCTTTATCGATGATTTTCTTGTACTACTTGGGCGTATCTCATGAAAGAAAAAAGTGAGATTTTTTCTGTGTTTCAAAATTTTCATAAAATGATTTGTACTCAGTTTGGGGCAATTGTCAAAATTTTGCATTCTGATAATGGGGGTGAATACATTTATTCAGGGTTCAAGAGCTACTTTCCCACTCATGGCATTATACATCAGACATCTTGCATCAATACCCTCAACAAAATGGGGTCGTAGAATGCAAGAATCGCGTCATCTTCTTGATATGGCTCACTACATGTGTTTTTCTATGAGTGTGCCTCGGTCCTATTGGGGTGAGGCCATTCTCACCGCAGCCTATCTCATTAATCGTCTTCCTATCCAGGTTTTGCAAAAACAAGCTTCACTTTAAGTCCTTCTCGGTTCGGAGTCTTTGTTTTCCATTCCCACTAAAATATTTGGCTGTCTGTTTTGTCCACAATCATTCTTTTCCTCGTGGTAAGTTGGACCCTCGCTCTCTCAAGTGTGTTTTCCTGGATACTCACCTACTCAAAAGGGGTACAAGTGTTATTACCCTCCTTCTCATAAGTGGTTTGTGTCCATGTATGTTACCTTTTTTGAGTTCCAGTCCTACTTCTTGTTTTCTCCGGTGTCACAGTCATCCCTTCAGGGGAGCCTTGGTATGAAGAGATTCCTGTTGCCCTTGTTGCTCCTATGGTGGAACCAGTTGTTCTTGCATCACCTATTATTGGGACTATAGAATCCAATGCCACAAAGGACAGGGAAGGGCAAGTTTATGTCAGGGATAAAGACAGACAGAAAGTTACTTGGATACAAGAGACCACTTATGTCACCCATTGCCATCTCCTGCTTCTGATAAGACTCTAGGTAACTTTGAACCTCTTGTTTCTCTTGAGTCTACTGATATTGCTATTCCTGACACTACTAATCTTGATATTCCTATTGCCAAGAGAAAGGGTGTGAGATCTTGTACTCAACATCCTATTTCAAACTTTGTGTCCTACTCTCATTTGTCTTCCTTTTATAGAACCTTTGTGTCAAACATTTCCTCTGTTAGTATTTCTAACCATTTTCAAGATGCTCTTGATACCTCTGAATGGAAACTTTTTATGATTAAGGAAATGAAAGCACTTCGTAAGAATGGCACTTGGGAATTAACTGAGTTATCTAAGGACAAACGATCGGTGGGATGTAAATGAGTGTATACTGTGAAACACAAAGTAGATAGTTTCATTGAGCGTTACAAGGCTCGACTTGTGGCAAAAGGCTTCACTCAGACTTATGGAGTATACTATCAGGAGACTTTTGCACCAGTGGCTAAGATGAATTCAGTCAGAATACTTCTCTCTCTAGCAGCTAATTTAGATTGACCATTTCATTAGTTTGATGTAAAAAATACTTTCTTACATGGTGATCTAGAAGAAGAGGTATATATGGACATTTTTCTTGGTTTTGAGGATCATCAGATAGAGGGTAAAGTATGCAGGCTTTGAAAGTCGTTATATGGTCTCAAACAGTCTCTAAGAGTTTGGTTTGAGAGATTCATTCAGGTTATGCTTAAATATAGTTTCAAATAGAGTCGAGTAGATCACACTTTGTTTGTGAAGCATTCCTCACGTGGTAAGATTACAACTCTCATTGTTTATATGGATGACATAGTGCTTGCAGGCGATGATAGTGAGGAAATACCCTTGTTGAAGGAAATATGTTCTTGACCTTTTGAAAGAAACATGGATGTTTGGATGTAAGGCCTGTGATATCCCATTGGAACCTAATCAAAAACTTAGTGATGATGAAGGAGGAGCAGCTATTGATAGAGGGAGTTATCAACGACTAGTGGATAAGCTCATTTACTTATCTCACTCTTGTCTTGATATTGCTATTATTGTCAGTATGGTTAGCTAGTTTATGTATGCTCCTCATCAAATCAAATTCACTTAGAGGCTGTTATGAGAATTCTGAGGTACTTGAAATCTTCTCTAAGAAAGGGCCTTTACTTTTTCAAACATGATCACTTCAGAATGGAAGCCTATACAGATGCTGATTGAGCATGGTCAATAACTGATAGGAGATATACATCAGGATATTGTACCTTTGTGGCCAACAATCTTGTTACTTGGAGGAGTAAGAAATAAAATAGATCGAGTGCAGAAGCTAAGTTTAGAGCTATGGCACAAGGTGTGTGTGAACTCTTATGGATCAGACTGTCGTTGAGTGATTTGGGGATGAGTCAGACAGACTCTATGCAGCTATATTGTGATAATAAGGCGACCATCGACGTAGCTTACAATCTTGTTCAACATGACAGAATAAAGCATGTTGAGATTGATTGCCACTTCATCAAGGAGAAACTCATCAGCGGCATGATATGTACTCCTTTTGTGAAGTCCGGCGAACAACTTGTAGACATCCTCACCAAGGGAGTTGGGGGTAAATCATTTCATGACATTCTAGGCAAGCTGGGCATGCGAGATATTTTCGCATCAGTTTGAGGGGGAGTGTTAGAATATTTCATGGTTTTCTTATTTAGATTAGATTGTGATTGATTGATTGTGATTCCTTAATTAGTCAGTCAGTCAATCAATCAATCAATATAAAAAGTGATTCCTTAATCATTGTCTTAGGGCTTCCTTTTGTAACAGTTGATTGATTAATATAAAAGTTAAAAGGTGATGATATCATAATCATCACCCAAGCTTTGTATTCTCATAAATTACAAAATGTTGAGGCAATGTGTCATGGGATTGTGCTTGTAGGTGTGGGTAAGGCACTGAATTAGAACTGATGCACATATGCCATGGGGTCGTGCTCCTCTGCCAGAAGTCACCAACACTAGGGAGGCGAGCAAAAGAAAAGGCACATGAATTAGAACTGATGCACAAGTGTATGCAACAAATACATTTTATTAAGCAACTGGTAGGCATGGTGATGTGACAACAATACATGATCAACATTCTACAATTTATTTACACAACAGTCATTGCTACCCAATTTGGGTATCAGACTTACTTGATCGATAGTCTTATTTATGCTTTATAGATATTCACCAGGTTGGCAATAACAAATATCCTCCCTTTTTTAGGAATTGTAAAACTGAAAATAAGCAACTACAAGACATTTATTGACAGAAGTGCTATTGCTACATGCAATCCATGACACATGGCCTTCACTGGTAATGTAAGAGAAAAAAAGTTCATCTATTTGAAAGGTATGATCTTATACATTATGTATATTTTGTGCCCTCATATATGTCAATTGTTTGGCACCTTAGCATCTTACCCATTTTGGATTTCAGAACTACTCCGAAAGTGCAATTTGCTTATTACCATGACAGGGTAGATATGTAATTCCCTGAACTAACCCTTTTCCATTTTCACATCCTTAAATCTATCTCTAAGTTATCTTTTTCTTGACAAATTGATGGTTTCTCAGCGGGACACAATCCCTGAGCAATTGCCATCATAAAAGGCAGGCAAGGTGATTGTGCCATTGCTGCTGGTAATTTTTTAAGCTTCTTTAGTAATATTCCCCATACCTTACCCTTTCCCCTTTATATTCTCACACTTCTTTGATTCTGGTCACTGGCTTTCTGCCCCAAGCTCATTCCCTTGAACTCATGACCCTGTTTACTTTCCAAACTTCAAAATTGTAAACATAAATATGAATGGAAAAGGCAAATTAAAGCAAATAGGGGAATCGGCTTCTTGGAGAGGGATTCTGCAACAGTGGGGAAGGGTGAAGGGGAAAGATGAATGTTTCTGCAAGAGATATCAAGGGAGACTAAGGAGAGAGAATCATAGAAGGAATAAGGATCTGGATGCAGGCATTTAAAGTGGACTAACAGATTCAGCTTTTACTTGTCGGACTCTACAAACGATTAACCGTGGAGATATTATTTCCTACAATGACTCTGGGAACCATGCAATGTACCCTGTGGTAGATTAATGTGGTCCAGATATATAGTTCTCACTACTAAAATTACTTTTCTAATTTTCAAAATAATGACTTTTTTATATTTGTTTTCTTGGTGGTCTGTGATTTTCTATGGGACGCCATGATGATATGAGACCCAGCTGTGATTTCTTTTGCTACAAAAATTATCTTTCTATATATATATATATAATTTGGCTTATAGCAAGTTTTTCTTTTTTGCAGATAATCAGGCTGGGGAATCATTTATTTCATACATTACTGCAAAGGTAATATTGCCTTGTTGATGACCTTCTTATGTTCTTTGGCATAGTCTTGTTAATTAGTTAGTTTCTCTGTTGGGGATTCATGCAAGTCTTGTTGGAAAAATTTATTTTCAGTTTCTGAGATTGGATGTTCACATGACAACTGATTTTGTTTACTCATGTTTTCTAGATTCTGGACAGTATTCAAGTCTCCATTAGAAATGTCCATGTCCTGTATCGTGATTTGCTGACTGACTCGGTATAATCTTGACCTCCCTGCAATTCTTTGACATTCTTTGCTCATTCGTTTTAATTTTTGTTGTGTTTTCATATCATTCTCTATTATCTTAGAGCATTTCTATGAAGCATGGACACTCCAAAATCGGTGCCGTGGCGGTGTCCGACACGTGGACACGCCGGAGACACGTACAGGACACGCCAGATGGCTTGTCCCTTTAATTTAATGATTTTTTTGTAGGGGACACGGCAAGGACACACGTGTCCATATCGGAACACGGCATGGGATATGGCGGGGCTCATTTTTTTTTTCCCTTTCTTTTGCCTCTCTTATTTAGTGCTTTTGTGAAGAATATTGTTGGATGCTGAATGTTTTTCCCTTCTCGTCTTAGTTCTTGTTATCGTTTATTATGACTTTTTTGTGAATGAATGATCTAGTAATGTGTTTAAATGTAGTGGTTATATTTATTGAATTAATGTTACTATGTTAGTGTTTGTTAATTTTGATTTAGTATGAATGTAATATGAATCTACATAACACAAAAATATATAAAAAAATATAAAAAAAATTCTCCGTGTCCGTGTCCGTGTTCGTGTTCGTATCTGTGTCTGTGCTTCATATCTAAATTTTCTTCTATCATTAACTCTCAATTTGAAATGGTTTCTCTTGTGTCATTTAATTTCAAATTTTCTAGATTTTTGGTGAATATGACACTTTGAGTAGACGCAAAATTTACCAAACCTATAAATTTTATGCCATCAAGTGACCTTAGACAACTTTTTCTTGTTGTCCTCCTTGAGAACAGCCAAGTTCTAGTTTTTTCTTATTATTTTTAATCTGTTTTATTTATTTTTTAAAGGAGGTCAATTGAACAAGGGGTCAGCTCTAATAATACACATACAACAGTGCTATTCGAAACTTTTGGGGTAAAAACTTTATATGAAAAATAAGTTCATTGACATGAAATGTATCATTAAAGAAGAAATAATGATGTTAACTGCAACATCAAGGGTGGTAGAAGCATGGAGTTTTAGAAAATAGATGTTAATCGTATTTTAATAGTTTTTCTCAATATTGTGAAAATTTACTTTCATTTTCTGCCTATAGGAATTAAGAGGAAATAATTGTGCTTTGAATTTTCATTGAACTAGTGGTTGGGCACGTGATGTGTGAACCTTTGAAGGTTCAATACATCCAATTGGATGGTTGTTTTTTGTACATTTTATTCTTCAAATTTTACGCACAAAGTGGGTTCCATTATAACCTAACACACACATTAACTTGTCTGTTGGAGTATCCGTACACTCACTAAATTAGCAAACATTTAAGACACAGAATTAGTATCCACTTTTGCCTATTTGTACATTTTTTGTTGAGTGCTGCGAAATGCCCCTGCCTTTTTTCTTTGGACCCCCCACTTCTTTGAACCTCCACTCACCTAATTGAATCTCTCCCATCTTCTCTTTGAACCCCCACCGTAATACCAACTATACCCTTGTTCTTTAGATCCCCAACTCTTTTTCTTCTGGCAACTCCTCTGCCTGCCGGCAGCCCTTCACCATCGGCGACCTTTCACCAGCGACCTCCACCCTCATTCCCGCTACCGCTCTCCCTCCTCAAACCAGAAAAGTAGCAAATATACATAACTTGTAACTTTTATATAGAATAGCACATAAGGAGATGATAAGCATGATATAAGATTCAATTCAAAACTTTCAATGCCTAGTGCCAATAATCCATTATCAATCCTCACAATCAAACGTTTCAAATTTCAATGTAAATAACGCATAGCCACTTTAAACCATGAGAGAATCAATGACACAGAGACACCCTCATTGCGCTCTCTCTCTCTCTCTCACTCTCTCACTCTCACTCTCTCGATCGAGATCGAGATCGCAACTCCATTATCAAAACTCATCACAGCACACCAGACCAAGAGCAATACATATAGAGAGAAGAGAAAATGACATACTATCCGCGCGACGACATTGACGAGTAAGATCCCACTCCTTATGGTGGTAGATACGACATATCCCTCACTTATGGCCGCCCTCTTTCTCTCTCATCAGGATCTATTATCTCACCACCACCACCTCCTCCTCCTCTGACTTCCACTTTGATTGCCCCCACTACTACTCCGCTTATGCCGACAAAGCTCTCGGCACCGAGTACAAGAGCTATGGTCGATGGTGGCTGGAGTTGATGGGAATGGCTGGTTAGGGTTTGGGAAATTAAGGTTAGAAAGTTAGGGATGAGGGTAAAAATGAAATTTCATGTTTGGACAAAATTGGAATTAAAAAAAATAAAAGAGATGGGGGTTGCTAAGAAAAAAGGTAGGGGTAAATAACACTATTTTTTTTTGATTGGCATTAGGATGTCCGGATCAAAACCTTACTAATTCCTAGGGGTGTACAAGCCCTCGGCAAGCAGTTTCCGGTAAGTGCACCATGGTTAATTCAAGGGTTTTTCCTCTAGTTTGATGGCCCTAAGGAAATTGTTAGCACCTAAGAGGTTTCGATCCCTGAACCTTGGAGGGAGCACACCTCCAAGATCCAAGTCCTTGCCATCAGGCCAACCCCTTGGGGTTGCCTATTTGTGCATTTTAACAATACTATGTATAGAGGTTTTTAACTCATCCATTGTGTATGCTTTAAATCCCACTATAATTATTATTATTTTTATATTGAGTGCCATATTAAATATTGCGGGGTGCTTATACTCTGATCTTGCTTTTGGGTGTTGCTGCTTTTGATTGGTTGTTTAGGCAGTGGTGCACAAATGCTATGTATGGAGGTGCATTAAAGTGTGCTGTGTTTTGATTGGATCTTTAGGCATGCTATAAAGAAGGAGATAGCTATTTATCAAAAAAATAAAATAAAAAATAAAGAAGGAGATAGCTAGGAGGAAAACAAACACAAGTCTCGTTTCTGTGCTACATGGAGTGGTGGAAATTATCACTGGACTCTTTTACTTGAAACGGTGTCTCGATTAAACATCATAGAGCTTCTCTTTTTTATGTTTGGATGTGGGTTATTCATTTGAATTTTTAATGTTGACATTATGAACCTGAAATGTTCCTGCCATAAGATTTGGAATACTTGCTCAAATTTTCTTGTTTGTATTCCAGGCAGAAACAGTACTTGGTGTAAAGTTTTCCAGCTTGACAATAATGAAGCAGAATCTTCTTGGGTATAGTGCACTTCTCTGTAATTATACTTCTAGTTTGATGAGTTCAAAACTGTACTTATATTTAGGGAACCATGTTTTATGCACTAGTATTACAGTGGAGGATTGATAATATCTCATGCATCAGACAGGATTTACATATAACCTTTTTCGATATCTGGTTTCTTTGATACCTTGATTCCTATCACATTGATTTGTGATGATCCTTCTAACTTTTTCTAATTTGTCTCATGCATTAGACAGGATTTACTTGCAGCCCGTTTTGATGTCTGGTTTCTTTGATACCTTGATTCCTATCACGTTCATTCGTGATGATCCTTCTAACTTTTTCTAACTTGCTAAAAATTTACATTTTTTGTTTTTGTGTGTCCTTCAATCCGATTCTCTATCTTTGGGTGTGATGTTACATTGTTTTTTGGTTTGCATCAATGACAAAGATGGTTGTGGAGATGGACTAACTTGGGTTGCGACATTTTGGGGTGGTGATGCATGATTAGGAAGTGAAGTTGACAGTGTACAATGTATATGGTCTCTTGAAACTCTATCTAAGAAGTGGGCATTAATAGTGTACAATGTATCGTGTGGAATGAGAAGGAATCTTTCTATGGCTGGTGGATCTGAAGAAATATAAATTCACTGAATCAGAATTAAATGAGATGAAACCATAGAAGCAAGCAATGCATTATGTGAGTGAGATAACCAACACAAACAAGGAAACTAATGAACAAATGATATCTCACCCCTCTAAACATCCTCTTAAAAATGAACATACTCCTGATTTCCCACACTTAGATGAATGAATTGACAGAAACACAAAACCTTTTGATAAATGGATTTCCACAGAGATTGGTAATTCTTTCATTTAACCACATGAGAGTCACAACCATTATCCTATAAACATTAATTACTCTTGATCACAACATGCCGTAAGGAATAATTGGAGCAATGCAATCATTTAAGTTTGGTATCCTTCCTACTGGAAGTTGTTACTCGTCCCTTTTTCGTCTTAATCTCATGGGCCTCTTGTAGGGATGTTCACGGGTCAAGGCGGTTTGAATTTAATGTCAACCCGTCACCCTAATTGACCATATTGGGTTGGCAATCACTTTCAACCGAACATTGTGAGAAACTGAAGCAGGTTGGGTCATTCAGATTGTGTTCGGCTTTGGTCGGATCAATCGGGTGGCCTTTTCTTGCCTTTTTCACATTGTTGCAAACTTGCAGTCAACCCCAAAAAGGAAAAAAAAACAATTGTAGAGAGGGAAGGGTTTTGGTGGGAGGGAGATCAAAGAGGGGGAGGGGAGGGGACTGAGAGATGGATTTGATTAAATCGAACAAATTGATGAGGACGATCTAATAAAATCGAACAGATCTGGTAAAAATCGAACAAATTGCTGGCCCTTGATGTTGTAGTTGAGGCCCACATCATCTTGTAGCCATTGTTGCCTTCTTTCTCTGTTGGAGCTTTAGTTGCATGTTGAAGCTTTTGATTTATGGAGATGCTGTAGTGAGAATTGGTGATGCTTTTGATTTGTGGAGGCTTCAGCATGGAGGTGCTTTAGATTTATTGTGTCAACAACAATCTGAGAATTGGTGATGCTTTTGATTTGTGGAGGCTTCAGCATGGAGGTGCTTTAGATTTATTGTGTCAACAACAATCGTAAATGATGATGGTGCGAGGGTCGTAGGAGAGAGGGCTTGTGGATTGATCATTCGTGTGAGAGAGAGAGAGAGAGAGAGAGAGAGAACATTTTGTGAGAGTGATGTTAGTTTGAGGAGAGAGAATATAGTAGGTTAGAGATAAGGTATAATCAACTTGAGCCAATCAAACAAATGGCATGTGTAAAGTGTGTTAATTTATTAATAATTAGTTGGTTTGGGTTAAGTGGTTGACTAATTTCATACCTGAAAATAGACCAAAACTTGAAGATATTAAATTGCACGCACTCACAACTGACCAATCATTGAGTCGGAATTGTCCATTTGACATTGTTGTGGATTGGGCTGGTCGGTTTTTCAGGTGAATTGGGTACATCACATGAACAACCTTATCTTGTCTCCACCCTTTTTTTTTGATGACCTGGTGTCCAGGCCAGCTTACGTGTACCTCGATTAATCTTAGGATCCACGCAAAGCCACGTGGATCGGGCAACTCTTAGGCAGAGCTTGTGGGCATAGCCTTAAGAAGTTGATAGTACCTAGTGGGAGTTGAACCTGAGACCTGAAGGGAGCACACCCCCAAGCCTCAAGCTGCACCCACTAGGCCAACCCCTTGGGGTTATCTTGTCTCCACCTAGAGTCAATATCCTCCCTCAGTTGTAAGGCTTTCTACTCAACACCTGCAAAAGAAACCCCTAGCTGCTAACAAACTCCATGCAAACTTTTCTTCTTCCACTTAGACCACACCTCATCGTTAGCGCCCGAAATCCCAACCCCAACCTTTCCTTTTACAACACCACTCGGGGGTAAGGATGCCAAAAACCTCTTCTCCACCCTTTTACGCCAGCAACAACTTAGGCTGACCAAAGACTATTTTCAAACAATCCTAACCTAACCTTTAATCCGGCCAAAGAAACACGGCTTAGATGTTTTGCTCCCATCTCCAGAGCTTCTATTACTGTAACCCCCACCACCTCCACCACCCCCACAACATTAAATCCATTGTACTTTGTTTGTTCCTTTGAAGGGCTTTCCTTTTTTTACTTTGTTAATGAAATATACATCTCTAACTATTAATGAGTGAAAAAACATGTTTTATTTTGCCTTTAACAAAAATAAATTTGGCTGACCTTAAGCATTTGCAAATTTATAATGTGTACTTCTTTGTCATATTGTGAATTCACAATTACTCATGATAGAAATAAGTTTGGCATTATTTTATTTTATTTTTGCTTAATTTGTCAGGTTTTCTAGTGGGAAGGTGAGAGGAGGTCAAGTAAACAAAATTGTGGAGATCCAAGGTTTGGAAGTTTATTGCAGCACTTTCCAAGGAACCCTTGATTTGATGAGAGTAGACATTTTTGGGGACTCCAAACTTTTGGAAAATGCAAGGTTGGAAGGCAATAAATATGACTATATATTGGCCCCAGTTGATTTATCCATCTCTCTATTGGTAAGGTAGTTTGATAACAGTTATTGACCTCTTACACAATAAATTTTCCTGTTCCTAAGTTTTCAAAATAACCTTACACATGTAAGGTTTGCATTTAGTGTTGTGAAATTGTTTATTGATAATTTAATTCCCTAAGATGCACAGATAGAGACATGTTACATGACATAGACACACCCACATGAAAATTGCCAAAATATGTACGACACGACACGTAAAATATATAGTTGTATATATTTATTATATATAAGGAATTATTATATGTCATATATATGTATGTCATAAATATGAATATTTAATTTTAAAATAATAATTTTCAAATTCTAAGGGAGGAGAATCCGTATTAATTTACGTTATTTTTTTTTTATATCATTGGATTCCAAGTTGTTTTATTCCAACTTGTTATGTGTTTCATTTAGTCTAAGAGATAAACACACGCGTTCCCCAATTTTCTAAAGCGTATTTGAGTCTAGATTTAAAAAAAATAAAAAAATACTAGTGCATGTTTGGATGTGTTTTCAATAAGGGTTGGGAAGTGTCCAATGAGTGTTTGGTTGTGCCGTTGCCTGGCATGATGTTTGGCATAACATACCACCTTTTTAGAAGTGTCTGTGCTTCTTGTTAATTTCTAAGTTATGATATTATTTCATTTTCTCAAGATTAATCCTCAATTTACCTTTCGATGTTGTTTCTTTTTCTAACTTAATCCTCAATTTACCCTTTTTTTGTGTTTTTAATTTTTTATTTATTTGTCTAGTTGTCGTTGTAATGCCTCATACATGTTTTCCTGTTCTTGTATAAAGGTTCTCAACACATGAGTACGATAATTTTGATGGCTTTTGCTTGATTTTGAGGTTTATGTTAACTACTATTTCCAGTTTTTATTATTATTATTATTTTTTTTGTTCATGTAGGTGAGCAGATCAGGAAAGCATGAAAATGATTGTCCACAGTATTCTATCAATGCCGAGCTAACGGGATTGGTTGGTTTAGTGTAGTGATGGCATTTTTTCTGGAACTTTTCTTTTCTTGAAGTTTGTTGATTGACATGTTAATGTTATTTTCTTATGCAATGCAACTCTTTTAGGTCTTGTCTTTGGATGAGGTTCAATTGCAACAGGTCCTAACACTATGGGATTATTTATGCATATGTCAATTGAGGGAGAAGTAAGTTTAATACGAAGTTATTATGTCTTATTTTAATTACTTCTTTCTTTATTGAGTCATTGAGTTTTACCACTTGGTGCCATCAATATGTTATCCTTAACAACTTGGGCTTGGGAAAATGGGATTTGTGTAAGCTACAGCGAGAGTGTATGGACATGATGGGAGTTGTTAGTTTTGCACCTATGGTTGTCTTGCCAGGATGCAGTTTAATGTTTTACCGGAATGATGAGTTGAGAGAATCATGTTTGTCTTGAATAGGGAAATGCAGCGCCTGTTCCTTGGGTTACCTGCATGGTGTTGAATTGAGTTCACTTAGTGAAGGCATATGAAGATGTTGTTTTTAGTGTATATCTTCTTATCGACTTTCATTTAGAGGGGGGATTAAAAAATGATTCAAGTTGACATTATAGTTTTTTCTCCACAGCTCTTTTGTATTTTATTTTTGTGTGTTTAATACTTGCCGTTGTCTTCGATTTGTATTTTCTGTTTATATTTGGCTGAGAGAATCAGTAAGTTCTGATTCACGAGCATCAGTACTTCTGAAACCTTGGATGACACTCTGTTGTATTGTCATGAATGTATAGATATGGAAGATATCGACCTTGGAGTAATCCTTTATCAAGTAAGCATAGGGGTTGGCAAAAAGCATGGTGGCACTATGCTCAACAATCTGTTCTATCTGATGTTCACAAAAAGTTGAAGAGAACATCATGGAAATACCTTGGAGAACGAATGTAAGTTTATTGTTTCATAATAAAAATATATTTGAAGATATTCTTGAATGTCAACGAGCCATCATTTCTTTTTGGTCCTTTTCCAGCTGCAGTATGTGTAGTCTTTTTTCTAGTTCATGAAACTAAACTTTTGATGGCATCTACACTAAATTATTTCCATACTCATTCTCTTTCATGCTGAGGGCAGCCACTCTGTGCATATTATGCCAATGGTTAGGTTTGTACCCAATCTACCCGTCCCAGACCCCATCCAATGGTAACTAAACTTGGTGTACTTTAACTTTTTCCCTTATACTTTTTGAGGTGAGTTGTATTTAATCATGTTTGTTCTATATTTTAAATTTAATGTTGTTAATTGCTTTTGTACATTTTCTTAAAATACTTTCCTGAATTGCAAAAGTAGGAAATATCTTTCTATGGTTTTATGTGGTTATAAACCATAGAGATTGGAAGAAATCTGCCAGAATGGTATAAATGTAGTTTGCTCGAGTCAACTGTTAGCGGAATGTAAATTCTCATTGGTTTAAAAGTGGGACCACCATCCTCTCCCACCAATAGGAGAGTGCGTTTTGTTCACCTCAGGTGAACAAATTTGCTCTCCCGTTAGCAGGCTGGATGACTATAAAGTCGAGGAACATAATGGTACGTTCAAAAAATTAATGAAGAAGCATAATATATCACCCAAAAACATGTTGGGAAATTGCCAGCGACAAACTGAAACTCAATTGATTTGTTGGGACCTTTATTGCCTGTTTAGAATATTTTTTAAAACTATTATACGTTCTCGAATGCGATAAAATGATGCAGCATACTGGTGGGAGTGTTAAAAGAAAAGATCTAATAAAAAATTCCTTAAAAAGCTCATTTACACTAATTCATCCAACTTATTTGAAACTCAGGAAAAATGTAAAAATAGTTTTCATTTCAAAGTTTCCTTTGTTTCCATATTGTACAACTAGAAAATATGAAAACTAGAAATGGAGGAAAAATGAAATTATACCAAATGGGTTACCGACACAAATCACGCCAACAAAGTGGGAAAGCAAACTGATAAATTCATCAACCATTGGAAAGAAAAAAAAATGAAGCACTTTGATGTCACAGACTCTTTAGTCATTGAGATATGGGTTTCTGGCCATTCAAACTGATTCAAGCACTTTCTCTGATTTGAAAACTGTAGTTAGGATAATATCACTCTTTAAGACATGTTTTATCATACTTGTGCGTACTGTCTGTTAGGGTAATATCACTCCTTAAGACACTATATATATATGTCTATATATTGGAGAGAGAGAGAGAGTGATCAGCTGTCATACCATGTTCTGTATATTGAAAAGACGAAGTAATGAAGATAACATAGAATCAGAGCTTACCCTGCACAGGTTTAGCAAGTTTGCTGTTGTTGGATCAATTGCTCTTTCGTAAACTATTTTCATTGAGAGAGGCATATGGCAGATAAGACCTTGTGTAGTGTTTTTTGAATTATTTCCAGAGTTGTGCCACTTGTCTTAACTTTATGTGTTATCTATGGCAGAGACCATCGCCGCAAGTATGTGAAATTGTACAAGACCAAACTAAAGTGTCTTCGGGAAGAACAGGTGATGTACTTTCTGCAAAATGCTGCGGCAGTCCCGGTTCTATGTTTGATGCTGTAGCATTTTCTGTTGAAGAATGTTTTGGTTTCTATTCTGAGCTATCAGGTTTTCTTTTCATGGTTGCTTGCTTAATAATAATTTAAAATGAGTACTGAGGCTGGTAGCAAGACTCAACATTATCGCTAATTTAAAGTTTTCTATTTAAAATTCAGCCATGTAATTATGGTATAGGGTTAGGTTCTTTGAAATCTTAGCTCGAGTTAGATATATTTGGTTTCAAATATGGATTTTGGAATGTATTTAAGGTTTTTTATGTGGTCACAAAAAAGGCTTTACTCTAGCCCTCACTCTAGTGTGTTTTGGGCTGCTTATGACAAGCCCTAGCAGTTTTTGATGTGCAATTCAGCTTGTGATATTTGTTTTTTTTTTATAGTTTTTATGATCAAGGATGTTTCAACTTCTAGTTTCTTTGAAATGAAGTAATATCTTTAACTCAATATGTTTTGCTTCGGGGTTAGTTAGTCTAACTTTAATTACTCTATATGATTTAGTGGAAAAAGGAGTTTTGGGTTTCATTATTTTCTATCACACTTCTTCGTGCATTGGATAATCGATTGTCCCCTTGAAAATCAAGTGTAAGGCTTGGATGGGTTAATTCATACCACGTTTCTGGGTGATTCATTCCACCTTCCCCGATTGGAAATTTTTGTTTTATCCTTGCTGATTAATGCTTGAGATTTAGTGGGTATTGGCTTTTTCTAAAGCAACACACAGGTTTTGTGAAATTTCCTGCCTGTACCAAACCATACAGTTTACCTTAATTATTTATACCATGAGATATCTTCAATCACTTTTGGCTCTCGATTTGGTTTCACTTTGTCTGATTGGTGGCTCTCTTCTTGGATTACACAAGCTGTTAATTTTTTCTGGCTCTTGAATATACAATTATTTCTTTTATTTGGTACCACATTGTCGTGCAAATTGGAAGTTAGTTACTTGCTGAACATTTATTGATTTGATCCTATTCCGTTATTGTTATCATCAGGTTATTGGCAATGATATTCTTCAAGAGTTGGAGCAAATGGAGAAGGAATATGATATAGAGGATATATTAAATTATAGGTCTACTGCTGAGACTGAACTACAGGTATGTATGATGCTCAACCATAGGAAGGTTCATCAATATATGATTGTATAATTATATGCAGTTAGCTTTCTGTAGTTAACCGTTGTGACAATCATATAGCTTCATCATCTTCTCATACATTGTGCACCTTGAACTTTCTCAAACTTCCATATTCTTGATATTGCCAATATTCTTATGTTGCTAACTATAATTGAAAACTAATATTCAACTATTTTGTTTCTTTCTATGTTAATGTGATTGCAGGAGTTCCTATTGAATTCAAACTCCAGCTTGGTAGTGAGTGGTGCTTCACATAATGATGAGCGTTCCTCTAGCAGAGCTCGAGGATGGTTGAATTGGCTGTCCCGTGGCATGCTTGGTGCTGGAGGAACAGACGATTCAAGCCAATTTTCTGGTGTTGTTTCAGATGAAGTTATAAAGGTATATGTGTTACAATTAGTTGCTACTTACTTTTCTTCTTCTCAAAAAAGTTATTAAATCTTTTCCTCGTACAGGATATTTATGAAGCAACAGAGTTCCAGCCTGCACCTTTGCCTGATGGGATTTCTGCTGCAGATGATATTATCTTTTTCTCTGAAATCAAATTTCACATTCATCAAGTCTCTGCAACACTGTGGAACATGTATCTGTTCCTATCTCTTTAGTCTATGAATAAATTAACAGTTATAGTACCTATAAATACTATAATATTTAGCACATTCATTGGTTTTTCTTATCAATAGAAGTGGCAACAAATTAAATGGTTCTGCTTGAAGTTATCAGAGACATAATTAAATGACGATGCCAAAAGATCTTTGGTGGAACCTAAGGAAAGTTGGCATGAGATGGTTATGATAGATAATACATCAGCAATATTTGTTTCTTCCTCTCAAATCCCTCTAGTGATCCAGTAAAACTAACTCTGTTTTTTGTTGGGGAAATTGAAAATCAGTGAGAAGAAGTGACAATAGTTTACAAAATATGGAGGTGGAAGTAGTCCCGTGCTATGGTGTAAGTGAAAACTATGGCCTTACTTGCTCCAGAGTGTAGACTCCATTTGCACTTCCATGTTTTTGCAATTACTTTCACTTCTTTCCATTGTTTATTTATAGTTTTGCTGCTCCATGTTTTGTTTAGAGGTAGTCTAACATTTTGTTATTATTTTTTTTTCCGCAAGCCTTATTCAATTTCATTTTCTTAAGTGCAAACTCCACTTCGAAGTTCCTACTCCTACGATAGAACCTATAGTCCTGATTTTTCTTATTACTGCCTACTTTCTCCTCTTTTGACCTACCTCCATGTTCCTCATTTAACAACTTCTCAAAATAGTTCTTCCACCTCTCTTTAATCTCTTTACCCTTCACCAACACCTTAGAGTCTAACCTGATTAAAATCTTTTGTTTTCTTATCTCTTATCTTAGCAAGTTTGTATATCCTTTTCTCTCCCTCTTTACTATTTAGTCTAGTATATAGGTTATCATAGGCTTTCAACCTAGTCTCTCTTACTACTTTTTTGGACCTCCCTATTGGCCAATCTGTAGTGCTTAAGGTTTTTTTCAGTTCTATCATTCTGTTACTTTTTAAAGCTCTCTTTTTTCATCTTTATTACCACTTGGACCTCCTCCCTCCACCACTAAGTTTTCCTAAAGTTGGGTCCCCTTTCTTTTAATTCTCCAAGAATTTCTCTTGAGATTCTTCTCATACAATTGGCCATTGAGTTTCAAACAGTGTTAGTGGGTGTTTGGGAAGTTGTTATTTTAGTAGGCTATTTTAGTTTTTGGCTATTTTAGGAGGCTAAAATTTGTGTTTGGGAAGATAGTTGGATTTTTTTGTAATTGGATGTGATGTTTGTGAGAGAAAAAGTGAAATGATTATGGGTTTGATGTGACATTTTGTCTTATTGGCTATTTTAGTCTATTTTGTCTTTTAGTGCTATTTTAGCAAAAAAAACTGAAAAAGCTTCTTCCCAAACACCCCCTTAGTATCATTTTTCATGTCCCAAGTACCTTCTTTATTCATTCTATTCTTAAATGTGTCTAGTTTAGCCCTTTTTAAGTCCCACCATCTAGTCCTGCGACGCCCACTATCTTTCCGAGCTTGGTATTGCCCTTTAAAGCATAAATATAGTACCAAAATCCTATGTTGAGACGTCAAACTCTTTCCAAGAATCACCTTACAGTCGCTACATTTTAGACAGTCCCCTTTTCTTACTAGAAAGTAATCTATTTGGTTCTTAATTGACCCACTCTTGAAGGTTATCAAATGTTCCTCTTTTTTGTTATACATAGTATTGGCCACCACTAGGTCAAAAGTTAACGCAAAATTTAAAATACTCTCTCCAGTCTCATTTCTATCACCAAAACCATACCCACCATGTACTCCCTCATAATATAGTTTATCTACTCTTACATGGCCATTGAAATCACCACCTATAATTAGGTTCTCTCCTACGGGCATCTCCTATAATACCTCATTCATTTGGTCCCAAAAAACTCTTTTAATCTGATCATCTAATTCTACTTGGGGGGCGTATGCACTAATAATGTTCATTATATTCTCTCTAATAACTAGTTTAACTTACGTAATCCTATCATCTTTTCTAATGACCGCAACTACATTTTTTACAAGACCCTTGGCAACTATTATTCCTACCCCATTCCTGTGTTTATCATTGCCACTATAATATAGCTTAAAACCGGTATCCTTTATTTTTCACTGTTTATTTATTTATTTTTTTTGTATTCTAGACGAGAGCGGATAAATAAGCTAGTCTAAGATTATAGGTTTAGGGTAGCCATATGGAATATAGGAACTTGAACTGGTAAGACTATGGAATTAGTAGATGTCATGATTAGGAGGAGAGTTAGTATAACTTGCGTACAAGAAATTAAGTAGACGGGTGAAAAAGCTCGAGAAATGTTTGGGTAAGAAGGAGGTTGTTTGGTTGACTAAGTTATTTAGGAAGATTTTATTGACTAAGAAAATGCCAGAGAAGTAGAGGAAGAGTATTTTAGTGTCAATATATAAGAATAAAAGAGATGTCTAGAATTGCAACAACTATGGAGGAATCAAATTAATGTGTTACACAATGAAAGTGTGGGAGACAGTGATGGAACGTCGATTGCGAGATATAACAGAAGTGTCAGTATCAAGCTTAAGTCCTTATCTTTTTGCTTTAGTTATGAATGAGTCGACGTGCAATATTCAGGATGATGTGCTGTGGTGTATGCTTCTTGCAGATAATATCGTGTTAGTGGATGAGATTAGAGAATGAGTTAACACTAAGTTGGATATTTGAAAGAAAAACACTTAAATCTAAAGGATTTAGGATAAGCAGAACTAAGACAGAGTATATGGAGTGTAATTTTAGTAACAGTCACAATGGAAGCAGAGGAGAAGTGAAAATTGAGAACCAATAACTACCTAAGAGTGAATATGTTCGTTATTTAAGATCGATTATCTCAACGACTGGGGAGATTGGAGCGGATGTGATCCACATAATTAAGGCGGGGTGTCTTAAGTGGAGGAGTGTGTAGTACTGTGCGATAAACGAATACCCATTAGACTAAAAGGGAAGTTTTATAAAATGCCTATTAGATCAACGATATTGTATGGGACGGAATGTTGGGTAACTAAGAAACAACATGTAGATAAGATGAGTGTTGCTGAGATGAGGATGCTAAGGTAGAAATGTGGCAAGACTAGAAAAGATAGAGTTAGGAATGAATGTATTCGAGAATCGGTAGGAGTAGTACCGATAGAAGATAAGTTGAGAGAGAATAGATTGAGATGGTTTGGTCATATATAATGGAGACCGGCAGAGGCAGTAGTAAAGAGATGCGATACAGTGACATTAGATGGTAGTGTTAGGGGAAGGGGTAGACCTAGATTGACGTGGACTAATGTAGTAAATAGATATGAATCTCCTTAATTTGACTAACGAAATGGCCTTGGATAGAGTCGAGTGGAGAAGTTATGTAGCCGACCACATTTGATGAGACTTAAGGCATGGTTTCGTTATTCTACACATTTGGTTTTACCACTGCACCACAAAATATTTATTGAATATCTTAATTGTGTGTCATAACACCTTAGCAAATTGAAATTTATTTACTTGGTACATAGTGGTATTTTTTTTCTTTTTGTGTTGGTATCTTTTTGTTCTCTTTTTGTATTATAGTTTGTACCATAAAACAAAGATAAGATTATAGAGGCAATATGTTGGCAGATACAACCACTGGGAACTACCAGTGTAACACTGCTTATTGTCTGAGTGATACTTGAATCGTAAAGTATAAATGACATTATGTTATGGATGAGGCTACAATAATTTTATCATAATATGGTGTAGAATTTTTACATCAATTTTCAAATAGTATGCATGTATGACAATCTTTACCCTTGGTGTAGAGTGGAGAAGTATTAATGTAGCTAATTCTTTGTTATTGGGATTAAGGTTTATTGAGTTGAGTAAAGCTGTAGTTTCTATTTAGTTATCAAAAAATATAAATTATTTTCATATATTCTATGATTTATCCTTTAGATGACTAAAACTATCAAAATCAAAAAAATTTAGTGTTATTACTACCATTGTACAAGGTTAAAGTAAAATTATATGGGATATTTTATGTTGAAATCACTGTACTATTTTACAGATGGGCATTATTTTAAACTCACAAACATATAGTGAATTTAAATTTCCAATCAAAATCCAGATTTTATAAATTTCCAAATTCTCATCAGAATTCCAAACTTTTTAATTTGTCTGAACCTTTTCTAATATAGTTTCTTTGGCATTGTTTAACAATCATGTTAGTCAGTTTAATGTCAAGATTTGGGATGCGTTCTATACTTTTCTTCAGTATAGATGCCTATTTTTTGTCACTTCTGGGTTAAGTACTGGGTGGAATTCCACTTCTTGATACTGTCTGCCTGCTCACTTGCTTGTCCTCTTTAAATAGCACAGCTGTTATAAATACCTTGACTTGTGATAGGGACCATATTTTCACTATTCTGTTTTTTGCTTCCTTTGCATTAGTTATAATTTTCGACATTCTACTTCTAATCTATATTTGTAAAACAGATGTGCTTACACTAGTCTTTCCGTAGCTTTTCATCCATATCATTTATGCTGCTATCCCAAGTTATTGTGTTTTGAAACAGACATTATTTCTCATTTATGGTGTCATGTCTATTGCTTTGTTTGACTGAAAACTGAATAGAGAAATACTATTATTTGTCGTACTGATAACAGTGTAACTAAATGATGTTAGATTTTTCTTGCTTTCTTGAATTTTCTTGCTTCTTAGTTCAATTTTAATCAAGAATTGCTTTATTAATTGTTTAGGAAGTTTGCCCGAGCAATTGCTGAGTTAATTTTTGATGGAATGTTTATTGAGTGTAAGCTTCGGGAGGAATCTGCGGTCATTACGGCCTTAGTCAACAGTGGAAGGATGATTAATCCGTGTAACAAGCAAGCTATTTTGCTTGTGGGAAAGGTTTGTATTTTCATAAGCCATCCATATATATGTATATAATCATTTCTTGAATTCCATGAAAAGTTATGGATGTATGTAATCTCTTCTACATGGATACTATCCTGCAAGAAACCTTGTTGCTTGACTTGATATTTACTTGAAAACTTCATGCTGGTTCAACTCCTTAACTGGCAGCTGGCATAAGGCCATGTTTTTAGTTTGAAATTGTCACACCGCGGTTTTAAAAGATTAATTAAGCGAAAATTAATTAACCTAAATGTGATTATTGTACGAAAATCCTCCTTTTTATCTCTGATTATTGTTCGAAAATCCTCCTTTTTTTATTTTTTTATTTTTTATCTCATTAAACAATTTAATATCATTTCCAAAACAATTTCCATCAACCACCTCAAAAGCATGTTTACTCACATTTAAGTGGTTTAAATTTATGTAAAAGTATCCAAAGTCCTTTATTCATGTAAAAGAGGTTCGGTTTGCCAGAGTTTTTAATTCCGAATAAAGGGTCTACAAGACTGAAGTAGCTGCTTTGGTATATTTGACTAACTTATTTGATTTTGCAGTATAATTTGATTATTGACAAAAAGAGTCATTTTTATCTCATTTTCAAGAAATCTTAAGTTTAATTAATATTGCCCGATTTAATTGTTTAACAATGATAAGTTCACTTAATGCTTTGCACACCCACACTTTAACATACAATCGTCCCCAAATAAAATGAATGATTCCAAAAATTTAAGATTACATTCCTAAGATTAATGTTACAAATACATCACAAAGAGGACGTAGCCCTGATTAACCTGTCTAATGCTTGGGCCTCCCATCCGTACCTGTCATGTATGGGGTGAGCAACCAACAAGTTTACCATAATCGCTACAACTAAGGTATATAAAATATACAAGGCATGCCCAAAATATACTTGGCATGAGAAATTGTTCACATTACTGATTTTCCTTATTAGTCCGATCTCATCACAATTTCTACTTAATTAATTTAAGCAAGTCCAAATTCTGAGAAGTATAGTCTATAATTTGCTACACAACATGCAAAGCAGTGCAACAATAGTATAATAATAAAAGCGATATTTGAACGTCAATATATAGATGCAGTCTTACATATACCCGGTTCCCATTCGAGACTTAGGCGTTAGTGAAGCATTGGCAGCAAAGCTGACTCATCCACCCTATTTAACGGAGGTTACTAGTCCCCATACCAGACTTGCTGCCACTTCAAGTGTACCGGGCTGAAAATATGGCCTACTGGCCTGTATGGGACTCAAAACCTAGAATCATCTCAAATGATACCGGACCCAAAGCCCAAATTCAAATCTCATTATATTCCAATACTTAATTATTTCCAGACACTTATAGCCAATTTCTCATGGTCAAATCTCTACGCTTGGTCAAACTTCCAACACTTGGACAATTTTACCGATTTACTCTTTAGGTCAAAAGTACCATAATGCCCCTTTCACAAGATGCGCCTTACTAGCTAATTTACCATATTCCCCTAAGGGCTAAAAAGATAAATTTGTCCCTGAAAGTCAAATTACCAAATCTCCCTTGTTTCAAATTACCATTTTAACCTTAAGTGGCAAAATTACCATGTATTTCAAAAATCATATTGAACACAACAAACATATTTTTAAGGAAACAGGGCATAAAATAAAATTTAGAAAATTAGTGAAACTAGGAAGGAATCAAATCTATGAAAAATACCAATCAAATCTTGTAACCCTTCACTATTTTGCATCTTAAATATTTTTTCCAACACTCATTGGCTTTGTTCTTGCAAAAGAAGTATGCTATTTGTCTCATTCTTTGAGCACCCATGACTTTAGAATCACAATCATCTGACCATTTGCATCTGAAGCATGTATTAGGAGAAGTGTAGCTAGGATTTTATTTATTTTTAAGTAGGTTGATAGGACAGTTAATTGATCTGCACACCAAAGGCTTGAAGCAGAATGGGATGGGATTGTATTTCTATGCGTTCTTGATGGGCCAGGTTCAGCTGGAGCTCGGTTGTTGCTTTGTTTGGTTTGGCTTGGGTGCAACCGGGTTTTGTGTTGGATGTGGTTCAAAGTTGGGGTGGGGCTAGGGTGGGGAGGAGGCATTAGAAGGCTTGGATTCTTGCTTCTCATTGTTTGTTGTGGTTGGTTTGGTTGGAATGTAATAGGCGTGTTTTCCAAGATGTGTGTCATTCAGTTTTGTGGTTAGAGAGTAGTCTCTTGTTGGTCTTGCATAGTTGGGTTACAGGTTTAGTTGATCCCAATGTCTTGGCTTTTGTAGGTTTTGTGGAGGACTCGATTAGTTAGGTTGTTGGGCCCGATGTGGGTTGTTTATTTTTTTGTATTCTTTGCATCATCTTGATGCTTTTCTAATAAAGTTTGATTATTTATCAATAAATAAATAAATAAATTCAAGGATTTGGATGGTTTTTGACATTTTTTTTTAATCTGTGTCCTATATGATTGGCATACTACACTTGATATTCCTTGTTTATCTTAAAAAAAATGATCATAGGGCTTTGTCCACATTATGATGCTTGTTACTGAATTAGTTGAATGTCTCTGCAGATACTTTTCTTTTTATTTGTTTTTATTTATATCGTCAAATCAGTTCAATAGAGACATTATCAATGATTGGCATTGCTTGTTTGCAGGCCATTTTTGAGAAAGATCTACTTGAAACTGAGAAAACTTCTGTAAGTATCCAAGTTGATACTTCGTCAGCAAACCAAGATATAAAATTATTGGTGAAGGTACTTCTTATCCCTTGTGATTAAGCTTCTTCTTCAGTTTGTGAGTTATTAGCAGATCTTTGGTGTTAATTAACAATCTTCTTCTTGTTTTTTGTGTCTGGAATTTTCTTCATTGGGATTCCTGTTCTGTAACTTTTCCATTCAGGTCATGCTTCAGCCACTTGAAATTACATATGATTCAGAGTTTCTTCTGAATGTCATGGAGTTCTATAATGTGTTGGAAACCTTCAAATTTCAACATGAAAGGGTAATGTTAACATGTTGACATGAATTATTCTTATTTTGTCCCTATTATATTGCATTTTGTTTTTTGGGCATTTTCCCCCCCATTGCGATTCATTACTTTTTGTGGTTTTCCAGTCAATAAGAGAGAAGAAAAAAGAAAATGGAAAAAAAACAAAAAAATAAAAAAGATTCATTAATTTGAGTAATTTTGTCGTCAATGGCTTGCTGCCATTAGGAATTTATATATCCTCCTTTACATGCCAGTTTCATTTGTTGGCCTTTTTTTTTTAGTTTTGATCTTGCTTCTGTATTATTAGTTGTGCGGTGTGCTATACTGCTTACCTTTAACAGGACCAAATTCTGTGGCATTGTTCAAAAGAAAAATTCATCTTTAGGTTTCTATCTAAAGGGATCCTTATCATTTGTATTTTGTATTTGTGAAAGAATTGTTTAGGCATATTACTATAACAATGATCAGGTCCTCAGCATTTAAAACTTTTGATATGATCACCTGTATCATAACACATGCAACCAATTGGATAGGTACCAAGGCTGTCTCATCTTGAACAGAAGAATCTTGGACTATGAAGAGTTGCCAATACATATATTGTTGTATTAGGAAAACGTTGAATCCATGAATACTAAATTTAGTTGGTATAGTTGTTCACTAACATTGTGTCTTCTTGACAAGACTAGAGAAACTAGATTCAAGGGTGTCGGATATAATTGATTTAAACATATTCTTCATGTCTGTTGGTTTTCATTTTCACCCTAGAAATACATGAAAGCTTGCCTTTTCATTTTCCAAATATGAAAAGACTGTATTTCCAAAAACCATCTTTTTATTTTGTTCAAAGAATTCTAGTAATCCAATTTAGATAAGCGTAGTGTCAGAAATCAAATTCTTTCATCTTTTCATATTTCTTGTAGTTCTCAATGTTAATATTTATGTACATGTAAAAGTAGTAGATTTACTTCTCAAGGGGAACTTTGTGGAGTCCATGCTCCACTATTTTTTAAATAATCTTAGTTTCGCTAGAAATCTCACTGATAGAGAGGCTGGTGATTTAGTCTCCTTGTTGTCTCGCATTGATTAGTTGTCCTTGGATTCTTCCTTGAGTGATAAATTGGTTTGGCTCTTGCATACTTCCGGTGTATTTCTTGCAAATCCTTTTTCGAAAAAATCATTGAGAAGCCAAATATTCCTTTTTTTCCCTCTTCATAAAAGAATTTGGAAGTCTTTTGCGCCTCTCAAAGTGAAGTTTTTTATATGGTCTTTGATTCATGGAAGCGGTTTGACCAATGATATCCTTCAAAAGAGGAGGCCTAATTGTCATCTTTCTCCTCAATGGTGCAGCATGTGTAAGGTAGAGGGGAAGACTTCATTTTTGTTTTTGCACTGTCCAGTGCAAGATGTTTGTGGCAGCAGCTTTTTGCATGGGGTGGCATTGCTTGGGTGGCTCACCAATGTTATCTATTGATTTTCGATTCTTGGCCTTTAACAAAAAAGCAAAGATGTTGGGGGCTTTGTGCAGTTTTTGCTCTATTCTGGGTTATTTGGTTGGAGAGGAATGCGAGGATCTTTGAGGGCAAAAATATTGACATCTTTTCGATGTGGGAGAAAATCAGATTTTTAGCATCTTTTTGGGCTTCAGTTGCTCCCCCGTTTAGGGGAATCCCGCTTATTTTATTTTATTTTTAGTGATTGGAAGTCCGTGTGCGACTTTTAGATTTTTTTATTTTCACTTTTGAGGACTTCTTGTCCTCCTTTGTATTTCTTTATCTCGTTTCTCTTCTTTAATAAAATCCTTCTTTTGTTGCTAATAAAAAAAAAAAATTGTAGGGAGGCTTATGGAATGGTCGAAAACATAAGGAAAGCAATAACAATATAGAAAGGATAGAATTTTCTCTGAATTTTATTACTCAAACAATTATTGCATTGCCTCAAAGGCTTACAACTTAATTTATAGTAAACATTGCTTGCTAACCAAGCCACAATTCATTCAGTAAATCAAACTGAAATTACATAAAGTAAGGAAAAACTCAAAATTGTAGATTTGAGTTGAGCTAAAATCTGAAATCTAGCATAAATAGGAAACTATTCTTAAAAAATGTGATTCAAAATGGATTTCTCTAGACCCTGATATTACACATTCAAATCTTTTGAAAAATATTAAATTATCTAATTTTGAGCCCCAAAGAGTGGAATTCGCACAAAATCTAGCACGGGTCATTGCGTAGTGGTGAGTTGTATTTGTTGGGTCATTTCAGATCAAATATGGGTGTTTGGGCCTAATATGACAACCTTGAAAAATCAGCAAAATTATTTGTGTTTGGTTTGAGTTTTCTGGATAAAGTTATTTGAAAACTGAGTTTTCTAGTTTTTGTGTTTTTTTGTTTTTAGTGAATATTTTTTAAATTTTAAACATTTTTTTAAACTTTTTTAGATGCACCTTATTTAGATGTATCTAAAATGTAAAAAATTTGTGAAAAAATATTTTAAAAAATTAATAATACATAAAAATACAAAAAATGTACTGAATTCTTGTATTTTTTTTGTATTTTTGGTATTTAGTGAATTTTTAAAAGATTTTTTTTTACAATTTTTTACTTTTTAGGTATATTTATATTAGGTGTCTAAGAAGTAAAAAACTTGCTTAAATTATTAAAAAAAATTCAGTAAAAACAAAAAAACACAGAAAATAAGAATGTAGAATTTTCTGAAAACTGTTTTTGAAAAAATGGAACCAAGCAAGCTATTGTTTTGCGATCAAACAGTTAAACTGCTGTAGGAACTTACTGTCAATCACCTTTGCATCATAAAGGCGCGAAGGGGGCGCCACCACACAAAATAAAAAAGGGAAGGACCCTCAGAAACTCTTAGAAAAGAAAACATCGAGCTTTACACCTCTATCCCAACTAATCAAAAGACTCTAAAAAAACCAAAAATTGATCCAAGGATGGCTCAATAGTCAATCCCATCCCATTAGAGAACCAACATACAAAGTAGACAAAAATAAGCTCCGAAGCTTAACAAGTGACGCCTACACTCCTTTAAAGGTCTCTCTATTTCTCTCTTAGTCTCACCAAATGATCCACATAAGATCAAAGTTACCAAGTTCCATGATGCACTATGAATGCAATAACTCTGAACTTGTGGCTAATTAGCTAGTTTGTGGCTGAAACTCAACCTTCAGGTTTTATAGTGTCGGCTATTTACAACATGTCTTTGGGCTTTCAATTTGTATTCTTGAGTGGGGTTTATTTATGGTTTAGAGTTTATTGAGTCCAGCTTCTTGTTTACATGTAGTATGCTTGTTAGTAGGTTTTCTTTTTTTTGATCAACAACAAAATTGATAAATAAAAAAGGGAGCGAGGATGAGGCATCCTCATACAGAAGGAAAATGAAAATGAAAATACAAAGTGCAGAATCCTGACAATATTATCACAAGCAAAAGCCTACTAATCACACACCGACAACCAATCTCTAGTTAATAAAAAAAGTGGAACCCCTTTAAAGAGCGAACTCCCTGAAGCCCAAAAGGATGCTAAGTGGCAAACTTTATCCCACAAACAGTCCACTGCCTGAAACTTATCTTCGAACAGCCTCATATTTCCTTCCAACCATAGAACCCAAAAAGTTGCAAAGATGGCACAAGACGATAACATTTTGGCTCTCTTCGATTCTCCAAATACACGAAAATCAACTAGGGGCATATGCGCACACCATTTTGGTACCACCCACATAACATTTCTCATGAGGAACAATCTGTGTCATAAATTCAAAGCAAAAGGGAATGGAGAAATAAATGATCTACAGACAACATAAATACTTCTACAGAGGTGCTACCGTGTATTGTACTACTCTTCGATACAAATGGCCATCCTCATTAATGCTTGACATGTACCTATTCCTTTCGGCCTCCACTGTGTGTTTAGACTTATTAGACAGTTGTACAATATAAAAAAGAAAGGTCTAGATTAGTTGCCATTAGATGGGTTTTTGGGATGGAGTTGATTGGGTACAAACATTGTTGTCAAATTGGAAATCGAATCGTGAATCGTTTTACTAAAATAGTGAATCATGAATCGTAAGATTCATTTAAATTTAAATTTAAATTTAAAATGATATATAATTCTATAACTCTATATATTTATATACATATACAAATACATACAATGTTTAAAATAAAGTAAATTATCATTATGACTAAATTATATCTATGTATATAATTATAAAATCACATATATCAATATAACTAATTATTATCTTCTATATATCTTCATAATTTGGCAAAAACGAATTTATCAAAAAATAATAATAATTTGGCAAAAACGACGCTATTTCATGCATTATGTAAACAAAAATAAAAATATAACTGAATCGCAGTGAATCGTAAATTGAATCGTAAGATTCACTTAATTTCTGATTCAACAGCACGATTCAAATTGTTTTTGTTGAAACTTGTATCAAATCATATGAATCGAATCGTGAATGGTACGATTTTAACAACTGTATAAACTTAACCTTAGGCGTCATTTGTAGAAAGTTACTACCCTAAAGTTTGAACCCACAACCTCAAAGTTAGTAGACTGAGTTTTTTTAACCACTGAACTAGAGCCCCCTATATAGTTGTACAACATAAAAACATGAATTTGAATGTACACCTGGCAAGCACATTTGACAGACCTAATGGTTTTGGTTACGTCTCTTTTTAAGTGTACAAAAAGTGAATTGCGGGTAATGGATAAAAAAAGCATAATGGAATTGGTTTGAAAGTTATGAACAACTTTAGATTTCTCTAAAGATATGTTGACTGTCTAATTAAAGGGATTGTTCTGCTGAGAAGTTATAAAAAATGTGTTTGTTTGCAAACTCATGTCCATTTTGTTGTCTCCTTGCTTGTCCATGTCTTCTGTTATTGTTATTAAACCAAAACAAAGCAAGCCTTAAGTCCCATTAAATGGGGTCGGTTACATGAATCTTTCTTCTTCACGCGGCTCTATCAAAAGGCCATTTCGTTAGTTAAATTAAGTATATCCATATCTCTATTTACAACGCTAGCTAACGTTAATTTAGACCTATCGGGTCCCCTAACACTTCCATCTACCGTCACTGCATCGCATCTCTTCACTACTGCCTCTGTTGGTCTCCGTTGAATATGACCAAACCATCTCGATGGATTCTCTCTCAACTTATCTTCTATCGGTGCTATTCCTACCCATTCCCAAATACACTCATTCCTAATTCTGTCTTGTCTAGTCTTGCCACACATCCACCTTAGCATCCTCATCTTAGCCACACTCATCTTATCTACATGTTTTTTGGTTGCTCAACGCTCCGTCCCATACAATATCGTTGGTCTAATAGCCGTTTTATAGAATTTACCTTTTAGTCTAGTGGGTATTCGTTTGTTGCACAGTACCCCAGACACACTTCTCCACTTACACCATCTCGCCTTAATCTTATGGGCCACATCCGCATCAATCTTCTGTTATTGTTATTTATTTTTTATTTTTCAATTTCAGTCATATTCTAGTGTAATATCATGTCTAAGTTGTTTCTTTTAGAAAATTATGTTTAGCTTTTTCTTTATTTCTTAAGCCTTACTTTGATTTAATGCAAAGCTGATTATATTTACGAGCACAATCTACATGGTTGTTCAACAAACTTGGCTGGGAAACTTCTTCTTCTTCTTCTTCTTCTTCTTTTTTTTTTTTTTTTTTTTTTTTTTAATTTTTTTTTTTTTTTTTTTTTTTTTTTTTTTTTTTTTTTTTTTTTTTTTTCAAACTGGGCTATTATGTAAAATCTTTGCTTGAAGGATAAAGTCTGTAGTTTCTTTTACCATCTCTTATTTATTTATTTATTTAATGTTCTGTTTTTTCTGAACAACTCTTTAAAAATCATACTAATGCAGCAATTCTCGACCCTGAAATTTATGATGAAAGCCTCTATTACCAATCCATGTTCATCTACATATTCACATCCAACCCTGTTTCTGACCTTTAAATTGTGCTGAGGTTTTGGACTTGGGGTATAACTAAATATTTAATATTTGTTGTTTCCTTAATGGAAAAGTTTCCCTGTAGAATATCTCCTATCTTGTTGTGATTCAACAATATTTTTCAAAACCAATTTTTAAATTTTTTTTTTAATAAAATTTTTCATGGTTTGTCACATCAAGTGTCACTGAAACTATTAAAATGACTAAAAGTCTTCCCATATCAAAATTTAGTCTGTTCAATTGGAGTGCAATAATAGGCTTGGTTGATAGTAGGAGTCACTCTTTTTCTCCCATTACAGGTGATGTTGTCTCTAAATGGGATTGAAGATGTACACGCACGATTAATGTCAAAAACTGAGTGAGTTGTTGTTTGGCTTTGATTTATGAATTTCAAACGTCTGTTTGATGCAATCGGCACTGCATGTTAGCAATTTGATTCATGCAATTCTGCATGCTGCTTTTTATTAGTTCCCCTCTCCTAGTTCCCCTCTCCTTACATTTGCTTATGTGGTTCTCCATCCATGGCAGATATATTTTATCAAGTCGTAAGAGGTGGATTTGGAATATTAATTCCTTGAATGTTAAAATAAATATCCCGTGGAGAAATGCTAATTCAGAACCATATGTGATGGTAATATTTTATTTATTTATTTATTTATTGTGTATGAATCTTATTGCATGGCTTTAGACCTTTATTTATTTATTTATTTATTTTCTATTTTTGAATTTATCTCAGTTTTATGTCAGACTCAAGCCATCATACGTCTTTATTTGTAGTGCTGTGTTGTTCCACATGTTACACTTTCGGTTTTGCACTATGCTAATTTATAGACAAGTCAAATATATTTCACTCTTGGTATGTATATTTTTAAGGGGGATATGGTGATAGACCCCTCACTATTTAATTTGTCTTTCAAAAGGACAAGAATTATATAGATACTTTCAAAACCCCCTAATATTTTAAAACTTGTTTCTTTTACTATACTACTTTCATATCTATCAGTTCTCTTATTAAGCCATCCTCACAGTGTATTTCAGAGAAAAATTTTACTTTGATTTAGAGTAAAATTTTACTCTGATTCAGAGTAAATTTTACTTTGATTTAGAATAAAATTTTGCTCTGAAATTACAATTTTACTTTGATTCAGAGTAAACTTTACTTTTATTTAGGGTAAACTTTACTTTGATTTAGAGTAAAATTTTATTCTAAAAGTACAATTTTACTCTGAATCAGAGTAAGTAACATTTTTCTCTGAAAGTATAATTTTACTCTGAATCAGAATAAAATTTACTATAATTCAAAGTAAAATTTTATACCGTTAAGCAAATCAACATGTTTTTAATCAGAATAAAATTATATTGTTACAAAAAATAAAATACATACTAAATAAATGAATCAGAGTCAAATTTTACTCTTAGATCTATTAACAAATTTTTTTTTTTTTAAAAAAAAAAAAAACAATTGAAAACAACAATCAATCTCTCTCCAATCAACTCTAGAGTACTTGGAACCAAACTCATTAAATGCATTCTGAGTTAGGAATGATCTCTGATCTCTGATACATATCAAATCTTGGGTTGAACAAAAATCATTCAATTTTGTAATAGTTTCACAATTCCAAGCCCTTCTTTTGCCATGGTAATCAATTCAGAATTTTCTCTGCATGTATATATAATATGGAGTGGGGACACCCATTAAGAAACAGAGCATATCCCAAGGATTTGAGTATTGTAACCACAAAAGAATTCTCTTTACTGGCAAAAGACGCCATTAACGCCGTCATGGCGGCGAACAATAGCAGGATTTATACAAACTTCGGTGAGAGAGAAAGAGTGCTATCACACCAGATTTGAGGTCGATTGACCAATTGCCTATGTCGTCGACGACGAAGAGGCCAGAATCGAAGTATATGATGAGATCACATTATATATCCATATATATACACATACATCAATAGCTAAACCTCAATTGTGTGCTCATTCGATCGTCTCTCTCCTTTTACTTTGCCCTAGCTTGTGTTTTAGTTGATGAAGATCTCAGCAGTGACAACAGCAGCAACGTCGGCAATGAAGACGTTGTGATTTCCTTCACTGTAACCTTTGACGCCATTGATTCCTCTCTCTCTCTCTCTCTCTAACTCTCTTTTGCAAGTTGTAGTTGTAAAAAGTTCTAATCCTAGGGCCTTATACTTAGAGATCCATGACGATCATGGTGAGGAGAAGCTTTAACTATGGCGATTCGGCAGAAAACATCAATGATTCGGTTGAGGGTATAATAGTCTGTTAAAATATTTAAATAATAAATTTTGTCCTTTATACAAAATTTTATAATTATGAGGGGGTTTTGAAAGTATAATTTTTTTCTTAGTCCTTTTAACAATAAAAGCAAGGTAAGGAGGGTTTATAGCCAAATTTCCCTATTTTCAAGAGCATGCTTTGGACCTCTAATTATGAGCAATTTATTCTACAAATTAAGTTTCCATCTGTTTGTGTTTCCTTCAAAGAGATCGATTGGGCGAGTACTCATGGAAGAGCATGACAAATGTATCGTCCAGTGATGTATAGCATTGTCAAACTAGTGCAAGTCAAATAAACAAATAATTCAATGGATAAAGAAGGTGTGTTCCTATTTCAAATTTTTCGCAACGAGAACTTGAGATAAGGTGTGCCTTTATGGGAGAGCACATACTACAAGTATACAACATGGTGGCAAATGACAAATCTCTTTTGGATTGAAGCATTATTCTGAAAGATCCTTCTTGTTTTTTTCAATTCTTCAATCTACAATTAAGAAGTTTTGAGGTGATTCTTCAATCCTTATTGATTTCCAGTGTGACAAAGACCATATAAGCACTTTAAGGAGTGCACATGCATTCCAAATGAGATCATGAAGTTTAAAAATAGGGACATTTGGATTAGCAATGAGTTCATAATAAAAAATTAACCTGGATCCTCTTTCTCCACCTAACCCTAAAACCTTTCTTTTGCATTAAGAATTTCAAAAGAGCCCCATTCTACTTTGTCATAAGCTTTCGCAAAATCTGCCTTAAAGATAATACATGATTCTTTGGTAAGCTTGGGTAGCCAAGAAATATGCATCCAAAAGAACGTATAATTGAAATGAGGATGTTTAGATAAACATGTTGATTAGGTAGTATTGATTTGTAAAATGATACAGTAACAACCATTGATCAATGAAGAAGAGAATTTGTAACTGCTTTAGATGTGTACGTACCAATATTTATCAAAAAAAAAAAAAAAAGATGTGTACGTACCAATGTGAGAAACTGATATCTTTTAGGTAAAATTGTTGCAAAGTAAAATGGAAAAAAATTATGTGTTTGTGGGAGTTAGAAAGTACGTGATGGTTCAGAATGGTGTTGCCCTGGATAAAGTGAAACAAAGAAGGTTCTGATTAACCCAAGCTTTACTTGGAAAAAGAAGATTAACCCAAACACTTGGGCCAGTTGAAGGGAAAAATTGGAGAATAAATATAAAGAATAGAAATGTAGTAGAAGCAAAGAACCAACAACTTTTTGTTTTCTTTCTTTCTCTTGGTGAATGATGCTACCCTCTATTTTTTTGTTTGACATTGCAACTTAAATAAGTGGTCATCAATCTAAAAACATACTGAAATCCTGATGTTGGGACTCCACATGTTTTTGTACTATGCCTTTCTTATTTTGAATTATCATATTGACCAGGTACTTGAAATGGGAGCTCTTTTCTTTGTGTCCAAACGTGAGTTTGGTTCTTCAGCTTCAGGTATTGAAGACCAATCATATGTCCAGAGGAACTTTACTAGTTCTATTTGCACCGGTGATATTTCTATGGGGATCCAACTTGAAGATCTCTGTGATCACTTTGACATTGAAGTAGATGATTTTGAGGTGATGGCCTTATCCTTTTAATTGACTGTCTTATCCTCCACATTTTGTGAGTACTGAAGCAATAAAAGTGAAATCTTGCAGATGAAGATTATAATACCTGACCGACCTCAAACTATCTATGTTTTGTTGGAGAAATTCTCTACTTCTATCAATTTGACATTGTGTGTCATCCTCGATGAATCAATATTGAAACAATTGGAGGTGGGTAAACCTTTTTGGTAAATAAATTAATTACACCCACCACCCTCAACTATTAGCGAATATCACTTTATCCTTTCATCTATGAATTCATACATTTTGACCCCCTCAATTGTGAAACTAGTACAAATGCACCCCTTTTGGAGGTGGTCTGAAGAGGGTGAAAGTGATACATTTTCATAGTTGTAGGGGTCAAAATGTACAAGTTTATACATGAGGGGGGTAAAGTGATATTCTCTAATAGTTGAGGGGGTGTTGGTGTAATTAACCCAATATGGTTGCACTTCTATCTTTTAATAAATAAAATTATTTACTTTTCCGTGCTTGAAATTGCATCACTCCAAATAGTAATTATTGCAGTTCCCATATTCCTATAATGAAACTCAAAATAAAAAATGAAAATGAAAACAAGCTGGCCCTTATTCTGCTGAGTTATGTTGATTCCCTTCAGATGGTAGAATTGTGACATCCATGCTTGTAACATTCTTTTTTTACCGACTTGACCCAAATGCATTTTGAAAGATAACAATCTCGAATGGCATGAAATGCAGTTTCACTACAATGGCCTCAAAAGGGACAACTACCCATCTCTATGAGTTGTCTTCTAAACCTAAAAGTATTTTGTAAGAATCTTATCATTCCTGAGCAACCAAAGCAAATGGTTCCACATATGTGGCGGCCCCTTAACCTTCCATAATGCCGACCATTTCTTGCCCCCCACATTGGAACTCTCTCCAAGCTGCAATGGCTTATACATTGAATTCACAGACAGGTCACCATCTGAGGTGTGGCCCTGGATTAGTTGATCCTCATCATGAGCCTCATTATCCATTCATACAATGATGCTTCTTAACTGTATAATAGTTTATGAGGGAGGCAGGTGTCAAATCCGTACCCAATTCCAACCATGATCTTGTTGGAGTATGTGTGAAGGTAGAGTCCCACATCGAATAAAGAGTAACAAGAATGGGTCTTAATATGTCTTAAAAGATTGGGCCGGTGATTGTTGCACTTTTGTAGGTTCCCCAATTCCCTAACAACTGGAATTAGAGCCAATGGCTGAAGATCTATGGGCAATTGATGTTGGTGGACTTGAGCTTGCACAGGACTCATGATGGAGTAAGAAAAATCCATGGTGACTCTTGATGGAGTATGGTGGCTCACAATGGAATGTGTGCAGATCGTCCGGGTTGGACTTGATGTTGGAGATGGATCAATATGAAAGGGGAGTGTGTACCATCTATGATGGGTGCTAATAATAGATCAAGACTCGAGGGGGAGTAAAGTGAGGCCCAATGTTTGGTTCACACATGAGGGAAAGATTGTTAGAGCAGGTGTGAAGGTAGAGTCCCACATCGAATAAAGAGTAAAAGGAATGGGCCTTAATATACATTGTATGGGCTCTCCACTTATAGGCTTAAGCTTTTAAGTGGTTATGAGTTCCAATAATGTATGTTCGGCCCTGGTGTAAAGGATGTGGACTATGATGTTTCTTCCCAACAGATTGGGCTGGTAATTGTTGCACATTTGTAGGCTCCCCAATTGCCTAACAAACCTGACACTTAATATTCATGCACCTTCTAGTTCAAGACTTCCATTGGAACTACACCAATTGCTACTTCAGTTTATCCATCAACCATTTATCTAACCAAAAATGAACTCACTGCCCATTGCCAACCCTCATTTCATACCCATTTGTACTACTCTTCCCCCTTTTCTAATACTTCTCCATGTGTAAGAGGGACTCGAAGCTTTCCCAACTTTTTCGACCCCTTTTAAGGTATTTGTTGTTCAAAACCTGAGCCCACAGTTTTTGCTCCTCCATTAAGTGCCATTCCAACTTAGTTAATAAAGATACATTGACATGCTTCACCTAGACCCCCTACTGGCTTGGGTTGGCATACCCTTTCCCAGCCAATTAGATGCATCTTCTTTCTTTCCTCCATGCTACACCACACATTTGAAGCACCAATTAATGGCTTCACATATTGCTCTTGGTAGATTGGTTGTTTGAACATGTGGGATTACTAAAGAAGAGTGCATTGAAATACTCACATGCACAGTTTTAAAAATGTTATTTTTGATGCATAAAGGTGTATACACTTTTAAATGAAAAATATCTCAGAAGAAGTCCCCTAGGGTTTATGCTGCTTATAAATCCAAACTATCCCCTTCGTCAATGGGTGGATTGTAATCGAAACAATGATTTGTGGAACTGGAATGGGGAATACTAGTGGGATATCATGCTATGATTTGGTTGTAAATGAATAAACTGTTACTGATCTAGTGGTAGTTATTTGACATCACGTATGGGAAGGGGAACTTTTGCATGATTTTGTCTCCCTGCTTAGGATACATAATCAGGTTATGAAATAGGTTCCTCTGGAATATGGGACTCTTCAGGTGAATACTGATGGTGATTCAGCAAGAAACCCAGGTGTTGCAAGCATTGTGGGACTGATTTGTGATCATAATGGTATGTGGGTGGCTGGATTTATTTAGAAGCTGGGATGGGCCACCTCTTTGAGTGCCGAACTTTGGGCTATATGGTAGGGAATTAAGTTAGCATGGGACAATGGCCACATATCGATAATGTTAGAATCAGATTCTTTGGAAGCTATAGAATTGATCCACGCATAGAGACTCCATCAGGACTATATTTTGGCAATACAGATTCGGCAATTGATAAATCAGAATTGGCTGTGTTTACTTTGTCAAGTGCCTAGAGCAATGAATAGGTGTCCGACACCCTAGTGCATGAAGCAATGAAGAACTCCTCAGAGTTAGAAGTACTGAAGACTCCTCCTAAACTGCAGCTTATTGTCACATCTCGCCATGTTGCCTAGACAAAGAAACCCTACCAGAGGAGGGTTAGAAGGATGGAGGCTAATGGATGAGTCTGGAACATCTTGGAAGACTTGAGAGAATGGAGGATCATTGTACATAAATCTAGAATGTGTATAGAAGATTCTAGAATAGGTTCTAGATCATTCTTGTAAGGTGGTAGAAGGCTCCGTGAAGCTTTTACACACCATAGTTAATAAGGGTTCTAGATGGTTCCTAGAAGTCTAGGTAGCCTATATAAGGGGTGAAGGTGCATTTGCCTCACAACCCGCTTGACATCAACTTGAGTGTAAAGATATTTCTCTATAGCAATACGAACATTCTCTCAAACTCTCTCTTGTGTTCTGTTGTGTGCTAGCTTTCTCTCTTATTCATTAAAGAGTTAGGATGACTTAGGCCTTGTTTGGGAACTTGATCTATGTTAGTTGGTTTTTTGACTATTTTATGAGATGGAAAAAAGTTGTGTTTGGGATGATTTGTGAATCTTTTTGTAGTTGAATAGACGGTTGTGAGAGAAAAAGTGATTTGACTGATGTGTAAGATGTGACATTTTGTCTTATTGGCTATTTTAGCATTTTTTTGTCTTTATTGGCTATTTTAGCCAAAAAAGCTCTCAACCCAAGTTCACAAACTCCGCCTTAGCATCACTAGCCAAGCTTGTGAATGACTATGCGCCACATCGAGTGCTTGGAAATAACCAGGGCCGTGACATTATGTTGGTCTTAGAGGCCCTAGGTTGGTGCCAGTTTAGTTAGTTTTGTTTCATTGGCTTTGGCTTCCATTGTAACCAAAAAAAAAAAAAAAAAACTTTTTCACCTTCATTTTACGTACAATAAGGGCAAGTTTGGGAACTAGCTTTTTGGCCAAAAAGCCACTACCAAAAAGTCAACTATTCTCTCTACTTTTCTACATTTCTTTTCGTAAAAAGTCAAAAAAACCAACTAAAATAGGTAGCTAGTTTCCAAAACAACGCTAAATTTCCTGTACGAAGTGATGAAAATGGCTTTTGTATGTACACTCATGATTAAGACACTGTTAACCTTGTAGGATGTTGTGAAAAGGATACAACTGAGGGTTAATTTCTTAAAAGTTGCGGTGGATGTGGATTCCTACATAAGGAAGTTTTATAGCTTCGTTTTGAATGTTGATTATTTCTTTAATGTTCACTTGTTTAAGAGTTCTTGGCCAGTTTACTTGAAACAGTAAGACCAGCTGTGGGAAATAATTGTGAAATCGCTTACAAGATTGTGGACTTGAAGTAGACTTTTGATTGATTTATCTGCAAGTTTACCATATCACGCTACGAATCATTGTTATAAGTTATAATGGTATATATAGTTTCATTTTAGCGTATAATCTAGAATGTCCTTATGTACAAAATGCTTCAAGATGTATGTTTTGATTGATTACCCTTATCGTTTGTTGAATGTCCTCAGTTTTTCTCTTTGTTTCAGGTTTATATTATTACACCGTCACTTCATGCACACTTCTCTCCATCAATATACGGTGTAGTTCTGGGGTTGCTTGCAAATTTAGATTTGCTGCTCTCAAAGCGGAACTCAGTTGTTTTTCCAAATGAAAATTCATTTAGTATCATGTCAGGTGAACAGACAACTCCAAAAGCTTTTCGTTCCTCCATCATTGCGGATGTGGAATCAGTCAGTTTTCATATTGACCTTGAAAATGATAAAGAAAATAGCTGCATCCTTTTGCTCAATCTGCACAAACTAGATATTAGGTATGCTTCATTTAGTGTGTTCTTGTACTCACAAGTAAGCAACAAGTTCTCACTACTACATGAACACCCACACATACCTATATATCTTCGTAGTGTTCTATATTCAATTTATTGCTTCATTGCTTGATTGATCTCATTTTAGTCATTATTTATCATGGCCAATACAGGAAGCATTCTGTTGTGTTTGGCCTTTTATAGGGTTCTAGTTTTGAATTGTTGGCGTTAACTCTACTTTGAGACGTTGACCAATCTCAGCCTTAAAATCTGATGGAGCCTTAGTCTTCCAAATCTTATTTGTTGACTGGAGAGAAGATTCAAGTTTCATAGAAGGGGACTGGAAACTATGATTTGTGGCAAAATGGCACTAATACTTAACCACCACCATCTTGCAATAAACAAGGGTTTAGCATGGTGGATTAACATGTGGCAGCTGTATCACTCCTAGGAGTTACAGATTTTGGTCAGTTCTTTTGACATAGTTTACCGCCATTATGAAGCAATTAGTGAGTGAGTCTTTATTTAACATGTCTCAGAAGTTTGATTTGACTTCATGGTAAATTGTCAAAATTTATCAGGTAATAATCAAGTGGATTATGTCTGATCACTTGGGGAAGCATCTTATTTTTTATTATCAGTTTTACTATGATTTTGATCTACTTGTAATATGAGAGTTTAAAATAGTACCCTACTTTTTTAGAGTTTATCGAATTAACATATCCTTATTGTGTCCTACATGTTTGCCATATCAGTATCCATACTACATAGAAAGTAAAGATAAAAAAAAAAATTATATATATAAGGGTACTAAAATAACCATAATTTGACTAATGGATATTAGACACTTAGGCCCCGTTTGTTTTGGGGTGTAATGGATGGGAGGAGATTAGGATGGGGGTGGGGTTATTTAGTGTTATGCTTGTTTGTAGAGTTGGGGAAGGGATTAGAATGGAGGAGGGGATTAAGATGGAGGTTGGAAGGGGGATTGGGATGGAGGAGGAGGAGCTGGTATTAGAAAAATAGCGAGGGGACTAGAAATTTTTTTATTTATTTTTTATTTTTTACATATTGGGAATTTTTTTTAAACATTAATGTTTAATTTTTTATATTTTTTTATTTGTTTTATTTGTTTTATTATTTTATATAAAAATAATTTAACAATTCCTACACTAACAACTATCATCAAAACAAACACAATTTTACTCAATCCCCTCATTGTCAATCCCTTCCATTCTACCTCTAAAAACAAACGTGGTGCTTAAAGAATAGTTTCTCACCATTCTTTAAGCTTATCTATAATACTCTAAAAAAAATTATAAAAATATAATTTTTTTACTAATGTATATATGCTGTTCCCATATCCTATTTTGTAAAGTTTTGTGATATTGCCATAGCTATATCATATTTGTGTCCCTATTCCATATATGCTTCATGATCACTGTATCTGATGTGCTACAATATACCATCCTAAAATGTTTGCAATTATACTTGTGTTTTTCAAGATTATTAGTATTGACTTTAATGATAAAGCTAAATTTTATGGTAGTTAAATAATTTTTTATTTTATTTATAAATATTTTCTTCTTCTTCTTCTTCTGAAAAATGGTAGAGATTGCTTAAACGTGACCCCTAAATTCACCCCTAATGATGTGGCAGGGAGTTGGGTCGTAGTAGGTTGTTGATTTTTAAACCAATCAATAACTGACATGGAGCGGTCTACGTCATTGTGGGTAAATTTAGGGTTCATGTTTTAGGCGTCTCAAGTTTTTTCTTTTAAAGAAATTAGCCAATATAACTTTTAAGTTGCAATTTATTTTTGTGTAAATATTAAGAACTTCATTTCATCAGGAGACCATGGACACAGCAAGATTATGATTCCTAATAACAACAACCAACAACACACACACACACACACACACACACACACACACACACATATATATATAATATGATTCCTAATTGGTTACATCTTACCATTTATGATCCCATTTGAAGGTTGCTGTATTAGTGCCAAGCTTTTCACATATGCATGATATTTCTCTCTCTCTGCCATCCATGCATCTAACATTATTCGATAGAAATTGTACTGCCAATGTCGAAACTCCGTGACTCTAGTTGCTAGAAACTGTTAACTCCAAGCTTATTGATTTTAATTTCTGTTAAAAGCAAAAAATACTCTGTTCATCAACTTGCAGGTATGTTTTAATGGAGTTGCAGGAGTGCTGGATCTCTATGAAGGCATTTAAAATAATCACTTATTTATTGGAAGGTGATAAAGATGGCCAAATTCTATGCTCATCTGGAAATCCTTTTTCTGTCCAGTATGTACAGCAGCAAGACAGAGATTTTGAACATAGTAATCAAAGTGAAAATTGTAGAGACAAAAGCACATCTGCTGATGGATGTGTTCGTTTACATTATGAAGAATGCAGGAATCTGGACATAATTTTTCACAAGTATGAAGTATGCCTTAGTGATGTTGAGCTTCACTGCTATCCATATATAGTCAGATTGCTGGTTGAATTTTCTGATAAAATTCTTCGGTATGGTACATCTCATGCTGTCAAGAATTCATTTAGCGCTTCTATGAATGGTGAAAATTCGATAGCAATTCAGTGTTTTGGCTTTGAAAAGTTTGGTTCCTCAAACTTCTCTGAAACTGGTTCCTCTGAATGGGCAAACATTCCATTGGACCGCTTTCCATTTGTTACTGTTTACAACTTTGGTTGTCTTAGTGATCTTGAGAGTTCACTTATTCGCACCATTCCCGAGTGGAGGAAAATTTTAAAATTGAGGGAAAGAAAAGATGGAAGTCCTAAATTCAGTGTGAGAGGATCCAAAATGTCTTGTGCCTTGCCATTGAATTCTGGAATTGGTAAAGATGCCGTGACTGTGTCACAGAATTTGGTTGGTTCTGATGTACTAGTAGATTTAAATCTCAGCAGAATCAGGATACATTTTCATGATTGCTCGTGTATTATTGGAACTATATTTCTACCTACCTCAAAATCTTCACTCTCAATCCGCGGAGACTGTTTGGATATGTTGTGTTCCACTGAGGGATTGAGTCTCTGTTCATCTTGGTGGACTCACAATATCCATGACTTTTTGTGGGGTCCCTTATTAACAAATCTTCCTCCTATTTTAAATGTGAGGGTAAGGAAACAAAAAGATGGACCATTGAAGTCCCAGATTGAAATAAGCTTCAGCATTCAGCATGTGTCTTGCATTTTACCTCCTGATTTTGTGGCCATAATGATTGGTTATTTTGAGTTACCTGATTGGTGCTCCAAGGGAAATGAGCAGCATGTCACAGAAAATCCTAGGTATAGGGGCTCAGAGCAAGACAGTGTGATTACTTATAAGTTTGAGATACTGGATTCCACTTTGTTTACACCTGTGGAGGGTGATGACCATAAGTTTTTAAAGCTTGAAATTCCACAGTCATACTGTAGTTTCATCCATAACAGCTGTTCAAATATTGTGTTGAAGGACATTCCTCCTGAATGTTTGGTTGCAGCAAACAAAATTGCGGAGAGAAATCATTGTTTGAATGTATTTGTACGGGATTTATCACTATCGCTTCTGCTGTTAAATGATGATGAATTTGATTCCTCAGTGGTTGATCAAAACAGGGGACATGGATATACCACCTTTATCGCACAATTCAGTGCTAATGTATGGGTCAGAATACCGTACATAAATGACTCCTCTTGTGTTAGTTCTCTTGCTTCAACATGTGTTATGGCTAGGGTTGACAATTGCCAACTTATTGCTAAAGGTAAAATGGTGTTACTTTTGTTGTCACTTGCAACATACATTATTTTTTATTTCCTTCTCAGCTTTAATTGTTGCTTTATTAAATTGACGCGCCCACTTTTTTTTTTCTTCCCCCCGAAAAACAGATGGCTACAGTTTTGTTGGATTTGAAACACTACTGGACATCATAGATCAGTTCAACTCTGTTGATAGAATATCTAAAGGTTTCACATCTGATGTTCTACAGTTTCTTCAGTTCAAGAAGAGTATAAAAGAGAGTGGTGCATTTGAACCTGAAGCCTCGACTGTGGCCGTCACAGAAACTAGATGTTGTGTCAATTCATTGTCAATTAATTTCTATCGCCCAAGAAGCGATTTGGTCTCCTTGGAATTGCTTGCTAGGGCTGATATGCAATTTATATGCTCTGGTTCGATTAAAAATGAAAAATCCCTGTTCCTTGATGTTTCTTTCCATTCGCTAGCATTGTTTTCACAGCTCAATTATTTTATGTTAGCAGAATGCACATCTTCTTGCCCAATCTCATCAGTCATTGACATTCATCTTTCAATGTCAGAGCAAGAGGAAAATGAGCTTCATGTTTCCCTCCCTTCCCTAGATATTTGGTTACATTTGTTTGACTGGACTGAGCTCATCGACTTGTTCAGTTCTTACCTTGGACAACTGGCCAAAACTTCAATTGTGGATGCATCACTAAAGAATTCAATGTTGGGTCTAGTGGATCAAAATGAAAATGTGACTGTTAATGTTGCAGAAAGTTCTCCTCAATCTTCAGGTACATCAAGCTGTTTTGCATCAGAAAACATGAAGCAGAATGCTGTTCCCCTTATTGTGAAGTCAGAAAATATAGGCATAAAGATTCATATCCCAGCCTGGATCAGCAGAGAGGCATTTAGCATATTTGGGGAGGCCCAAGTTCCGGAGGAGAGGCCGCTCAATGATTCATGTGACATAGACGAAGGAGTTCGCTACAATTTTATTGCACTTACTTTGCAGAGTAGACGTAGCGAGCTGGTTTTTAGTAGCAGAACTGTAAAAATAAAGTCAAGCTTGGAAAAAATAAATGGAACAGTGGGCATATGTGTCGGCAAGACATCCCCCTCATGGCCTTTTTTCCAGTTTTCTCAATTTAATGTTGAGGCTGAATTTCATAAGAATCAACTAGACCTCGCAGATGTCAATGTGGAGGTTCAATGTGATAGTCTAGATATGTGGCTTTCATATCACATATTCTACTTCTGGAAAAGTATGAGATTTAAATTTCCTGAAGGAGGGTCTGATAAAGATACTCTTAGTAGTGTTGATCTCAACATCAAACTGAAGAAGATTTCGCTTCTGTTGACTGATGGAAGGGTATGTTGATTTTTCTGATTCCTATCTTTTTAAATTCTTTGAGTTCAATATTCTTTGCATGTTTCCATGGTAAATATGGTTAGCTTTTGTAGACAACTTTGCATGTTTCCATGGTAAATATAGTTAGCTTTTGTAAATAATAGTTTTTGTTTCTTTACTTCATCATCTGTTACATTGTTTATCTGTCTATCTTCACCAAGGAACCAAATTTCAATCTGTTTCCATTAAAACGGGCAAAATAGTTCTGTTTCCTAAGGGACTGAAATGAAACACTTGTGGATTGTTAAAATTCTGGTGTTTCCATTGTAACACACATGAACATGGAAAATGCACCAAAATACTCTGTAATATATCGAAACAATAAGTTGTGTCAACACAAATTTTTCTTTTTTCATATATTTTATACAATTTCTTTTAAGGATCATATAAAATGTTGTATATTATTATATTAATAAAGTAAATAAGAGTACTATTATTTACAGCGTAACTAAATTTTTAGACATTATTTTCTTGGGATCTTAACTTCGAAACAGATCTTTACTAAATGCAATACAATTTTCCCAGGGCAGGTTAAGGTAAAATACTCCAAAAAAAGGGTATTGAATCAATTATTGGCAGATGGTCTAAAACATTAATCGATGAATTAAAACAACAGGTGTTGATCAAGCAATTGGCAAAAATTATTGAGTTAAAGCGGTGGGATTGACCATTGTGCCTGCACATTTTAGAATCATTACACTTGTTTTTAATAAAATTGAGTTATTTGACAATATTTGAAACAATTTTTGGTTCATAATAGCATTAATTTATTATTATTATTTTGTACTCTTTTTTTTTTCTTTTTCTTTCTTTCTTTTTTTAATGTGAATGTTTTTATGAATATTATTATGTTTATTTATTTAATATATTTAGTTCAGTTTCAGTTTATGTTGTCGAACTTTTTTTTGGGGGTAAATTACACTAACCTTCGTTGAGTTTTGGAGAAAATATAGGAAGCTCCATATTTTTTAAAATAATTACACTAACCTCCCTCATTCAAATTTGCATAGCATTTTTATTTTTTGGCGTTAGTGATATGTTAGTTTTATAAGATGGAAAAGGGAAATTATATTTGCAGGCCACATAAAATGTTCGGACATAAACTTCTGAACAAAAAACAATTGTTCGAGTATAAACTGTTGAACTGAATGTATATCTGAACAATTCATTTTTGTTCAGAAGTTCATGTCCGAAAATGTTCGTTAGTTTATATCCAAAAGACACAAATGGTGTGTACTGAGGTTTTTTGTAGTGTCCGAATAGAATTTACTCGATGGAAAATGATGATGTCAGATTTTAGATTGAAATATCTATTTTACCCTAAATATCCTTGGGTATACACAGCTTACATCCAAACAACCCAAGATTAGAACTAAACTTACTGCCAAACATTTTCTCTCTTCTTTTTCTCCAATACTTCTTCAATCCCTAGCCCTGCCACTAACCATTGCTTGCTCTTCCTTCTCCATCAACCACTCCCTCCCTAGCCTGATCACCATCACCTTGGCTGCCTCTCACAAAGTTCTCGCTATTCTCCTCTTTACTCCTTCCCCACAACTATCTTCCCCCACCCTTCCCTCAACTTCACATCCCCTTCTCTCCACTTTCAACCACAAAAATAGAGGAAGAAATGAATAAAAAAGGAAAACTGAGGAAAAAATAACATATCAATAGAGGTTGATCTACTGATCAGGTGCTCAATCTACTTATTGAAATTGGCATGCGAAGGCTTGATCGATCAAAGAGTAGAGACGAAATGGGGGGAAGGTGGTGGTGTTTCAAACTCCAATCTAAAACAATGAATGGGGAAGTGGCGTGCGCTGTACGCTGGGCTTGATCTGCCGGTGTTGGAGGAGAAATTGGGGTTGGTGTGCATTAAGGTGGGATGGCGTGTGTTCACGAGGTAAGCAAAGTTGAGCTATTTTACAAAAGTAATAGCCAAGCGTAATACCATTAAGATCCAGTTGATCTTTGGGATGTAAATTTGCCACCAACTGTAGCGGCACCATCCGCTAAAATTTGTCCTTTTTAAATGCATCTACCCCGCTGAACCTGGGGTTTTTGATGCATACAAGAGTATTAATGTGGCCATGCACTTTGAGAAAGGTATGTACTATTTTGACTTTTGGGAAGCAACACAGAGTAGAGGACTGTTTGATGATTGAGAATGTTCCAGTGATGATGGCTTGGCTTCCCACCACTGCAATAATTATTGCAATTGCGAACTAGCCATGTTTATTTCTTTGACACATTAGTGAGATCAATTTTGCTTACCCCTCCTTGTAAATTTAAAGAAGAGAAAGAGTTAGGGTATGAATTAGACCTCATCCCCTTTTATATAGATAATAATCAGTAATTACAGGAGTGGCACAAGGCATAAATTATGGGTGAGTCCATTACACCAATTACGGGAGAAAATCAAATAAGAATAAAATCACACAATATTATTTCCTATTCTAACACTTCCCCTCAAGCTGCTGCGAAGATATCTCTCATGCTTAACTTGTTAAGAATGCCATTAACTGGTTTACTCCCTAGTCCCTTGGTGAGAACATCTGTTAATTGATCCCTAGTCTTCATAAAAAGAATACATATGGTGCCACTAGTGAGCTTTTCCTTGATGAAGTGCCTATCAATCTCCGCATGCTTAGTTCTGTCATGTTGAACTGGATTATGAGCTATGTTGTTTGCGGCCTTATTGTCACAGTATAATCTCATGGAATCGGTCTGATGTAACCCTAAGTCTCCCAACAATAGTCTAATCCATAGCAATTCACATACACCCTAAGCCATAGCCTTGAATTATGCCTCAGCTCTAGATCTAGCAACCACATTCTGTTTCTTACTTCGCCATGTGACTAGGTTGCCTCCAACAAATATGCAATATCTTGAAGTTGATCGTCTGCCAGTGATTGATCCAGCCCAATCCGCATCAATGAATGCCTCCACGCTGAGGTGTCCATGTTTTGGGAAATAGAGACCCTTTCCAGGATTCGCCTTCAGGTATCTCTGGATTCTCATAACTGCCTCTAAGTGGGAATTTCTAAGAGCATGCATAAATTGGCAAACCATGCTCACTGCAATGGCAATGTCTAGACATGAGTGAGATAAGTATATGAGCTTACTCACTAACCTTTGGTATCTCCCCCTGTCCATTGGATCTCCCTCTTGATCCCTCTTGATCCTCACTCAATTTCTAGCTCGGTTTTAGAGGTGTATCACATAGTCTACCTCCAAGCATTCCTGTTTCCTTTAACAAGTCAAATACATACTTCCTCTGGCATATGAAGATGCCATCCTTGGACCGAGGTACTTCAATACCCAAAAAATACTTTAAATAGCCTAAGTCTTTGATTCAAACTCCTTGGCTAAGTATTCTTTTAAATGAGGAATCTTCTCAACATCATCTCCTGTCAGAACAATACTATCAACATAGACAATAAGAGTTGTGGTCTTACCATATGAGGAGTGTTTCACAAATAAGGTGTGATTAACTTGACTTTGCTTAAACCCATATTTTAGTATAGTTTGAGCAAACCTTTCAAACCAAGCCCTAAGAGACTGCTTTAGCCCATAAAGTGACTTTCGGAGCCTGCATACTTTACCGTTGGACTTAGCATCCGCAAAACCATTAGGAATATCCATATAGATCTTTTCTGCTAGGTCTCCATGAAGGAAGGCATTCTTCACATCAAAGTGATGAAGTGGCCAATCCAAATTTGCAGCAAGAGAGAGTAAGATTCTCACAGAATTCATCTTAGCAACCAGTGCAAATGTCTCCTGGTAATCCACCCTATAAGTCTGAGTGAAGCTCTTAGCAACCAGTCTTGCTCTGTACCATTTTATGGAACCGTCTGTTTTGTGTTTTACCGTGTGCACCCACTTACACCCAACTGAATGTTTGCTTCTAGGTAACTCCACTAACTCCCAACTGTCACTCTTGTTGAGAGCTCTCATCTCTTCCATCATGGCATGTTTCCATTCAGGAATAGAGAGAGCATCCTGAAAATTGGTAGGTAGACTCACAGAAGACACTTTAGACATAAATACTTTATATAAGAAAGACAGATTAGAATAAGAGACATGATTACTAATAGGATGCTGAGTGCATGACCTAACCCTCTCCCTATTAGTAATGGGAACGTCAAGATCTGAAAAGTCAAGAATAGGAGCACTAGAATCAGAATTACCTGGACTCTCAGGAGAGGGGAGTGGCTCTGGACACTTATCCGGAGACGAAGTTGGCAGTGGAGGAAGGAAAGTAGTCTCTTGAATCCAGGTGACTTGCTGTCTGTCCTTGTCCCTGATATAAACTTTACCTGCTTCTTTTTCTTCAACAACTGTTGGCTCATCATCCTCTATCTGTTCAACCACTGGCGGAAGTGGAATAGGAATCTCTTCATACCAAGGCTCCCTCTGAAGGGATGACTGTGATACCGGGGAGGTCGGAAAGTAAGGCTGAGAATCAAAAAAAATGACTCCATGGAGACAAACCATTTGCGAGTGGGAGGATGATAACACTGTAACCCTTTTTGGTGGCAGAATAACCTAAAAAAACATACTTAAGAGACCTAGGATCCAATTTACCACGAGTGGGTGAAGGACTATGGACAAAGCAAACACAGTCAGAAGTCTTAGGAGAAATGGAGAACCCGGAGGGGGTAGACCCGAACAAAACTTGAAGAGGTGTTTGTTTTTAAAGGACTTGGGTAGGAAGACGATTAGTCAAATAAGCGGTAGTGTGAACCGCTTCTCCCTTAATAGGATCGAGGAACCCGCATCTCAAAGGATAAACAAGGGCGACATAAAAAAGATGGCGATTTTTGCTTTCTGCAACACCATTTTGTTGAGGGTTGTTAGTGCATGAAGTCTGGTGAATAATGCCATGAGTGGCGAAGTAAGTGGCAAGACCAAAGTTAATAAATTTCCCCCCATTAGAACAGAGAATTTTGACAACCGCCCTAAACTGAATACAAACCATTCTATGGAAGTTTTGAAATAGAAAATTCCTCACTTTTATTTTTCATCAAATAGACCCAAGTGGCCCTGGAACAATAATCGATGAAGGTAATAAACCATTTTTGACCGGTTAAAGACACAAAACGTGATGGACCCCATACATCAGAATGAATCAAAGAAAATGGAACTAAACTTTTATTAATAGGAGCAAAAAAGGCTCTGTGTTATTTTCCAAGTTGACAAGACTCACATTGAAAATCTGACACATTATTTTTCTCAAAAACAGAAGGAAATAAATGCTGAAGTAATAAAAATGAGAGATGTCCTAAGCGACGGTGCCACAGCCAAATGTCTTCCATGGTGGATGGTAATTGAATAGATGAATGTGCCAGTTGGTCTGTCTTATCTAGAATGTAGAGCCCGTGTTCCTCTCCACTGGCAATCCTCTTCCTTGTGATAAGGTCCTAAAAAAGACAATGATCAGGAAAAAACGTCACGCTATAATTTAAGTCACGGGTAATATGACTCAAAGATAATAGATTAACACTAAAATTGGGAACATGGAGGACGGAGGACAAATGACAAAGGAAGGGAAGAGGTGGCATGAATTAAACCTTTCCTTGACACAGACGAAATAGTACCATCAACAATACACACTTTTTCCTGACCTGATTAGGGGTTATACTCGGAAAATAAATTAGCAGAGCGAGACATATGGTCAGAAGCACTAGAGTCAATAATCCATGGAACTGGCGTATGAGATAGCAAAGCACATGGGGAGGAAACTAAGTTACCTGAAGTAATAAAGGAAGAAGAGGGAGCACCTGTAGCAGAAGTGGAGGCTCGACAGTCGAGCAAGTGGCGAAGAGCAAACTCAAAATCCGAGGCAGATAACCCCGAAATATTAGTAGCATATGAGAGACAACTGGAGATGAGGATGGTGGCTTAACTGTGTCTGAAAGATGTGCCCGAGTACCAGGACAGTCTCCTCGGCCTCTTAACTGACCAGACCTACTCCTGTGAGTACCAGGACAGTCTCCTCTGCCAGCAGAAGGAGTCCCATGCAGCTTCCAACAAGTCTCTCGGGTGTAAAGACTATCCTTCTCAGAGGAAGGACGAAAACCACGATTAAAAAAATAATGTGAAAGAAAAATAAAGAAAGAAATAATAAAAATATATTTGAAATCAAAATGAAAGATGGGGGAAATAAGGAAAGTGGTTTGGAGAAAATAAATAAAAATAATGGATTTTGAAATCAAACGGAGGAGAGAGAGGGGACAAGCCCATGTGAGAGAAAGAGGGGAAAAATGATAGCCGATGCACCCAAAAATAATCTAGCTGCTATCCACAGGCGCTTAGGGGAAGGAAATGGTAGCAAGAGACGGCCAACACCATATATGGCTATAGCAAAGAAATGGAGTATCAAGCTCAATGGGCTAGGATTTAGACCAGAGAGTAAAGCCACTGGTCCTGTTGAACACACACCTCCAAGGCTCAAATAATCAAAACATGCTTCACGCATTTCCTTCCTTGCTTGATCAGGAGATGCACAAAACACCTTATATAGGGCTCCAGTCATTCCTCCACCAGTTAAAGGATGACGCATGTTGAAAGCATCACCTATTAATAGTGCTCCAGGAGTAGGGTAAGGAGCAGCTGGCATACTTCTATTGGGCATTGTTCTAATACTTCCCTTATCAATTGCAGCTATAAATGAATCATGCAGCTCAGGTGGAACCTGGGGAGCCACCAGAGGGAAGCAAAGCCGAAGGCTGCTGCAAAGCCGAAGGCTGTAAAACCGAAAAAGGAGAAGAAGGCTCCGGCTAAGACAAAAGCTGCTGCGCCAAAAGCTAAAGCCGCTGTGAAGCCCAAGCCAGCGGCAAAGGCCAAGCCAAAAGCTGCTGTGAAACCGAAGGCTGCCGTGAAGCTGAAAGCTGCAGTGAAGCTCAAGGCTGTGGCGAAGCCCAAACCAAAGCCGAAGGCGAAGGATCCTAACAAGAGGCAAATGAGCATGGAGGAGAAGCATAGATTGAGTGTTGGGTTGGAGAGTTTTCCCCAGGAAAAGATGCCACAGTTAGTGCAGATTATGAAGAAGAGGAATTCACATTGGCCTCAAGAGAGAGGATTTAGGCAGTGATGGGAAGGTATGTGTAGAAAATAAGCGGAATAGGTTGAGGTCCGGCGGGCGGCCAAGGCGAGGTTGCCGCCCGCCGGTGAAACGAAAAATACTAAGTGCTTAACCTTGCTCTGATACCATGTAGAAATTTAATGTATAAAGAGAAATAGAGAATTGTATTATTGATTGATTTATATTGATATCTATTACAATGATTCATGATTCCTATATATAGAAGAGGGTGAGTGTGTAGTAGGTAAGGAGTAGGTGAAGTGGAGGTGGTAGTGGTGTAGTGGGTTAGGTTTAGTGGAGTAGGTTTAAGTGGGTGAAGTAGGTGGAGAGTAGGTGGATTTTAACAGTGTTTATGTTTTTATTTTATTGAATGTGGATTATATGATCTTTAAAAATTGAAATGTTATGTAATATGCACTTTCATGGCTTTGAGAATTATTCTATATTTTGTCTTGAATCTTGATTACTTTTTATTTTTTTTTAAAATTGTCTTAGTACTATGAATGATTAGTCTATATTAATTTTTCTATTTTTTACGAATACTGTGCGCCTTACTTCAATAAAGTCCGCGCCTCGCCTTGCGCCTAGGCTCCAAGAGACCTTCGGCGCCTTAGTGCGCCTTGAGCCTTTAAAAACACTGGGATGCTGAGTACATGACCTAACTCTCTCCCTATTAGTAATGGGAACGTCAAGATCTGAAAAATCAGGAATAGGAGCACTAGAATCAGAGTTACCTGGACTCTCAGGAGAGGGGAGTGGCTTTGGACACTTATCCGGAGACGAAGTTGGCAGTGGAGGAAGGAAAGTAGTCTCTTGAATCCAGGTGACTTGCTGTCTGTCCTTGTCCCTAATATAAGCTTTGCGTGCTTCTTTTTCTTCAACAACTGTTGGCTCATCATCCTCTGTCTGTTCAACCACTGGCGGAAGTGGAACAGGAATCTCTTCACACCAAGGCTCCCTTTGAAGGGATGACTATGATACCGGGGAGGTCGGAAAGTAAGGCTGAGACTCAAAAAAAATGACTCCATGGAGACAAACCATTTGCGAGTGGGAGGATGATAACACTATAACCCTTTTTAGTGGCAGAATAACCTAAAAAAACATACTTAAGAGACCTAGGATCCAATTTACCACGAGTGGGTGAAGGACTATGGACAAAGCAAACACAGTCAGAAGTCTTAGGAGAAATGGAGAACCCGGAAGGGGTAGACCCGAACAAAACTTGAAGAGGTGTTTGTTTTTGAAGGACTTGGGTAGGAAGACGATTAGTCAAATAAGCGGTAGTGTGAACCGCTTCTCCCTTAATAGGATCGAGGAACCCGCATCTCAAAGGATAAACAAGGGCGACATAAAAAAGATGGCGATTTTTGCTTTCTGCAACACCATTTTGTTGAGGGTTGTTAGTGCATGAAGTCTGGTGAATAATGCCATGAGTGGCGAAGTAAGTGGCAAGACCAAAGTTAATAAATTTCCCCCCATTAGAACAGAGAATTTTGACAACCGCCCTAAACTGAGTACAAACCATTCTATGGAAGTTTTGAAACAGAAAATTCCTCACTTTTATTTTTCATCAAATAGACCCAAGTGGCCCTGGAACAATAATCGATGAAGGTAATAAACCATTTTTGACCGGTTAAAGACACAAATCATGATGGACCCCATACATCAGAATGAATCAAAGAAAATGGAACTAAACTTTTATTAATAGGAGCAAAAGAGGCTCTGTGTTATTTTCCAAGTTGACAAGACTCACATTGAAAATCTGACGCATTATTTTTCTCAAAAACAGAAGGAAATTAATGCTGAAGTAATAAAAATGAGAGATGTCCTAAGCGACGGTGCCACAGCCAAATGTCTTCCGTGGTGGATGGTAACTGAATAGATGAATGAGCCAGTTGGTCTGTCTTATCTAGAATGTAGAGCCCATGTTCCTCTCCACTGCCAATCCTCTTCCTCGTGATAAGGTCCTAAAAAAGACAATGATCAGGAAAAAACGTCACGCTATAATTTAAGTCACGGGTAATATGACTCAAAGATAATAGATTAACACTAAAATTGGGAACATGGAGGACGGAGGACAAATGACAAAGGAAGGGAAGAGGTGGCATGAATTAAACCTTTCCTTGACACAGACGAAATAGTACTATCAACAACACACACTTTTTCCTTACCTGATTAGGGGTTATACTCAGAAAATAAATTAGCAGAGCCAGACATATGGTTAGAAGCACTAGAGTCAATAATCCATGGAACTGGCGTATGAGATAGCAAAGCACATGGGGAGACTAAGTTACCTGAAGTAATAAAGGAAGAAGAGGGAGCACCTGTAGCAGAAGTGGAGGCTCGGCGGTCTAGCAAATGGTGAAGAGCAAACTCAAAATCCGAGGCAGATAACCCCGAAACATTAGTAGCATATGAGAGACAACTGGAGATGAGGATGGTGGCTTAACTGTGTCTGAAAGATGTGCCCGAGTACCAGGACAGTCTCCTTGGCCTCTTGACTGACCAGACCTACTCCTGCGAGTACTAGGACAGTCTCCTCTGCCAGCAGAAGGAGTCCCATGCAGCTTCCAACAAGTCTCTCGTGTGTAAAGACTATCCTTCTCAGAGGAAGGACGAGAACCACGAGACACATGGTCTCCATCTCGAGGGGGTGCAGAAACCAAGGCCAAGCGATCAGTACTAGCAGAAGAAAGCGTCGTAGAGTGATGACTCTCATTATTCTCACAAAAGCAAAGGCTTCCTGGAGAGAAGGAAGCACATCCATACCAAGTATTCTGCTGTGAACCGGATCATTTTTCACATTTAGGCCTTCCAAGAATTTGAAGACCCGCTCTTGCGCCACGAACTTTTGGTAACTCGCAGAATTAGTGGGACAAACAGGCTTGTAATCCTGAAGGTGATCAAGCCGCTTCCACTCATTGCTAAGAAAGGTAAAATACTGGAGGATAGTCATCTCACCTTGTACAAACCTTTCAATAGAGAGACGTAACTCGAAAGCTTGTGAGAAGTTCCCCTTCCTGAAGTAAGTGGTAGCCATAGCCTCCCAAATATCCTGTGCCGTGTCCATAGAGAGATAGCCTTCTCCAATTTCCGGGACCATAGAATGGATCAACCAACCTATAATGAGGGAGTTGGTGATCTCCCACTGATCATAACTTGAGTCCGTGGTAGTAGGTGCCTATATCCTGCCATCCATATATCCCATCTTTCTTTTGCTCTTCAAAAAAATAGTCAAACTCTACAACCACGCTAAATAGTTCTGACCATTGAATAGAGAGGCGGTGATTTTAAGACTAGGGTTGAGGTTTTCAGTCATTGTAGTAGGAATAATGGAACACTCACTCTTAGGTGTCTGAGAAGCAATGGATACATTGGGAAATTCTGCTACGGATACTATACTAATGAACCCTCAATAAAAAAACAAAACTAGTCACAATCACAAATCCGAAAGATAATAGTGGAAGGAAAGACACAACTATCACAAAGAAAGCATAAAGAATTAAAAACTCTTTTCTTTTTTTTTCTTTTTTTTTTCTTTGTTGTTTACGAAAGGGACACAAACAAAGAAAACGATGGAGAAAGAGCAACCAAACAGAGAAGGCAACAGGGAAAGACGAAGGAGAGAGCATAGCCGAAGTCAACTGGAGCACTGGTCTTGACCTAGAGGGCCTCCAGGGTTGCTGACAAGCCTAGAATGGTGGCCTAGGGCTGTCAACAGACCTAAAAGGGAACAGGGAGGGCTTCGGCTGGGTGAGGAGGCCAACTGACCTTCTGAAGCAGGGAAGGCTTCGGCTGCCCTGGGTGAGCAGGCCGACTGACCTTTTGAAGTAGAGAAGGCTTCGACTGGCCTGGGTAGAAGCCGACGGGGGCCTTCTACTGCCCTGGGTGAGGACCGACTACCCTAGGATACTTGGAGGTGATCTTTGGTTGGTGCAAAGTTTCTCCTATTGTGGCTCTAATACCATGAAAATTTAGAGAAGAGAAAGAGTTAGGGTATGAGTTAGACCTCTTCCCCTTTTATATAGATAATAATTAGTAATTATAGGAATGCCACAAGGCAAAAATTATGGGCCAGCCCATTACACCAATTACGGGAGAAAATCAAATAAGAATAAAACACACAATATTATTTCCTATTCTAACACTCCTCCCTTATGTTTTTCCCTCTCTCTCTCTCTCTCTCTCTTTCTCTTGTATTCTCCAATTTGGTAGTTGATGATGGAATTTAGCTCACAGGGATGGTAGGGGAGTGGATGTTGGACTTGCCCACAAATGAGGGAGGGGGAGAGATGGAGGTGGGGTTGGGTTGGTTGTAGAGACAAATGGAAGGGAAAGAGAGAAGGGGTTGGGTTAGGGTTAACATTGGTGGGGTAATTTTGTCTTTTTAATACTAATGTAAGCATAAAAATGTAATTTCACAAATTCCATTTGACTCACCCTTACTAGAGTAGAAGTTAGTGTATTTTTTTTTTTTTTAACCTCAGGGGAGGTCAGTGTAATTTACCTCTTCTTCTTTTTTAATTTATTTAACATTTTTATTTTTATTTATTTATTATGTATTTATTTATTTTTTTGAAGAGCAACAAAACAATTTAATTGAAGCAAAAGATGAAAACAAGTGGAGGACAAGAAGTCCTCGTACAAAAGCAAGAAAACAAAACTAAAAACCCAAGAAGCAACTACAAAACCATAATACAATCCAATCCACCACTAGGTATGACAAACAACCACCCAATCCCGGGATATGTCCTTGAAGGGGGGGACACACAAGCCCAAACTGATGCAAGATGATGCCTCACTCTATCCCACATAGCTTCAACCTCAGATTCCTTTTCATTAAAGACCCTATCATTCCTTTTCAAATTTTTTCACTTTTGAAACATTTCTGAAACATTTTTATTTCCATGCTAGTCAAAACAAAACTTTGATCCTTGATATTCTCAAGCTGTATTCTTCAAAATACTCCACATTTGTTTTTATCTTGATATGGATAATAGAATACCAAATCTGCTTGATCCCTCATTTTGAGTCCTGGATTTCTATCAACTTGTGTTTCTGAATGTCTTCCACCCATCTCTTGGTTAGAAGGTCATAATCTTTTTCAATTGTGCATATCTACCCTATTGATTCTAATAGAGGTTATTGTGGTATCTTTTACTCAATATGGATGTAGAACAAATTCTATGAGCATAGTGGTTAAAGGTGCGCCATACACAAGAAAACCCCATGCATAGAAGGCACAACCAAAGCAAATTTATGCTGGCTTGTTATACCTTCACCCAAGTGCATAATAAAGTCATTCAACCTTATGTTGGTCACATATATTTTATTTTTTATTTTTTATTTTGTGGCTGGAAGACAAAAAATTGGAATTGTACTATCATATCTCTAAAAGTGAAATGCTGCATGTTATTTGTGGATTTTCAGGGCAACTGAAATGATTAAGGATGCTTGTGGTATTGATAAAATCCTTTTCATGATGTCTGACATTGGTTTTGATTCGGTTCCTTTTATTTTCTTTTGTGTTTCATCCCTCATATTTTTGTGAACATCTTTCACTAGATCTATGAGAGGATTTTGACTTCAAGCAAAAGGAGTGTTCTTTGAGGAAATGAACATTTAATGCAAGAAGTAAAACGTGATATACATATAAAGTTGGTCTTACTCTACTTTCTTTTTGCATAAGAAGTAGCTTTAGTAAGCCGCAGGAAAATAAAGAAAACTCCTTCAAGGGAAAGAAACAACTTCGACAACAAAATCATGGCTACAGATTAAGAAAGATGAAATGCATCCTTAACAGTAAGAAGTTCCTGTGTTGCATTGAATTTCTTCTTTAAGAATGAACTGTTGGAAACTTCCCTCTGTTATTTTCCTTCAATTAAAAGCAAGAATATTATTAGATTGAAGGCGAATGGTAGGAACTGAAGGACTAGCTATCGAACAAAAATTATTTGTTTGTTTGTCAAGTACCAAACTGGCTTTTCATTTGGTAGTTGATATCCAAACCATGTGTTTTTGCTTGATAATTGATATCTGAACGTATAAATGCTGTGAACTGAGAAGTTTTGCTGTGTGCAAATAGAAGTTCCGAAAAATTACCTGTGCTAATGTGCACATGTGAAAGGTTAACATATATCCATATTGTAGCTGCATAATCCACCGTATCTTCAATGACTTCTCTTGGATAAGTGTTTTTCGTACTGACTTGAATTTCTAAAAAGATACTTGAATCCAATTCAAAGGTCAAGTGCCATTAAATCCTCTTACATTATTTGGTTTCCAATATTTGGTCTGGGGGCTCTGTTCAATCAATTTCATCAGCAAAGGTCAGGTTTCGTGGTTTATTCTACTTAGTTTGATTTTTCCTTTTCCCTCCTTACACTATTAGACAATTAAAATACCTAACCTTTAGTGCTTTCCTGATAGCCTTTTTTAGAAACCACTGCTTATTTCTAGCCTTTCTTGATTATGGAATATTTTTTGTCATTCACATACCACCTTTTTTATTAAATATTGAACAATGGATTTATTATTTTCCTTTTGATTTTTAGTTCACGTCCTACATTTCATTTTCTATACTAACAGCTGACTGCTAATCAGCCTGTTAGTATTACTTCTTTGTTTCATTGGATTTATTTATCTTTCTTTTGATTTTTAGTTCTAATCCTATATATCATTTTCTACGTTAAGAGCTGGCTATTTATTAGTGTTTTCCAGTTCTTTTGTTGTGTTAATTTTACATTTTTGTATGCTTGTAGTGGAGCTCTAAAGGGCCTCTGTTGGAAATTCTTATGAGCAATTTACTTTGGCATGTTCACATGGCTGAGAACAAATTGGAGGGCTCTGTTGCGGGTGACCTACAGATAAACTACAATAACATTCACAAGGTATATTAGTTGATGATCACCGTCTTTTATTGTTTCCTATATGAATGGTCTACTGAAGGTCCATTACTTGCATGTAATGGCAATAGGTCTTGTGGGAGCCTTTTGTAGAGCCTTGGAAATTTCAGTTGAATATTACCAGAGTACATGAGAAGAGTGCTCTACTAAACAGTGCTTTCATGACGGATATCCATCTCACATCCACAGCACAGCTTAACTTGAATGTTACAGAGTCCCTTATTGAGGTTTGTAATGATGTTTTCATTTAGTGCTCACCTTTCAACTTCAACACTTCATTAAGCACATATTTGAGTGTTCTATTAAACATGAATGTCTCTATTGTGTTCCACATTGGCCTTAGCAGATTAAATCCATGACTTTGATTGAGTCAGCTAAAGGAAAAGGTGACTATGTCAAAAAGTGATTGCAAAGATTGGACACTTGTCCATTCTGAGAGTACCTAAGTTTCATCTTGTGTGACTCTTTGTTATGCATTCCATATTATTTGTTGTCCTTGTCTGTTGTGATGAACTTTTTGCTTCAAATCCTTTTTAAAATTTTGATTGGGTCCTATCTGATTCTAGAGTACCTCACATGCATTCTGCAACTTTCTTTGCTGAGCCAAGTAATTTTGATTCTTAATCATCATTGCTAGTAGGAGTCATTTGATCTAATTAACTTGTTTCCATTGATAATGCCATTCTATGGCCAGATGCTAATGCTTGCTGTGCAATTCCATTAGGTGAATTATCAACTAACTAATGTTCATTAATGGTCAAGCTCTTTTTCTTTTTTTCTTTTTTCTTTTTATTGTGGATAAGCAATTGTCAGAACTTCTTATTTCACTTATTCAATATTTGTTTCTTATAGGCCATTTTCAGGGCAACTGAAATGATTAAGGATGCTTGTGGTGTGACGGAGCGCAAGGTCGTTTCTGAAAGCCAAAGATTGTTAAATTCGCAGATTTTTGAAAATATTTATACAGGAAGATATGCTCCATATATTCTTCAAAATTTGACCTCCTTGCCTCTTGTATTTCATGTTTGTCGAGGGCCAATATGTGCCGATGATAGGGGTATCTCAGTGTTGGAAGATGGAACTTTTGTGCATCCAGGTTCTTCTATCCCAGTTTATATTAATGATGATGACACTCCTGAGGAACAACTCCTCCGCTATAGGCCTGCTCATTCTTCTGACAGACTCAGTGACAAACAATTGAGTGGGGTGGCACATAATTATATTGTTATTCAATTTGATGGGACATCTATGCCTTCGACTCCTATTTCAATGGATCTTGTAGGTCTTAGCTACTTTGAGGTGGATTTTTCAAAGTCATCAAATAAAATAGAGGTTGACAATAATGGGGATGCTTCAAAAGGCAACAAACACATTGATGATGCCAACCGAACAGATTCAAAAGTTGGTTTTGTCATTCCCGTAGTATGTGATGTTTCAGTACAACGGTATTGTAAGTTGCTGCGTTTGTACTCAACGGTATGTACAAATTCAAGTTACTCTTGCTACAATTAATTTAAATATGGTGTTTTGTAATCATTCTTAATGCTTTAAACTTCCATTTAACTCTATAATTTCAGGTTATATTCTTTAATGCAACTTCAATGCCATTTGAGTTGCGGTTTGATATTCCTTTCGGTGTATCTCCAAAGGTATCAAAATAAGTAAACAATTTGTTTGTCCAGCTATGCTTCCTTGCAGTAGTTTTTATTCTTCTTCCGCATTGTGACATATCTACTTCTTGATTATTTTGTTATTTCAGATCCTAGATCCAATATATCCTGGTCAGGAGTTTCCTCTGCCTCTACATTTGGCTGAAGCTGGCCGTGTGAGGTGGCGTCCACTTGGTCAGAATTACCTATGGAGTGAAGCTCATAATATCTCAAATATTCTTTCACAGGAGAGTAGGGTTGGACTTTTGCGTTCCTTTGTTTGCTATCCATCTCATCTAAGCAGCAATCCATTTCGTTGCTGCATCTCAGTGCAACAGATGTGCTTCCCTTCAACTGGCAAGCCAGAGCAGTGTTCAGCAATTGACATTAATAGAACTGTGAAACAATCAGTTGAAAATTGTGGCCAATTCTCGCATAATCTGGACAAGTCGGAGAAACATTTTATTCACCAAGTAATATTAAGCAGTCCATTGGTAGTGAGAAATTATCTTCCAAAGGAAATATCATTAAAAATAGAAAGTTTTGGGGTTACACGTACTGCATTACTTTCAGAGGTTTGTAGTGTATACTGGCTAACCAGATATTTGATGAAGTCCATAAATTAGTAGATTTCTTTTGTATTTATTGAAGTTGGTTATGTGGATTGATTGACTTGTATACGTGCTATTCTTTTCAGGCAGAAACTTCCTTTTTCCATGTTGATTCTTCACATGACCTTGGAGTAATTTTCCATGTGCATGGATTTAGACCTTCGATTCTGAAATTCCCACGTGCAGAAACATTTAGTGGAATTGCCAAGTTCAGTGGAACAAAGTTCTCTCTATCTGAAATGATTGCCTTTGATCCTGATTTATGTGATGGTAATTCATGTTAACTTGTGGTTTCCTTCAAGTGATTATATTTTGATAAATTCATTAACAGCGTTAATGTTACTTCATTCTAGGTCCTATGAATGTTACTGTGGAAAAAGTGATGGATGCATTTTCCGGGGCTCGTGAAATATGCATTTTTGTTCCATATTTGTTATATAATTGTACTGGTTTTCCATTAATTATTTCGGACTGTGCTAATGATATGAAAGGGCATGGATGTGTCATTCCTTCCTGTTATGATTTGGTAGAGAAGGACCGTCTTCTAGGCAGGAAAGATGGTCTGGGTCTTCTATCTTCCAGCCAAGACTCGCAAGTGGCAGAATCACCCTATGATGGTTTGAGAAATTGTTCCTCGATGAATCGCATTTTCTCAACTAAGAAAAACATAGATCCATACTTGGGGAATCTTTCAAAAAAACCCTTCATCTCTGGTTCATCTATAATATCTCTTGAGAGTTCAGATAAACATGATTTAGATGCCCAAAATGCTGCATTGAACAGGTTGAGTTCAAGCATTCAATCAAATTTAGAGCACTCCAATTTGGAAGAAATAGAGTGTAGAAAGGTTGAGGCTTGCATGTATTCTCCAGATCCTAATTCCTCGGTCGCTGATGTCATGGTCAGAGTAAGTCGTTATCTACCTGAATGTGTCACTGAAAAAATGCCAAAGAGTTCTTGGTCAAGCCCATTTTTTCTTGTTCAACCAACTGGTTCAACAAATGTTCTTGTTCCTCAACTATCTACAAATGCTGCATATGTAATATCTGTCAGTTCAAGTGCAGTTGCTGGACCATTTTCTGGTAGGACAAGAGCCATCACTTTCCAACCCAGGTATTAGTTTTTACATCCCCGTTGATATATTGAAGTCTGTGATTCAATTTTGATATGATCTTGTTTCTGTCTTCTGTTAATCTGCTTTTCAATTTCTGTAGATACATAATAAGTAATGCATGCTGCAAGGACTTGTGTTATAAGCAGAAGGGAACGGATTCTATTTTCCATTTGGGAATCGGAAAACATTCTCATCTTCAGTGGACAGATAGAACAAGGTAATTGGATTATGTCATTACTACGATATGTTTAACATGATCTTTTGTATATTCCTTGACATATTTTAGTGCCATATAATTATGACCGTTGAATTGGTGGTGGCTGAATGTACACACATCTTGTTTTGAGTTCCAATAAACTAGTTAGTGTTAAAGAGGTGTATTACACATTGAAGGGTTTTCAATACTAATTTCTCTACCAAAGTACACCTTGTGTCCCAATCAAGTAGAGTCAGCTACATGAATTATTTTCCAACATTTTGCTCTATCAAGGCTATATGTTCAGTTAAATTAAATAAAAATGACCAAAGGTAGGCGCAACGTGTCGCTTATAGGGAATGCTATTGCCCTTACTCGCATGTTCATATTAGGATTCATGTTCAAAAGGGTCTGACTGGGATTTTTACGTGGCAAATGTGCTACCTAAGACACAACCCTTCTCCTTATCCGGGCTTGGGACAGGTTGTAAGTTTGTAATTATTAGTTCAAGTATTGTGCCATGAAATAATTTTATCTATGATATTACTATGACATGTTCATTTTCTGTTGTGAAATTATTCTTTTTCTCATTTTAATTTGGACTTGGACAATTAGGGATTTAGATTATTGCCATTGATTGATTCTTGTAGCTCCATTTTAAAAAATAAATTGTTACGGACACGCTTTGGTTATACCTTAATGGGACGGTTGTTTTGGATAAAACTGAAACCTAGATCACAAGTATTCTTGAAAGGGAAGATATGTACATTTAACAATATTTACTTGCTCTACATCTCTGATCTATTAAAAGGTTTAGCAATGAAACTCAAATCCATTTGCCGGGAGCCCGCTAATAACGTCCTTTCTCCTCATTATCTTATGTTATTCTCCATGAAGTCAGCCTGTGTATTTGTAACCACCTGATACATTCTTTTTTCAAGTTCTCTCTTTGTTCTTTTTTTAAAGATTTGCATTAATAAATGGGTGTGGACTATTGGGAAAATGCTTAAAGCTCCAGACCTAAAAGCCACTTGATAAGCATGTGGTGGTTGTAAAACAGAGTGAGTGAGGAAGGTCGAAAGACGTAATTTCATGGTCAAATTCAACTTTGTGTGCTTGGCTGACTATATCATAAATGTTCATATTGTCACTTCTTTCAACTCTCAACTAGGTGGATGCAAAAAGTTTATCTTTAGCAAAGTTCTTTTTTCTTTTAAAATTTACAGAGATATGGAAGCCTTTTCTTATAATAATGTTTTCTTTTCTATTATTTTTCTTACTTGGTTTCTTGTGGTTTAACATGTCATAGGGAATTACTAGTTTCAATTCGTTTCAATGAACCTGGATGGCAATGGTCAGGATGCTTTTTACCAGATCATCTGGGTGATACTCAGGTGAAAATGCGGAATCATGTTTCTGGTGCAGTCAGTATGATACGTGTGGAAGTGCAGAATGCTGACGTTTCCATTCAAGATGAAAAGATTGTTGGTAGCCTCCGTGGAAATTCTGGGACAAACTTAATTATGTTATCCGATGATGATACAGGCTTTATGCCATACAGAATTGATAATTTCTCAATGGAGGTTGGTATATGCTTTTTGACTGGTCTCAATGCCATAATTACCACACTATGTTGAATTGGCATGAGTTAGTGCACTTATTTTATTTTATTTTTTTAGCTTGCATCTTTTAAGACCAGGCACATTGTTTTGTGAATATACTTTTTTAGTGTTTACCCTTTCTATCAAAGTACTGCATTATATTTAAATTTTTTTTGTACATATATTTCATACTTGCGAGCTTAAATACATTCAGTTCACTTCAGCTTTGTAATCAATATCTGAAATTATTTGGCACTATTGTTAAATAAATGTTTTGTGAGAATGATATGATAGAATCGAATGCTCTGCTCAACTTAGTCACGTTCTTGGAACTATGTTTACTTTTGGTTTTTGAAGTGATGAACATTTTCATGCATTCAAAATAGATTGTAATTTTTCTTTGTTTGGACCAGCCCTCCTCTATTGAACATATGACTTTTTTTTGATGTTCAAAAGATCTCATCTATCAGAAAACAAACTAATTTCACTATTTTTCTGAACCTCTCTCTCTCTCACGCATGCACGCGCACACATGCACACACTTTTTTTTTTTGGATCAGCAACAAAAGAGGACTTTATTAAAACAGAAAATAAGTACAGACAGAGGACAAAATGTCCTCTGCAATCATAGATCAAACATCAACAGCATAGATCAAACATCAACGACAAAGAACTAAGAAAAAAATTAGGCATTACGAATTGCTTTCCAATCTCTAGAAATTAAAAATAACAGAATCACCTTAAACGGAGCCGAAACCGATGTGTCCAATCTCTCTCTCACACACACAAACATAGAAAGTATTATGTGAACTGGGACTTATTTTCATTTTAAATGAAACTAACTTGGTGAATACAAAATCCATTTTTCTATAGAGTTTGACAGGTGATTCAATAGTTAGAAACAAGGTGTTAGATGCAATTTGTATAATTGTAGGGAGCTATGAGGTTAAGGGATCTGTTAATATTCAAATTGATCCTAATAGTTGATTTATGATTGTATTTTTTTTTTTACTATATTGTAGAGGGTACGAGTTTATCAACAAAGGGGTGAAACTTTTGAAACAATTATTCAGTCTTACACCTCTTGCCCTTATGCTTGGGATGAACCATGCTACCCACATCGTCTCACAGTTGAGGTAGGCCTTATGTTTTTAATCTTAGAACAATTAAGTGGTCTAACATAGTTACTGATTAAGTTTTGTTCAAAATTTGGAAGGTGCCTGGAGAGCGTATTGTGGGGTCATACACTCTTGATGATGTGAAAGAATACACGCCTGTTTGCTTACCTTCAACTTCTGAGGTATGTTGTTTGGTCTTCATCCATTCTTACATGTGCTTTGCATACGCACCGCACAAAAAAAAAATGTACGTATACATCATGCCCAAAAGAAATGGCAGTACATGCAGTAATCCAATTAAAAAGAAATTACTGTTTTAATTGTCTGCGTAGAAGTTAAATGGTTGATTTCTTGTTGCATCATTGATCAAGTTGTTCAGTTAGGGCGTAAATTGTTTGTTTGCAATAGAAATAGATGTTTTAATTTTAAGAAACTATACCATTCCTCATTGATTCTTGAAATGGTTTCTTAAATAAAAGTGACAAAAATATCTTGTACCAATGTTGTATATGCAAGCCAAAAACATATACTTTCTGGTATTTCTTTTATTTCCAATGTTCTGAGTTTGATGATTACTATTTGATGCTTTGAATAATCTCTACAGAAGATGTGCATTTATTGCTAAATGGCAGTACATGCAGTAATCCAATTAAAAAGAAATTACTGTTTTAGTTGTCTGCGTAGAAGTTAAATGGTTGATTTCTTGTTGCATCATTGATCAAGTTGTTCAGTTAGGGCGTAAATTGTTTGTTTGCAATAGAAATTGTTAAAACCTACCATCACCTACTCCACCTACTACACCTACCACCACCTACTACCACCTACTACACACCTACCACTACCACCTACTACCACCTACTCCACTACATCTCCTATATAAGGAGCCCCTCACCATTTGTAATATATAACATACATATCAATCAATAATACATCAATTTTAACATGGTGTCAGAGCAGGTTTAGAACCAAGTATTTTCGCTTCCCCGGCGGGCGGCAACCTCACCTTAGCCGCCCGCCGGACCTCAACCTAGTCCGCTAAGATTTTTTTACACATACCTCGCCAAAGCAAAACCTCCAAAAGTCCTACCCTTCGCCGCCCACCACCGCCGTTGACGGCGGCGCAACCAGCACTCATCTCCTTCCAATCTAACCAAATCAGAATCTCTTACAATGGCTGCGGCGGGAGGGGCTTCTTCGGACGTGACCGAAGGACCAGTTCTCAGCCTCATCAACAAGCGCCTCCGTGCCCTCCGCAAGAAGAACAATCACATCCTCCAATTGGAAGACTCAATCGCTCAAGGAAAATCCATCCATAAGGAACAATAAGACTTTCTTCGCTCCAAACCCTCCGTCTCCGCTGCTTTCGACGAACTCGAGAAGCTTTGGCAACCCCTCTCCGCCGCCGTTGCCGAAGAAATCAGCATCGCCGTCCAGCGCCACCACCACGTCTCCGCCTCACCTTGTTTGGTCACCTTTTCTCTCTCTAGACATGCTCTCTGCGTCTGTGATGTGACCCCTCAATCGATTGTCCGTTTCATGCTTGACATGGAGCTGCAAATGAGGGATATCAGGACCGTAGATAGAGTTCTTTTCCTTGATTTGGAGGTGGCCCACAAGTCCTCCATCGGGGGACTCTTCAATGGAGATCAGACGGTAGCCCTTGCCAATCTTGGTTGGAATGGTGGAGGCTGAATTTACTACTCCACCACAAACAATCAATGCAACAAAGAAGATGGGTATGAGAGAACTGGCCATGGTAATAAAGAGAGAAGATGACCAGTGGCCAGTCTCTACATCAATTGAGGCACACACACACCCAGCAGCAGCTCCCATCCCACACCACTCACATTTTTCGAAGCTCTCTCTCTCTCTTTCACTTCCCGTGGTCTCCCACATGCACTTTATGATGAAAACATTTTTTTTAATCAACCCACTCCCTCTCTCTCTGGTCCCTTTTTCTCTCCACCAGACCCATTTTAATCATATCCATCATTTGCCTTAATTTATTCCACCCACCAGCGCACATGCTTTCCCCATTAATACATTTTTATTATTATTATTTTTATTATTCTTAACACCCAAAAAAAAAAAAAAAAAAAAAAAAAACATTCACCACACTCGTTTTTCAATCCACCAACAAACTTGTCATTTCTTACAGCCGGGATCAATCCGCATTCACAAGTTTACACAACACACAAAAAAAACAAAAACAAAAAACAAAAAAACAAAACAAAAAAAAAAAACACAACAAAACAAAACAAATCCAACACCCACAAACAAAAGATTTGTTTTCTTTTCTGCAGACGGCCATCCACCGACCTCACTTCTTCGTCTCTTCCGCTGGTCTTTTCTTCTTGCCTCCGTCCTGGGCGGCCCTTGACGGTGCTGCCTCTGTGCTTCCTAATCCACCAAGCACATTCACTTCCCCCTGCTCCTCCACTGCAGCATATGGCGGACCTCCAAATCGGAACATCACGGTGGCCTTCCGCTTCAGCTCCTTATTTTCCGCCTTTAGCACACTTATCTCTGCTCACGCATCCTTATACATGCGCTGGAGCAGAGCCAGTTGGGCGTTTAACTGCTGCACCTCATTTGTTCTACTCTGAAACCGGTGCGACAAGTTTGTGACCGCAGTCATGGTCTCCACACACGACTTCAATGTATACTGATTGGCCTCAATATCCGTTTGCACTGCCATTTTTTGCTCCATAGACCGCATCGGAAAGTTCAACGGAGCAAAACCAGAGGTGTTTGGTTGAGGTTCACGGGCCACCGCACCAGTTATCTCTCTTGTTGACTCGTTGAGGTCTGGAAAGAGAGTGAGCAGACCACGGGAAGAAGATGCCATTTTCTGGGCTACAGAGTGTTACAAAGTTTCTCTCTCCAAAAACGCTGAGTTTTTCAGAGAAGGGTTGGATCCAGAATATTTACAGAGTGTTTCAGAATGACAATGTTCAGCGGTTTCAGCCTGGTTTGGTTTCCACAGCCTCCGCATTGGTTTATATCGACACTGACGACGCGGCCGACACGCCGCTCTGTCGCTCACGTGCCTCGCCGCGTCTCCGGCTCACCTTTTGATGGCTCGACGCTTTCTGTCGGGCACGACTTTTGATGAAGTGGGCGCGCCTTTTGAGGGCGCGACTTTTGAGGGCTCGATATATATATCCATCTATATATATATTTGGGCAGCCTATATACACCATCATACAGTGTATTTTCCAACGGTCCGACATGACCTCCTAAACTGTCCCGACATTGATTCCGGTTAGCATCTCCCTCGGTCCGGTGTGACCTCGTCAACTGTCCAGACTTTATCTGCTACAACGGTCTGCCATAACCATCCAGTGTCCTTTACCATGTTATGACACAACCATCCAGTGTCCTCTACAACGTTATGACACAACCATCCAGTGTCCTCTACAACGTTATGACACAACCATACAGTGTCTTCACCACCGGTCTGACACGCCCATACAGTGTCTCCTATTCTCTTTTCTTTTATGTATTCGTCTATTTTCTTGTTTTGTTACTCTCTCCAAACTCAAGTTGGTTAGTTCCTATCCTCCTTGAGTTTGCGGGGGGCTGTTAAAACCTACCATCACCTACTCCACCTACTACACCTACCACCACCTACTACCACCTACTACACAACTACCACTACCACCTACTACCACCTACTCCACTACATCTCCTATATAAGGAGCCCCTCACCATTTGTAATATATAACATACATATCAATCAATAATATATCAATTTTAACAGAAATAGATGTTTTAATTTTAAGAAACTATACCATTCCTCATTGATTCTTGAAATGGTTTCTTAAATAAAAGTGACAACAATATCTTGTACCAATGTTGTATATGCAAGCCAAAAACATATACTTTCTGGTATTTCTTTTATTTCCAATGTTCTGAGTTTGATGATTACTATTTGATGCTTTGAATAATCTCTACAGAAGATGTGCATTTATTGCTGTTTGCCGGCATTTAAGTTTGATTTTGGCAGTTAAAATTGATAGACTAAGAGAGATGAAGGAGAGAAGAAAAAGAAACAATATATGGCTATTAAGAGAGACCCAAAAAATAAGGGTTCTCTCTCATAAACACAAGCCTTTGATTTCTCTCATAAACACAAGTCTTTCTATTAAAGTTGTCCAAAGTACACAATTCCCCCTTAGACTACTAAACACACATCATCCAACACGTTTTCAGTTGGACTCATGACTTGCTATATTTTCAGAAGCCTGAAAGAACCTTGTTTGTCTCTGTCCATGCTGAAGGAGCAATAAAGGTGTGTTTCTCATACTTAGACTGGCCAGCAGTTTTTGGCATCTTTTCCTTCAGAGCTTAGTGCTCTCATTTCTTTTATACAGGTGCTCAGCATAATTGATTCAGGTCACCATGTTGTGAATGATGCAAAGGATCCACGTGTCCCCCAGTTCAAAGAAAAAAGAAAACATGATCAGAAACAGGAAACTTCTATTGATTTCACAGAAAAGATATCAATTGCTATTCCTTTTATTGGAATCTCCTTGATGAATTCTCATCCACAGGTATGCGAAAAGGTGGTTGTTAGTCAGATGCATCAATATTTATTGACACTAGCTGGCTGCCTCTACTTTTGTAGGAACTGCTTTTTGCATGTGCAAAGAACACAAGGATTGATGTGCTCCAGAGTCTGGATCAACAGAAGTTTTCCTTCCAAATCTCATCCTTGCAAATTGATAACCAGTTGCCCAGTACACCATACCCTGTTATCCTGTCTTTTGATCGTGAATACAGAACCAACCTGGTGGGCCAGAGAAGAAACAGAGATGATAACACAAAGACGAAAAGTGAAAGTCTGATGCAAATTACTTCTGACAGTCTGTGTGACCCTGTATTCTTCTTAGCTGCAGCAAAGTGGAGGAACAGAGATGTTTCATTGGTTTCATTTGAATATATAAGCTTGAGGTGTGTGTTGCTAAGTAAAGTTTGACTCAAAAGTTTGATTAAATACATTACAGCGCTTGATATACTATATTCCAATACTTGCAGACTGACAGATTTCCACCTTGAGCTTGAGCAAGAAGTCATACTAGGATTATTTGATTTCTTTAGAACCATATCTTCAAGGTCCCAGGTTGGATTCCTGACATTTATGGATTCTACATTGCATCCCGTTACGTCTGATCTGGGTTTCATAAAGGAGTCTCCTGAACACACTGAAGTTCAGAAGTATGTTCAACTGAATGGGGTTCGATCCCATCCAACAAATGGAAATCAATTTTTTGAAAATCGCAAAAGTGGTCATTTGCTTCCTTCAGTGGTTCCGATTGGAGCACCTTGGCAGCAAATTTACCTCTTAGCCAGAAGACAGAAGAAAATATATGTTGAAATGTTTGATTTGGCCCCAATTAAGTTGACGTTAAGGTGAAGTAACTGCTCTTTTAAGCGTCCCTATGCCTTGATATGGCTGTCGTTTTATTATTTCTCCACTAACAAATGCGATGCATTTATTTTACAGCTTTTCCAGCACTCCTTGGACACTTAGAAATGGGGTTCTGACATCGGGAGAATCTCTTATCCATGTAAGTGGCTAAGACTTTCGGAGGGTATCAAATCGTGATATATGACAACGCTAAAATAATATTCATGTAGCTTCTAGCTTGTATACATTTTGCTTGTTGATTCTTATTATGCTAATTAATGTACAGAGAGGTCTTATGGCTCTTGCTGATGTTGAGGGAGCACAAATTCACCTCAGACAATTGAGCATTACACATCATATGGCTAGCTGGGAATCCATTCAGGAGATCATTACAAGGCATTATACTCGCCAACTTCTTCATGAAATGTACAAGGTAAACTAAAGCAAGATTCTTATGCAAGTGTAGCTTGTTGACGGGTTTCGTTTTTTTAAATTATATTCTCCATCAAAAATCAGGTTGTGAGATATTGGGTTCATAAACATTTAGCACTTCTGTTATTTTTTTTAAATGTATGATGAACTCAAATGTCAAAAAGGGTAAGAACCCAGCACTATCTTGAATTAAGGATGCTGGGAAACTATTGATAGTCTCTTCTTCTTCTTTTTTCACCATTACCTGCTTGTAATTCAGTGGAAGCTTAAGCTGGTTACGTAATAGGCATTATCTACAGAAAGGAAGAAAGAAGCATATATTTGACTTGTTAGAAGTCGTGTGGATATTCTATCACACATTACAAGGATACTGCCCAGTATGATGAGTCATGTTGAATATATATACATATTTTTGATAAATTAGTCATGATGAATATACTATTGTATACAGACATTTCGTATTTAGTTGGATCATGAAAGAACGAAAACAGATGCAGTAACATGCATCCCAGATCCACTTTTCCATTAGTAAACTTAAAAAATGTTTTCACATCTACTTTATTATATTACGGAATACCCCAGTCTGATTACTATGTTTGGTCTTGTCTCTATATTTTTGTCACTTGGCAATATGAAAGTGATTCTCATAAAAGATAACTGAAAACAAAGAGAAGATGGGTGATAAGATAACTGCATACATATGATACATGACCTCCCAAAAACTCCTTAAACGAATCTACAAATATCAAAAGATGTATATTACACTTTACCCCCTTAAGTTCTACAGTTTTACAACTTTGGCACAAAGTTTTTTTTTTCTTTTTTTTCACTTTTGCCACTAACTTTTGAAATTATTATTATTATTTTTTCTAATTTACTTCCAAAACAAACTTCCATCCAATTTTGGATGAAAAATATCAGGTTGGCAGCCAACGTGACATAAAAAATACATTATTGTATAACCCAAACCCAAAACCTTCAACACTCTAAACTTTGCACCGTTCCCCACCACCTCCCTAGCCCCTAACCCTACTGCCACCCGCTTGTAAGCCCCACTGTAGTTCCTCTCTGCCCTCCACCCACCTTGCAATCTCTTTCCCCTCTTATGGTAGGTCATGGTGTTCATTGCTGAGAAGCTCATGCATTGGATCTGGTAGTCATGGTGATAGATTTGGTTGTCAATGGATCTTGGTGTTCATCGCTGAGAAGCTCGTGTGTCGGATCTGATGAAGTTCATGGCGATAAAGATGGAGGTTGGGGCAGAACGGGATATGGAGGAGGAGGAGGTTGTGTGTAGGGATGGCAATTGGAATCCGGCCCGACGGGGACCCGACCTCCCGACCTCGAATTGAACGGTTATTTCCCGAAAAATACCCCCGACGGGCCGGGGATGGTATTAAAAAATGTATCCCCAGTGATGCTCGGGCCGGGGACGGGGATACATGTTTCAGTCCCGAACCCGGCCCGACCCCGACCCCGACCCCGACCCCGACCCCAATTCCCGCCCCGTATAAACCCCAATGTGAAATTACTATTTTACCCCTCACATTATATATGTGTGCGCATATAGGGTTTGGTTGAAGCTATCTGCTCTCACTCTCACACACAAAACACGCTGCTCTCTCTCTCTCTCCGCCGTTGCCAAGAGGTTAGGGTTTCGCCTCCCCCTCTCTCTCTCTTTCACACAACGAACGACGGCTGACGCGATCCCGTCACCGCCGATCCTCCCTCACTGTAGCTCGTTGCTCACCGCCGATCATCCTCCCTCACTGCTGCTCTCTCTTTCTCTCCACCGTTGCCGCTCCTCCGTCACCGCAGATCTTCCATCGCTGCTGGTCGTACCTCACCGCCGATCATCCTCCCTCACCACTGCTCGTACCTCACCGCCGATCACCCTCCCTCACCGCTACAGACATATATCGGAGTTTATTTATTTTTCTCTAAATTTATTTATTTATTTATTTTGATTTGTATCTGTTATTGATCTGTTACTGATCTGTATGGGATTTTATGCTATGGGATTTAATTTTACTGATCTGTTATTGATCTACCATGGGATGTACAGATTTTCTACAAATTGTATTAATTAAAAAAAAAATTTGAAAAAAAAAAAAATGTCTGTAATTCGGGGATTTGGCGGGGTCGGGGATACCTGAGTCGGGGATCGGGGGCGGGGACGGGAAATTTCTCACTATCGGGGATTGGGGACGGGGAGTGTGGTCCCCGGCCCGGCCCGGCCCTGTTGCCATTCCTGGTTGGGGGCTATGGTGGTGGGTATGGAGGTGGAGGGAGAGGGCGGTGGTTGGGGCAGAAAGGGGGTAGAGGTTGGGCGCAGAAGTTGCTGCTTTAGGATTTCAGTTTGTTGGCATCAGCTTCTAAAACTGTTAACAGAGCTCATCACATCACATTGAAGATTTCAAGGAGTTGATCCCCTTATTATAAATGCTTCCATAAACTGCCACTATGAGCCTTTTGCTGTAGTTTTTTGGGTTGGAATTGATAATGCCAAGTTACTCAACAGTTAAATTGGCAACTTTAGGGTTTTTACATTCTCTGCATGTTCTCCTGTAACTGTTTCTGCAGGTGTTTGGTTCTGCTGGTGTTATTGGAAACCCAATGGGATTTGCAAGGAGTGTGGGAATCGGCATCAAAGATTTCTTGTCAGTTCCTGCCCGGAGTATTTTTCAGGTACACAACTGCTGTTATTAATTCATGCTTCCCCTACAATAAGAAATGTGAAATTGGCAAATTGTTTTGTACAGAGCCCCGCTGGACTTATTACAGGCATGGCACAAGGAACAACTAGTCTTCTAAGTAACACAGTCTATGCCATAAGTGATACTGCCACTCAATTTAGCAGGGCTGCCCACAAGGTAAATGTACATCTATTGACATTTGAAAGATTTGGTTGTGGTGACATTTTATGCTTTATTTAATAGGATATTCAACTTGTAGGGTATCGTGGCATTTACTTTTGATGCCCAAGCCGTTGCAGGAATGGAAAAGCAACAGACTGGTATATCCTCACACAGCAAAGGCGTGATAAATGAATTCTTAGAGGTATGTTGTGTTTATATTCGATGAACCTACCGATAATCTATTCAATAGTTGCATGCAAAAATTGAGCACTGCATCAATATTTGAAATTTCAGAAGTGGAAAAAATGACATTGCTATAATACTAGGCCTATTTTATTGTTGTTTCACACAAGATTAACAGCTAACTGTTTACTACTATAATTTCTGAAGCAAAAACTTGTATGGATGTGTATCAGTTAAAAAACTGAAAGTAAGTCTATGAAAATGAAATATTACAAGAGCACATCTTCAATTGGACCTCAGCTAGTCTTATGTTTTCTTTCCCCCTCTTTCCTTGCCAAACAATAACTGGATACAAAACCTCCTTAATGCAATCGCTGGGTTGGGGTATCCTGACTGGACTGGTCTAACCAGTGCCCAAAAGTGTTTCAAAACTTTGACCTCCTTCAATGAAAAGTCTTGTAAGGTGTGTCTTGCCCAATAGGTCATTTGTAAAGCTAGTTGTGCATATAATCTCTGAAAGAAGAAATTCACTCTGTAGCTTGTCCAGATGATTCTCCACTAGTTTTCAAGTTACTCTCATGCATATTGAACAATCACTTTGTAGCTTATACCGATGATTCTCCAATATTGTTTGAGTTATTCCTGTGTATTAAACAATTATCTTAACATACAACAGACTGTTCATATTGCTAAGGAAATAGATCAACTGTACTCATTATATTATTCGAAATTGATGTGCTTAAAATTTATCCCTTGTTTATTTCAGGGACTCACCGGTCTCCTCCAATCACCAATTAAAGGAGCTGAGAAACATGGCTTGCCTGGAGTCCTCTCAGGTATTGCTATATGAGAAAACAGTAATGAATTTTCTTACAAATCCACTCAGTTTGGTTTGGTTTCCAAAATTTATTTTCTAAATTTTTTTGAAAAAATAAATGGAAACTAGTTTTAATAAATTCCAAAAGGATATTTTAGCCCCCGAAAAAAGAACCATTTGAAAGTGATGAGTGTTTTTTTTTATTTTTTTTCATTTTTTTCACTAAACTATTTTTAGTTTTTTTTTTTTTTTTCCTTCAGAAAATGGATTTTGAATAAGATACTGTGCATTGTTTTCCTGGTTGTTTGACAAAGTGCTTTGCTTGCTGCTCCCTGCCTACAGGTGTAGCCCTAGGAATAACGGGACTTGTAGCCAGACCAGCAGCGAGTATCCTTGAGGTCACTGGGAAAACCGCACAAAGTATCAGAAACCGAAGCAAGCTCTATCACATGGGACCTCAGCGCTTACGGGTCCGCCTCCCTAGACCTGTAAATAGGGAACTTCCCTTGAGGCCTTACTCTTGGGAAGAAGCAATTGGGTCATCTGTACTAGCCGAGGCCGACAATGGCTTGAAGCTGAAAGACGAACACTTAATTATGTGCAAGGCACTTAAACAGGGTGGTAAATTTGTACTCATCACAGAGAGACTCATCTTGATCGTTGATTGTGTCAGCTTGGTAAATTTGGGTAAACCCGAGTTTCGAGGCGTTCCTGCTAATCCAGAGTGGGTAATAGAAGCGGATATTGGAATTGATACTGTAATCCATGCTGATACGTCTGAAGGAGTAGTACACATTGTTGGTAGCAGTTCAGATCCATTGTTGAGGCAAAATCAGCACCAGTTTAAAAGAGGGAGCGGGGCAAGGGCAAAGCGGTGGAACAATCCTCCTACTTCGCTCCCACTTTATCAGACTAACTTGGAATTCGCACGGAATGAAGAGGCTGAAGAGCTTTTACAAGTTTTGTTGTCTGCAATTGAACAGGGAAAGGAGCGTGGTTGGGGATGTGTGCAAATTCTGCATCAATGTAATCTCAGGTAGATTATATTAGGGTTGTGTTGTGTACATAAACACTTTGTGTTGTTCACTTACAATAGAAGGTGGAGAAAAAGAGCCAAAAAAAGAAGAAAAAAAATGGGGTCCCAAAAGCTTGTAAATATAATTCTCTTGTATATGTCATGTACATACATTTATAGAGGTATTCTTTTTGTAATTTTGACTTTTGGTAAAGTGATTAGCAATCTAATCTTCACAGATGAACTCAACTTCAAGATCTTTGCTAGTCACCCTTTTTTGTGGTTAGTTCGAGCATGGAAAACAGGATTTAAAACCAAAACTAAAGCCGAAATATTATTGTCACACCATAAACGAGTATTATTTCAAGAAAAATTTCAGTTGCAGTGTTTCATTAAGCTACATATATATATATATATATATATCCCTTACTTTTTTGGATAATTTTCTTGTGTTTTTCATCCGTTAATGCTAGTAATGAAATTATTACATTTTAGCACATTCTGTCCTCTAAATACCAAAAATGTCCTTGTTTTCCTACTTGATCATCCCCTTATTACTACAACCAAACATTTTATCCCGATATTGTCCTCCCTCATTTGCACTTTTGCTCACCATTGAAACGTACACATCTCAGTGTATAGTATTTCACAAATTATTGTCAACTCAAATCTTGTGCTAAGTTTAGCCGAAACCCAAAACAACCCACCACAAAATTTCTCATGTATATTTATTGCATAAAGGTATGTATATCTTTGTTGGTTCATTAAAGAGAGTTAGGAGGACAATATATTGTAAGGTCATTTTTGTCATTTTATCAACCGTGTTAACTTGGAATAGCCATAAACATAGAAGGACAGTATAGTTTCAAAAACTATAAGAAAAGTTGTAATTATCAGAAACTTTGAAGTTAATGTAATATACTATACCCATATATATTTTGGTTTAGATCATTGCAATACACCCAAGGAAGTGCTAGTTAGTATATTACAATTCACCTCACACATGCCAGATAAAGTAAAAATGAAGAAAACACATTCTGGCATCAACTTTTTGTTTTACAAAACACAAACTTGGTAAAAAAACATGTCATTAAGAGATAGCGGTGGCAGTGATGGTGGTGTTAGTTGTTCTTGTTCTTGTGGCCAAGGCAACAAGGAAGTGTCTGTAATCTCCTGATGGAATGTTCTCACTCTCACATATGGCTTCACTTAGTTCCATTCCATATTTCTTCTTGAAGACCCTTTCAATCTCTTCCATTTCTACCTCACCCCTATTCATCATTACACGTGTCAAACCACCCTTATCTGTTGTTATTCCCTTTATGCTTGCATACAATATCTGCAAAAAATTCATGCGTCTAAAGTTAACAGCAATACTAGGCACCCATGAAAAAGAAAAAAAAGAAAAAAAAATCTAAAAATAAAGTGTGAATCGGATTTATTTATTTTTTAAGTTTGAATCTACACCATACTATACGCTTCATTTTCAGGGTACTTTCAAATATGAACACATATTTGTATATATAATTATAACATTCACAAGTATTATGGCTTGAAAAATTAAACTTTGGTTGTTTTATTTATGGAAAATGAACAATATTTTAGAAAGAAAAAAAAAATTATAATGAGTCTTACTTTTCTCATGAAATTTCTATGGAGTCCAATTAACACTATGTTGAGAGGGCTGATTAATGTATTAGTAAGACTCGATGAAAATTTCATGAAGTTACTTTGATGATGAAAAAAAAATGTAGATGAAGTATTAAATTTCATATAGTGCAAGGAGAAATATAATGGTTTTCATATAGCCACAGAAATAACCTCTTCAGAAATGAGATAAAATTGCGTACATCTTGTCCCTTCGGATCCCACTTTAGCAGGAGACTTGTGCACTAGGTCACTCTTTTTAAACTATGTACAGATAACACTTTTTCTTGTCACACTATATAACCTAAAAAATCTAATAAGAATGAGAAAGGAGACAAAATACCTTTGCATAATATTTAGGTGGATTGTATATGCATTTCACAACCACTTTCAAAGCATCCTCAAACTCCCCATAGTTCCCATACTTGAGTGACTGTAAAAAAAAAAAAATAGAAAGAAGAAACCCACAATTTAAATCCATCCCAATCATGGTGTTAGACTAGGAAATAACAAAAGCTTTACCTTTGTATAATCATGGCCATAAATATGTTTGTAGCAAGAAAATGTGAGCTTGAGCTGAGGAATGCTTCTCTTACTGAATATCTCAAGCACAACAGCTTCATCTATGGACCCTGACATTCCCTCCCCTGTTTGGTAGAGCCTCTTAGCATCACATTTGGCAATGTGTTGGCTAACATCTGCATGGTGGGCTTTGTGTGATGCAACCAATGCCACCAAAATCTGGGAAACCAAACCCACACCTTCTTTGTAAATAGGAATACATACCTTTGAATGAATAATACCCAAATGGTGAAAATTAAAGGGGAAATGGAAAATATATTTACAAATTAATTAAATACTAGTAAGACATTTGCCCACGCGTACAAGTGAGAATTGTATCCCAATGACAAATGTGTCCCAATAATACAATTGTAACTTGCACCAATAATTTACAATTACGTATTCTTATTTTTTGTTTAGGATATTTCTTGAAAATTAAAATTTTTGTTGGACAAAAAAAACGTAAAAGGGACGACTAGTGCGTGACAGCTCTCCCAGTTGGGAGCAAGGTATGAGAGACTTGAACAAGCCCGATAATGCAAGGTACCACAATTTGAAAAGTCCACAAGTGCTCACTCAAAATAGACTAGAGTCATAGGCTAACCCAACCCCACTATTAACATAATGGCAAGGACCCATTGATTTGACAATAGTCTCATTCTCAAGTGTCACCTCATAGATTCAACCCATATCCTCCTAATCATCAACCCACATCAAAGTAAGCCTCCACCAGAAGACCACCCAAAATTAAACTAGATTATATATTTATATATTTCAAAAAGTATTGGAACATAGAAATCGATTACACAATCAGACACAATTCTCTCATATGACATGAGTCTCACACCCAGGTGAGAGAATTATGTCCAATTCTGTAATTGAATTCTGTGCAAGTAGAACAATTGTATATTTTTTGCAAGCTTTACCTTCTTGTATGGATGGGGAGGTTCAATGTTGACGATATCCTGGTCCATTTGCCTCCTAAACTTTGCTTGATAAGCTTGCTTGATTAGAACAACAAGGCTTGATTTCCTACCCACAAACATTTCTACAAGTACCTTGTAGTTGACCTCACTCTGCTGCTGATCAAGTGCTTCCCTAACCATGACAGCCTCACGCTCAATTGGATCAAGCATCCACATATACAAGGCTTCACACACATTCTTTTGGGTATTGCTCAATTGACTATTCTTTTGGAGAAGATCAATCAAATCTTCACCATACATTGCCAAGTATGTCTCTCTAATTTTCTTGATTTCAAGTTGGGTTTTACAAGCCAAAGCTTGGGCCAAATGGGTTATCCTCCCCAATGAATCATGAATCTTCTTGCACTCACTCTCACAACTCTGGTTCATGGTGGTCTTTCAAGGGTGTGATTGATAAAATGTGTATGTAAATATGCTTTTTTTGTGTATATATGTAGGGAGCATAGAAGAGACTTGAGGATCAAGAAAAGGGTATACTTTATTTTCTGGGCAAAGGGAAGCATCAAGAATGGAAGAAGGGAGTGTTTGGTAGTGGATTCAAGGGTGGGGATGAAAGGGAGAGAAAAAGCAGAGTGATGTGGAAATAGTTTGTAGTGTTGTAGATGTGTCCAAGTGAAGTATTTGTCTTTTGTGAGAATTATGTGGATTCCTTGTAGACTGTGAGTCTGAATTTTTTTCTCTTTTTTGCGTAAACTTTTCAATGCCCATTCCCAACTCTATCAGCTTTAATTTTTTTTGGAACATATCATGAGTTGAAAATATCATGGGTTGGAAGATGGGTGAGAACACATTGATCTCTCCTAAGTTTGCAAAAAATATAGTATGCTTAACAGTTTCGATATAATTATTTTAAATTCTCTTAAAATTTTAAATTTACATAATACTAAATCTCTTTTCATAATTCGTTAGTTATGTAGATAGAAAATTAATGTTATGATTTCTTTTACATTTAAATATAAATTTTTACATGATTATTTTGTATTTTCACATTATTTACATTGATATCAATCAATTTAGCCACACTAAAGGGAAGCTGATGTAATTATGTCAAAATTGTGGAGCTACTTGAATTTTCTTCAAATCTTGAGAGAAGTCGGTGTAATTTCCCATTTTTTTGAGGGGAAAGTTAGAGAAAAATGAGATTTAGGGAAGGAAAATTATAGATATGAAAGGAATTAATTTTAATTAGAATCGAGGTGAAAACTAGGAAGAAATTTACAAAAGGGTGAAATTCATTTTTGAATTTACTAAAAGAACCCTTTTTCTCCTATCTCCCTCTTTTTTTCTTTTTTCTTTTTTTCTCTCTCTCATTTGCCTCATTTTGCCTTTATTGTTAGCCACCACCGCCACACCTCAACCGTTCACCCCTAGCCTCTTTCCATACCTTAGTTGCCCACTTCTAACTCCTCTCCACCTACTCCTTCACCATCATAACACCCCGAAGCCCTCCTTTACCACCACTATGACACCCTCACCTCTTGCAACTCCCTTTCCAAAATCCTAGAATCTAAATCCCCTAGAGCACCGCAACACCAAATGATCACCCTTCTCTCTTACAATGAGGTTTTGTAGTAGCGATAGGCATTTGTTAATTTATAAGGAAGGGTGACCATGGTCTCCCCTAAACTTTTTGAAATTATCAATTAACCCCATATGTTATGAATTATTTTACATTATATACAGAATAAATAATCTCTAATTTTTTAAAAAATTCTTCTATTAGTTCCATATATTGCATAAGTATTCATATATTGATCCCAAAGTGTTTAATATAATAGTACATAATTCTATTGATTTTATTATGACAAATACAAGTTTATTGATATTTCACATTATTAATTTTGTCATTTAAAATATATGTTAAAATTTCCTTTTGTTAAAAGATTTTTTTTGCTGCACTTATTTTGGTTTGCCTAAAATAAATTTCTGACTTTGTTCTTGCTAGGGTGGTGGAGAAGGAAGGTGTGGAATGAAAGATAAACAAACAATGGCTAAGTGATTGGTGATCCCGTAAGGGTATTAATCATGCAAGATAAAATAATCCGGAAATAAAGTTGGGTC